TTCCCTTTTTCCACCCCCCCCTCCCTCCCCCCCCCCCCCCCCCCCCCAACTGGAATAAAAAGACAAAAATGTGTAAAATGTGCACAAGTCTCTTTTTAGTCAGCATTGGGGCTGTAGGGAATTATAAATTTGAAAAATTTATATTTTACAAGCACCAAATTTATATATCTGTATGGTGTTTTTGGTTCTTTTACTTCTTAGAATAGAACTGTTGAGTAGCCTGCTCTTTAATTTTGTTGCTTCCACTCAATAGGAATGTTCTTATTTTAAGAAATTATGACTTAAAAAAACTTTATCTGTAAATTTCCCAATCTTCCCCACTGAAAGAAAGGAGTTATGACCGTAACTTGCAGTCGTTGCTGTCTGTAAAACATGGCATGGCAAGATCACATGGCTGACACATGGCTACAGGCGACGACATAGTTACTGTTCGGTCTGTATATGGTGTCTGAACTGCGATGTTGACACAGATATGAGGTTGAGGCATGTTTGCAGGCACTTTAGATAAAGGAATAAACAAAATGTTAGATGGGGCAAAAAAGGCTTCTTCAGTGCAGATGTCCTAAAATTGAATGTGAAGGCTTTAAGTAAGGTTCAGTTTGCACTTGTATGTTTTCATTGATCCCTCCTGAAAATTATACCTTTTTAAATACAGTGAATTGCATGAGTATGAAAAAATTTTTTTTTCAAAGTACAATTACACCAGTGTCTGTACATGAAAAATGATAAGTGGTGAAAGGCTGAAATACCTTTATTGCCTTCACCTGAGCCTCCCTGTCTGTGTCTGGACAGGGGCGGATTTAGGCCGTCTTCTGGGTCTTCCGGAAGATGGTCAGATTTTCAAGTTTACATTGAGGTGTATTGTACGTTTTCTGTCGGAAGACGGTCAAAATGGTGGATGGATCAACAAAGATAATTTGGAAGACTGTCAGAAAATATCTCCAGATCTGCCCCTGCTGGAACTAGGGTGAAAACTCTAGTACAAACTAAGCTATAAGCAGTCTTCAGGTTCTTCTCAAACAATTTTAGTGTAATTTGCAGTTCTGTGTGGATGGACATCTCAAGTGCTAGCAAGGTGTTACATGCAGGTTTCCATTAATATTGCTGTAGATGATAGGGTTTAATTCAACAAAAAAAAAAAAAAAGCAAGGCATTTTCAACGTTTTTCTCTTTAACACCAAGAAGTAACCTATATCAAAAAACCTCTAAAATTATAATCAATAAATTCATTGTTGGGGTCTTAGTTTTATTTATTTATTAAATTCATTTATTTATTTATTTACTTTCATTTTAACCATCAGGAGTGAAATTCACCTGTTTTTGCTTCATTACAAGCAGGTGACTTAAAAATGAGAAACCAAAGATTCAAAAACTTGTTAAATTAGAACCAGTTCTTTGGACATGATACGATTCATGCTGATGATGAATGGTGTCCTAAGTGGGCTTTTCCTGCAAGAAAAAAAAGAGCAATTTTCTAAAATTCTCCTATTATCAGATCTTTGTTTGACCTGCCTCTGCATTTGGTTGCGACATTACACGCCATTTTTGATTTTGAAATAATTTAGTTTTTATTAACCATTAACCCCTTCATGTTTTCATTTATTAGCCAGGTTTTATTGTTTCTAAATTGGGTTTAAAATAAGTAGCTTTGCAGGATGTGTATCCTGTGTACACATGGAAAATAGGCTTCCAAATGAGGTAAGTATACTGTCTTAAAGGAAAAAGTGTTGACATTACCAGGAAAATGTAATTTTTATTCCTAGATGAAGTCTAATGATTTTTTTAATTGGCGGAGATGGGAGGGAGGGAGAGAGAGAGGGAATGCCAGGGCCTCTTTCAAGGCTTCCTTCACAACTGAATCAAAAAATCACAGAAATCTTGAGGAAACGGCTCAAACATACAGTTTTGAAATAAGGTTCCAGATTACCCAGTGCTTTGTGCATTAACTTAAAGATTTGAACAGGCCAATAAATATTAACACCTGTCTTATAAGATATCTGCAGGTAGGAAGTTCACAGGGAAAGCCATAGAATAATACAAGGCTTTGTGTATGAATTTACTAATAACATTTATAGGATGTCACATTTACGAGAATATATTCCTCTAAGGAAACAGGTACTGATCGAGATTTCTGTTTGAGCATATTGGAATAGAACTTGAGGCTCAGATAGATCTCTGTTATATGCAGGAACTCAGAAAAAAAGGAATTACACAGAAAAACTTTGGACTCCTGCCATTATATTTTGTCTGCCATGCCTCATGAACAAGATGACAAATTTTACCAAGGCACAGTAGAGTGCTGTATGATCTCTGCAAGAGACTTCAGGGCCTGAATACAGTTGGGTGGGGGAACTGCCCTGTTGGCTGGAAAAAATCCATAATAATAATAATAATAAACTTTATTTAAAGAGGGTAAAACATGTTAAGTGTACGGTATAAAAATTTGATCTAGATTCTATGCCATTTCTGAAGTTGGGTCAACTGAAGAGTAAAACACAATTTTTGCCATTTCCCAGAATATTTCAGAAGAATATGCGAGTTTTCAGTTTCTTTAGTTAGAGAATAGATAAATTAGGTATGGAAATATTTCCTTGTCCAGACCAAAAAAAAGGTTGCTATGATACTGTGTTTTAAATGGATGAGGATGTTTTATATTAAAGTTAGATATCAGTGGACAAGGTATTGAATGTGCTACAAATACCATTTAGTAAAGTGTTTCATATGACAGTAATTTTCCCACTTTTGTGACTGGACTAAAAGGGCATTGTTATACGGATCACACAGGAATTATTATTTTATGTTAATAATATTATTCTGTTTTGGCAAAATATAATTTGTCCCAAAAGTGTGGGGATAATAAAAAACATCAACCATTTCTATTCACAAATAATCTTTACTTTCAAACTTGTATCCTTGTTTTGTTTGGTCTTGTAATTAAATGCATGTTTTCTTGCATTTCCAGTGACATTTACTGGAAATCTGGTTCATTCACCTAGATGTATTTGATGCTTGGTATAAGTAATAGGCCAACTTTAATTAAATACTTAATTTAATGAGATCATTCATGCGTGGGGAGGCGTGAAAGAAACGTGGAAGAAACATGCTACATGTAGTTAAGCATGAAAATTCATGCGTTAGCACTCCTTTTGACGATTCCGATATAAACTGGCTATGCTAACACCAGTACTGGCTGCAGCCAGTACATATTAGAATTGTCATTAGGAGTGCTACATGTAGTAATAGTTACGTCTGCCAAAATGGGCATGTCTGAGGGTTCACAAGAATGAAAAGCAGCAACTCAAGAGATTACCCAGCCAAGTTTTATTTAAAAATGCATTTAATAAATATAAGTGAAAAACCCTATCTAGAAATAACTGTAATGTTTTGTTTGTTTGTTTTTTTTTTAAAGAAAAAACAAGGCATAACAATTGTTTTTATGTGCAATCTCCAAATATGATTGAGGTTATACAAATAGCTGGTCCCACACAAGATTATACCTTCATCATATAAACACCCCCCTTTTTGCTAGCAAAGTCTGGATAAAATTTAAAATTTTGGTCTAGGAACATGAAACTTTCAAAGTAAAAGATCCACTTCTATGGAAAGGGACCACCCTTTTGAAATTGCTGGCTACGGACCTGAGTTCAACAGGAAGTTTCAAGTTTTATCTTAAAAGATAAAGAAATATCCATTTGGGGCCATCAAAGCAGGGAATACACAAGGTTAGCTAGTGAGCGAGTGCTCTTAAGGTGCACCTTGCATTTATGTGGCCTATTTTATATAAGCTATAGATTTTCACTTAAAACCAACTACTGTATAGTAGTTCAAGGATTTTCTGCTCAGTTTTATGGTTAGTTAATTCTGATTGGTCTGTCTTGTGTCGCAGTGGCTTTTGTATCACATGGAATTGAATTATTAGCTTGTTTTTCAATGTCTATGTTACCTGTAGTATATAATGTAAGAGGGTAAGGCTTCGTTCACATGCAATGTCTATTTTCTAAATTCTATTTTCTATTTGCGGTGTGTCTTATGATCACGGTCTGTGCACTGAATATCCCGCCGCGTAATTACTGGAAGCGAGCCAGTTACTATAAGTTACTATAAGTAACTGGCTCGCGCTGCCAGTAATTACGCGGCGGGATATTCAGTGCACAGACCGTGATCATAAGATAGCACGAATAGAAAATAGAATTTAGAAAATAGACATTGCATGTGAACGAAGCCTAAGAGTTATTATGCTATTATAAAACATTATATAACAGTGCATCAAAATTGGCCAAAACATTATTATGTACACTTTTTTCTGCATAATGTCTGAATATTTGTCGGCTTTGCTGTTTAGTTTATCTAATGAAATTGAATTGACTTTTATAAGAAATAAGACTCAAAATGTTATTTTTCAATCCAAAATGATATTTTGGATTGAAAATATATTTATTTTAGTTATTAATTATTTTACATCAATACTGTAACCAAACCCTTCTCTTTCTGCATAAAAAGACAAAATGTTGCTTTGAATATGAACTGTTTGTTTATTTCTTATTTTAGCAGAATGTTCAAGTTCTCTGCTGGCACAAATCTACCGTATGACGAGTTCTCACGACATAGAAAGATACGGCAACCTAGGGTAAGAGTACTGCTTTCCAAAATGAAAATATTTAATACATGCACATAAAACTACTGAAAATCTGTTGTTGCTTATGAGTTGGCATAGCTAAAATGTATCAGGTTAATATTTAGATTGTTTTATTATTATTAATATTATTACTTTATTTTTGTCAATGTTTGGATGTTTGACTAGACTGTGGTCGCATTCAGAACAGTGGACTAACTTGTCCGTGGGTCAAATATGGTGACTCATTAAAAAGCTTGCCGTCTAATCCGCTAATAGACACTGAGCAGAATCTCCTTGGGGAAGTACAGTATTCAAGTGGGTCGGCCATATTTGACCCTAGGACTAGTTAGTCCACTGTTCTGAATCCAGCCTATTATTTAGTCAAACATACTTTGTGATAGAAATATTGTTCCCCAGTTAAGTTTGTATCTACCAGTGTCAAATTTCATTTAAATACTCTGTGCCTTAGGGTGCTTCTCAATGAATCTATCATACTACTAGGAGGAAGCTCGACTAACTTTGCTTGTTCAAATTAACTCTGTTAGGACTCTTGTTGAACACAAATAGATTAACAGATTAACATGCCTCCTCCTGGTGTTAAGTAGAATACAGAAAAGCTGGTGATTATACGAGTATGTCGGAAACAAGAGAAGGTGTGTTAATCAGTTAAGCTGATTGCTTTCTAGTGAGAGTCCCTGTGGAGTTAATTTTGAACTGCCTGGTATGATTGCTTCATTGTGAACGTAGTCCTTCAGTCTAGATATGAGGGGGTTGAAACTCCAAACAAAAAGTACATTGGGTGAATTGGTAATTCTGATATTTTGTCTTTTTTTACAGAAAAAAACACTTAGAATAATATGTACGTGGAATAACTTCATGCGTTGGTTTTCTTTATTGCAAATAGTCCATAAAATATACCCCATGTGCTGAGCTTACTTCCTGTATGCCTAAATTTTAGTGTGAACACTAAATGTCATTTCAATCAGTGCGTATGTAATCTCAGCACCTTTGTTATACTTAATGACCACATTTGCCAGGCAGAAAGCCAGATATAGTAGTACATATATTATAAGTGTGCTGTGTGAAAAAAATACAAAATGCAAGAGTTACTCCTATGCTCATTGTAATTTTGGCTTGAGAGTTTGACCCCTTTGAGAAAATAAGGCCAAAGTCAGTGCTGTTTCACTTTTGAAACTGATGAAAAGAGAGAAAAAAAGAAAAACATCTTGTTAACTTCCCAGGATGAAAAAAAGTGCTTTTGCTCTGAATTTTCAGGATCCCATGTCTCACCGTTTGATCGAGAAGAGGCGAAGAGATCGCATGAACAACTGTCTGGCTGATCTTAGCAGACTCATTCCACCAACATACCTAAAACAAGTAAGTTTAGTTCTAACATTCTCCAGTCTCTAGACCACCTTGCCAATTGGAATGAATTTTCTGAGAGGAGCAAAGGAAGCAATGGCCAATCTTTTTCTTGTTATGTTAACTGTCATGGTGAGACACAGGCCTACCCAACTACCAGACTCGGCACCAAATGATTTTGAATTCGTCGGAAATCGGACCACACTACCTGTTTTCAAGGTGTGCGTCAGTACGCGCTTTGACTCAATTCAATTTCAATTTATTAAACCTTTAAGCCCTACAGCTCATCAGAATATAAAACAGTGACAAAATAAAGTTATATCTAATCAACTACCATGACTACAATAACTACTACTGATACAAACAATAATAATAATAATAATAATAATAATAATAATAATAATAAGTATCAGACGCGACAATGCTCTTGCCTAGTACGCGATGTGATAGTGATGATTCTCAGCCGAGTTGGAAAGTATTGCATCACCACTCAAAATTTGTTCGGGGTATGATACTGTGAAATGCATTGAGTAAATTGGTCGTTGGGTAGGCCTGAGACACATTTTCTTGATTTAAAACTTATCAGCATTGCTGTATCAGTTTGTGAAAAAAAGTGGGGGCAGTGAGAGTGGATGACAGCATATAATGGAAATCAAACAAATAATCCAAAATCTTGGGAAAGGATGGTGTGTGTGGAGGCAGGAAGACGATCATCAGATTAGTCGGCTCTTCTTTAATGTATTTGATCCGTGGAACAATAGATCCCCGGATCTTCTGTTCTTAATGGCCTTTTACATGCATAAAACACAAGTTATGTCCTTGTATTATTTGCATGACAGGACAAGTAACTTTTTGATTGTTTAATTTTGATCTAATTGAATTAATCAAAATGTACTGTACACACAGTAATAAGGGTTTAAAATATCAGTTTGATTTTTCAGAATGGTGGGTGCAGTATTTTTTTGTACCTATTTTGAATGCAAATTTCTCCACCCAAACAAATACAATAGAATAAGACCAGAAAGTAAATCAGTTACTGATTCCCTCCTATTTCATATCATTTCCAGCAAGGTCAAGGGAGGATTGAGAAAACTGAAATAATTGAGATGGCGATTAAATATATTCACAATCTACGAGAGAGAGCACAGCATGGCCCACAAGGCAGACCAGGTATGAGTCAGTATATAAAGTGAAGTTTGCTGTCTATTCCAAGGGCAGGTAGTGCACTTGAATGCAGGCCTTGTTTTAAATTGAATTTACTCATATTTTACTCAGTTTTCTGCTATCTGTTTTCTTTGTTATTGATGTGGTTACTGGCATATAAATGAAATTGCCAACATTGCAGTTTGCAAAAATGCTATTAGTATATCATTTTCACTGCAATAAGTGATACTGACATATATGTTAATGTTATGATGTTTTAGAAGTGCAACTCAACACAGCGGATCTCTCCGAAGACAAATACCCAACAAAAAAATGTTGCCAACGTCATTTTTATTATGGGTTCAAGGAGAGCATGGATGAAGTGGCAACGTTTTTGGTGGAGTGTCAGGGTTCCAGTCCAGAAGATATGCTCTACCAAGGCATTATAAAACATATGGAAAGGGCAAGCCAGAAATACTATCCAGGTAAAAGAAATAAAAATGCACTGATACCCTGAACCTACTGTTTCTCAATGATTATGCAGAATTCTTTACACCCTCTTTACCTTCTGATATTATGGTTATTGTCTTCAATGAAATAATTCACCCTTATGGGCATTATTTTCAGTGTCTGAGTCATAGGGGGCATTCCCATAGATTTTAGATCAATCTATCCCCGTGGGGAGTCTCACTAGATTACTGTCAGCTCAGCTGGCTTAAATGTCTGTCCCGCCGCTGTAAGGGGTAATTAACTTTTGTGCCTGCTCGGCTGACAGCTATTTAGCTTGAACCCCCGGGGAGTTAGGTTGATCTAACTGGATCGATCTGCAAAGAAGTTGGTCAGAGTTTTTAAAAACCAGTAAAAAGTGACTCAACTCCTAATTTGACTGTGGAGCTGCATGAGTGTTAAATTTTTTTTTGTGGAAAAAGTTCATTAATTCACAACTTTTAAACTACGTTCTGATTTTTAGATTCAAATTGAACATTGCTTAAATTTATCAGTATTTATGCTAGCTGTGATGAAAATTTTTCATTATTTCAGTGGACAATTGCACTTTTACCAATCAATTTATATACTTTTAGGCAACTACAGCAGCATCCCACAAGAGCCACCAGCAATGTGGAAACCACAAGATTCCATGGAAAGCAGAAATGAAGACGATATGCAGATGTCCTCGTCCGGCATTGGAATGACAGATCACAGTAGCACACAAGAAAACTCCCCCACAGAAGTCTCGGACTTGAGAAGCAGCAATGGCGCTGAGATCAAAGATGACGGTTTGAAAAGCCTCCTATCAAATTTGCCAAACAGTGAGGAAAAAAATACAGAATCTACGACTACTGTTACTGAAATGAAGAATGATGACATTTGTGCTGGGATGGATGAGTCTGTTGAAGGAGAGTACCTCGAAAATGGGGAAATGCCGTCCCCTATCGAGGAACCTACCGACCAGCAGTGCAGTTTGGACAGCAATGGTGACAAGGTGTACAAATTCAAAAATATCATAAAACTGAGATTCACAGAGGACATGAAAAGTGGTCATCGCTACAGTAAAACAGGCACTTCGAGTTCATCCAACAGCTCCAAGGAGGAGAACGACAGTGAGATGTTTCAGCTGATGGGGAATCAGTTGAACTCCTATTGTGGAAGCTCGTCCTCCACAAACTACCCAAACTCTAGAGACAGCTCCACCAATGGGTACAGCTCCAATGGCAATGGGTACAGCTCTCAAGGAAGTAGTGGCAGCGTGGGCCCCTCCCCGCACAAACAGCACTCGCACAGCCACAACAGTCACGTGTCAAAAAAACAAGCCAATAAAGACTATATGGAGAGAGATATGAACGTCCCTGGCTTTGCCATGCACCCCTCAGCAACGCATTATATCCCCATTATGGTCCATTTGTCCTATTTGTCCCCCTTCTTGCAGCACTCTGAAGTAGAAAGCGTACATCAGATTTTTCACCCAATCAGCATTCCTGTCAGGCTCGGAGGGCCTGTCATACCCCCGCCTCTTGTTTCGCTGGAGGGCAAACGAGCCAGTCATAATTGATAATGACATGATGGTGTAGATGCCCTTTTGAAAACTGTCTTGAATAACTGCTTTTCTGTTCATTTAGCTATGTTCCCAATGGCACAATAAGTTTCTCACTGTAATGAATTATTTATTGTTGATTTTTTTTATCTGTTTATCAATTTTTCTAACTGAAACCTAAATACAACTGATAATTTATGGTGATACAGGATAAGCTGAAAATTGGGAACAATTTCTCTCAAACAAAGTGTATGTAGACTTCAATGGTTCTGACAGAGGCTGCATATGCTGGGGTCACCTATGTTGGAAGTTCTAACTTCTAGTTATAAAATGTTGGGTGAAGGCTTAAAGGTAGTGGAGAAGGAGTTGGGGGGGGGGGGGGGGGGGGGAGAAAGTGGTGGTGACCCACAATAAATTTACCAGTGCTTGTAGTGTTGTAGTTTGAAGGATTGCAATAAGAGCAAGCACTTTGGTGGATCTTCATTCAAGTCCCCAAAGTATAAATAGCAACAATGTTAACTCCTGGATGCCATAAGTCATAAAAAAACTTTTAAATTAGACTCATTGTGAAAATTCATAACAAGACCAGCTGTGAAATAAATCTTGATTTGTGAATACGTTTAACTGTGATGTTAAGTAATGAACTAGCTTCACTGGCGAACATGTTTTTCATTGTCTTGTAAGTAGTGGTGGTGTTACAAAGTAAATCCTTTTGTCTCTTTAGAAAAAAGTTGCATTTTAAGTATAGTGTTATGTTGTCATTGCAAAGCAATGTTTAAGCGATATAGGTTAAGGTTGCATTTGATGTCAAAATTTATTATCACTATAAAATTATTATTTTTGTTATTGTTTTTATTATTATTATAGTGATCTTGTCAGAGAAATTCATGGATATCAGCATTTTTATTAAAAATATGAAAAACTTCTTTACCAACTTCATTCAAAGTGATATATGTCAACAAAATATTAAGATTGCTTTGTATGTCGAAGATTTTTTTTTTTACATTTTTCATGAGGATAATGTATTGCATATTACACACACTTAGAAGTGCCCTATGTAGTTCAGTATAAAATTTTCGTTAAGCACTCTGTGAATTAAAACCATGCATTCCTGCTTTATTGTGAATCTTCTGAAGAAAGTATTTTGTGTATGGTGCTATCAATAGTTATTTATTGTCATTTATTTTTTTGGTTCAAGGAATTTTTCTCTAAACGCAAACATGAAATTGCGCTCGCAATTATGGAAATGGGATGTTTGAAAAAATATCTAGGACACCTTATAGACTTTGCTGGTTGTTTGAGTCAGAGATGTGAAAACTTCCTTGTAAAATTTATCCATATAGGCCCTCTTTGTTTTGTAAATTAAGTTTCACAGTTTGCTATAATACTTGTACATATTTGCCAGCCTGTATAATGATTGAAATTCTATTTAGCTTTATTTAATTTTCCCTATGTAATTGCCTGTAATTGCTCATTGAAAAGTTCAGTTTTCTATAATTATATTTAGGGCAGGCCTGGTGCCTCCTAGATTTTTGTCCCAGTTCTGTATTTATGAGATTGAAAAAAACTCTGCACATCAAAAATTATTATTATAATTTATCATTAGTGTCTAACATTTTTTGGGATTCCCAAGAATGGTTGAAGGCCACTTGTTATAACCCCTTGTTATCATGATGATATTTGTAAGTTGTTGTAAATAACAGACATTTAGTAAAATATTTAGTTGTTGTTTTTGTGGTCTCTTTTGGACAAGACGTTGTGGCAGTTTGTTTGTAATCTATATTCAGAAAAAAATAGTGTCTGTCTCTGCATGTAACTCCCTTACTGCAAAATAATTAAAACTTTCATACCCAATTTTATAATTAAAATAAACATGCAGCTCTGATGATATATTTCACGTATTATTCTTGGATTTCCTGTAACCCAAGGTTGGTTGAAGGCCATATGATAAACTCCTTGTTACAGGAATGAATACCATATTTTCTAACTTGGAAAACTTAAAGGTAGTCAAATTTCAGTATGTACTTTATCCATGCTCCTTGCTGCTGAATAACGACGGCCACGCGAACATTAAAACGGGCAATGACTTTTGCAATCATGTCAGCCCAACTGTTCCTTACTTCTCTTCAAAGAGTTTGTGGCTTTTAAACATAAATTCTGTCCTTAAGGTGCCCCCAAAGGAAGAAATCTGGGCGATTGAGATCTGGCGAGTAGGGTGGCTAAGGAAAGTGTGATGCGAGATGATGATTGCAATTTGACTTCCATAAAGGTTTCCAATTTTTGCAGAATTTGCAAGAATAAAATGGTCATCCTTATGGGACAGTTTCGTGAAAGAAAGTTGGAAATATCCTAATTATATCAAAATTGAGAGGGAAAGTAACTTTTTTTTTTATGGACCACCCTGTATGTTACAGAAGATTGGTTTGTGCACTGATGAAACAACCTTCAAGCCTCCCTTTCTGTACCTGTCAATTGTTCCCTATTTAAAGGGTCACAACTGTTCATTTTGGCCAAAAATTAATTTTCCTGAAGCTTTCCCATACTTACCAATGGTTAATAAATCCATTTCTAATTCTACAGAGTATAGCAATCTTTGGAGGTCATATGGTCAGATGGCAAGCACAGATATCAGAATACTTGCTTTAACTGCCGTTTTTGATGTAAAATAGAGTATATTATATTTCTGAGTTGTTTACAATGATTTTACTGTGAAATATAGATCTTGTAGGAAGAGTTGTTATCCCTTTAAGAGTGTGATATGTTGACACCATGTGAAGTATTTGGAAATTTTCCTGAAGGTGTAACTTTCAGTTAGCAAGGAATATTAATTGAGTGATATCCATATTTACAAATGCTTCGTTGACACCTGCTCACCACCAATTTCCCACCTCTTTTAACACTTGCATTAAAGTGAGTAAACAGTACAGTGAATCGGATCTGACAAGAATTCACGACGAGTCAGGTTGTAATATAGATTCATAAAAAAAAAAAAAAAAAAAAAAAAAAAACGTGTCTGCCTCTGCTGTATGTAAATGGTAACTGCAAAACACTGAAAATGATGATCATCATGCTTTTATCTACCTGTCAGTGCTTTAATCTACAGTGTTTATGATTGCAGCTGGTGAATTCTATGTGGGAGATTTTAGTTAAAGAAAATATCCTGTACCCACATGTCTCGTTATTAAATACACATAGTGATGATTTTAATAGTGAAAATGATATTTATTTCAGTCATTGGAAATATAATGTTTTTTGGGCTTGGACAAGTAGTGCCATCATCTTTCAAGACATGTTTATCTTTTTTGTCATCCATTTGTTTGAATATAAAACCACAAAAACTATGACCAATTTTCGTTGTTGTTGCCCTGTGTCAATGCAAGTCACTGCCTCCATGTCAAGGCTGGATTCAGTCTGTTACTTTTGCTGTCATATCCATCCATACTAAGGAAAATGCTCTAGCTATATTCACACCAACCAGATATTTAAAAATCTGATAGTCAGTAATGAATTCAATATTACACATGTCCACATAATGACAATGGATATGTTCAAAAAGACTTTTGGAAGGTAATATTCAGTATCTGAATAGTATCCCACCTCGCTTAATTCTGTTGTGGGTGTATTTTTCCCTGTAGTTTGTTTTACAAAACTGCTGTAACCAAAAATTCAGAATTCCCTGTAATATAAAAAATCAAGATTAAGAGACTGTAAACACTTTAGCAATTTTTGAACCCAGGCAGTAGAATCATTACCACTTTAATAAGACACAGTGCAGGCCCATAGCCAGGGGGGTTCAGGGGGGGGGGTTGAAAGAACGGCCCCTTTTGCTAGGAAAAGGTCCACTCTGGGTAAAATATGATCTTGGTACATGAAGATTATATGGGAAAAGGTCCACTTTTTCTAAAAAAGAACCCCCCTTTAGAAATTGCTGGCTTAGGGCCTTCAGTGTAATATATTTCAATTTGGCAGGGGTTAAGACTGGTCTATAGCACTGAAGTATGGTGCATTCAAACAATCATGAGTAGCAAGGCTTTAAAAGCCAAAGACAATTTATCCATTTATTCCTTTTTTGTGATCAACCTTTGAGTTAGAAATGAATTTTGACATCAAACAGAGTGCATATTGATTTTTATGTTTATTAAAGCACCTTTTATTTCATTTAAAGAAAAAAAAATTCAATTTCCTAAGTGAACATAACGGGTGGATCAAAAAAAGGAAATTTCATTTTTTATTAAGCACCTTCATTTAAACAAACAAACAAACAAACAAAAAAAAAAAACAGATGTAAGCTAACCTGTATCCACGATGTTGCATGGAAACCATGGAACCGGACAAGGAATCTTCTTCTGAATCTGTCTCATATACTGGATTATCAAACTTACTTGATGTCAGCTTTGCTGTTGATTCTGAAAAAAAAAAATGTACAAGTCTTTTTCTACACTAGCTGTCACATGTAACGGTGTTATATAAACTACATGTTCATATTATATACGAACTCTGCACCACTTGTCTCCTTATATTTCAAATTATCATTTATCTTGTTTATTCCTGGCAGTTCCCGGCCATCGAGTATATAGAAGGGAGTATTTATTATCTATTTATGTAGTAATTCATTTTTCAACTGGTTTATTTATTGTATGACTTCAGTGTTTCTCCTTTTCCATAAGTTTAAATCCAGTGCAGCAGTTCCAGAATATCAAGACTGTGGGGTATTTTTTATTAATCAATTAATTAGTTAAATAATTGATTGATTGATTGATTTGTTCCTGTATGACTACTGTACTTACCTCTAGTTGGTAGTTTAAATTCCCATCCAATCCACTTTAAAAAGATGCCTATCAGTATTGACAGAACAACAATTCCACCAATCACTGAGCCCACTATAGCTAAAGTTTTATTTGACCATGCCAGCCTAGAATGGAGAAAAAAAAACAGTTGATTGAATTGTAATATTATCAGCTTTTAGAGTGCCTTATCCTGGCAAGAAAATTCATTTTTTTCTTTTGTAGTACTAAATATTTTACCCTCTTACACAATATAGACTTGATATAGAAATGATCCTTTAAGACTAGAAAAAACTGCTGATGATGCTGCATTTTTTGGTGGAAATTGCTTTTTATCTTATTTCATTTTCACCACAAAACCCCACCAAAAGTCCATTTAATTTCATGGGAAAAAGCCAACAAACATTTAAAAACACAATCATGTGTGTGTTTGTGTAATTGTGAGAGGGAGAGAAGGGGGGGGGGGAGACTTTGTATGGTTATAATTATAAGTGATGAAAAAGGAAATAATAAAAAAAAACTGTAAAAATAATACATTAATTGATAAACATGTGCATACCATTCATCATTTAAACCTACACCATTGCCTTCTGTGGTCATGTTAACTAGACTGCCAGTAGTTCCCTGCTGAAGAGCACCTAAAATACATTTGATCTCAAAATGATTCATTATCATTAACCAAGCTTTAACTCATATGGTGATATAAAATTTACAACTGAAGCAAATTAGAATCAAAAGGTATGCTGATTTAAATTTATTAACATATTTGTGTTTTTTCTTGAAATTGATTGGCTTTAAGCAACTTGGTTTACTGGTGTTGTAAAGAAGATGATTACCCAGTCTGAACTATAACAAAGTTGTGAAATTCATTATCAAAACTAGTAAAAAAATTTAATCTTTATTGTATTTGTTAAAATCCATACATAAGACTTTGAATTATTACTACTGAATTATTCCATGATCCTAGTATCTGTTTTTAATAACATTTTCACCTAATTGTATAATTTAACTGTAAGAATGATAATTATCTTCGATGAGCCTTGTTACTGAAAACAAAATGTCAAAAACTAAATTTTTGACAAATGAATGAATGCAGAATACTGTAACTGATCTCAAACTATGATAATTTTACAGTCTTTTACTCTGTAGAAAAAGCTGACCAGGGGGAGGGGGTGGGGCATAATGTCCCCTAGCTTTGTTGGTACCCCTTCTCCTGCCCAGAAATAGTTTAAATAATAACAAAAATGAGACAACACCAAGCCACTGTAACACCTGTTGCCAGCACATTTGAGTAAACTGGTCTTTGCCTAGGATTTCAGATATAATTAACACAATTAGAATGTGTGATAATTTAAACCAGATGTTGCGCTGTTTAATGAGTTTTGCAATTACAAAACAGGATGTTGAGGTTTTTTTCCAGGGGAAACAGTTCACAGTTTATCTGATACTGTTATTAAAGCCTATTCTAGCTAGGAGCTTGGAGATGTGCAAGGTACCTCCTAAAGATGTACCACCAGCACTGCAGAAATACTATATGGTTAAAAAAATGAGATGGCAGCACACATCCACCTGAACCATGGAAAAAATTTTTTTTCAAAATTTATCTGCTTTGTTTTGATAAAAAGTACAAAGGAATTGGAGAGAAGTGATTGCAATTAAGCATTTTATATTAGAAGTTAGAGCTAATTTGTTTATGCTATGAACATTTTGATTCACAAGGTGCCCTCCATTGAAGGTTTTTGGGCCCTTGATACAATCTCTGATGATGCAAAAATAAGTGTGTTTTCAGTAGGACATTTTTGATATGTCAAAACTGAAGAATTTTTTATCAAAAGGTCAGAACCAAGACTATACATCTTAAAGGTTACCATTACCTCATGACTTCTAAAGCCACCTCTTATTTATTTGATTGTTTGTTTTTTTTTAATTTTTTTTGGTGCTGAAAACAACCATACAATGATTACAAATGCTATTAAATAAATTCTAGCAATGTTATTGTTATCAATTTGTATATATGTATATATATTAGTGATTTTGAGTTTTAACATTATCTTAACTTAATCTTTTTTTATTTTATTTATACTTCTATTATTTATTTCAACTAACCTCATGTGGGTGATGGGAAAGATAATTATTAATATATTTACCATGTGTGTACCCTCAATAAATAAATAAATATGTAAGCAAAATAAAAAATGCAAGCAACATAGAACATAAAAAGTAATGCAAAACCTGTCATTTCTGCTTGAAAATGCATTGTAGCCTGCCCACCACCAGAAAAACCACCAGCAGCTGTGAGGCCGTCATGGGGCACCTGGGTACCATAGCCTGTGGGCTGGGTGACTGCCACCATTGTGGGTGACACAGATAGGGGTTCAGGTGGCACTGAAGCTGTGGAGGCACCAGAAGGCAAATTACCAGCTGTAGAACCTGGTACAATGGAAGGGTTTGGGGCTTTATCATAAGGTGTAGAAACGGGTGTAGGACCTAGTTTGGTAGGAATGGGGAATTTATCAATTGGTTTGGAAATGCTTGTGGAAGCCATGCTGCTGGGAGAAGGAGGTACGGCATAAGTAGTTGATGCTGTAGGTTTTGGTTGGCTGGGTGTTAACAATTGTTTTGGTGTTGGTGGAGGAGGGGTTTTAGCTGGAGTTGTTGGCAGACTTGGGTTTGGAGGGGTAGGAATACCTGTTTGGTTGATAGAGACCCCTGGTCTGAGGGTAGGCCCTCCTGGTTTGAGGGTAGGGGCTCCTGGTTTAAGGGTAGAAGCCCCTGGTTTGAGGGTAGGGGCTCCTGGTGAAGGGGCTCTGGAGGGCCTAAGTGTGGGTGTAGGTGACTTGGAGGTCAGAATATTGGGTGTAGGTTGTGGTGGGGATACTGTGAAGTTGGCTTCTGTACTTGGGACACAAACAGGATATCTCAGGTGGTTTGTCCAAATACAGCTTCTCATGGCTGTGCAATTTTCTTGGCCTTGTCTGAAAAGAAAAGTGTATTATTCTTTCAAAGTAGATTTCTGATTTTTTATTAAGTACTAGACCATGCAATCTCTTTTTTTAAGAAAAAGGTGATAAATGCACATGAAAACACAAAAATCCAAAAGTAAGTTTTTTTATTTTCTATTTAGTGTGTGTTTGTGTGTGCAAGCATGGATGACGTGCTGAATAATTAAAATCTTGAATCTGACGTCACTGCCAGTCAGTTGCTAACTTTGTTCTATACCAGTTCATCTCCATTTACATGCCCCCTTGCTTTGGAGGTAAACCTCCCCCAATATAAAGTGAAAGGAGACAAATGGGATTTTTTCATCCCTTTACACTACATGATATAGTAAAAGTCCCTTCAGTAAGCTTTTTTTTACATATTTTTACCCAACCCCCCAAAACCAAATCTTGGTTCCAGCAGCTAGGGCACCTGTTTGTGTAGAGGTATTAATTCCCATTTTAAGCTACTTACTCTTCAGTACAAGACCTAGGACATGGTGGGACACCGGGTACAGCCATTGTTGGTTTCACTTTAATAGTCTTTAAATTTGACCTGCCTGTTACTGAAATTAAGATAGAGCAACCAAACTGAATGTTATGATATACATAATGCATAGCACAAGGCAAAACATGTACATTTTACTTTTAAAAATCTATGACATGCTTCTGTAAATTTTAAGTTACGATATAACTTAGAGAGCATTATATGTTATCCTTCCATATTACAGGAACTTTAAGGAAAACATACCTGGACAAAGTGAAGTAAAACTTGTGGTACCATTGAAATCAGAGCACAAAGATGCCCCTCCGCTCTCCTTACAAAGAGGCTCAGAATAGCAGCACTGAAAATATTCTTTGTTTTACTTTTAAAAGAACAAGTTTCTTTCAAAGAAAACAACTGGTATAAGATAAAAATGGATCTTAAATGAATTTTTATACTTAAAAACATGTTTCTTTTGAAAATAAATTAAGATTTGGATGGAAAGATATATTAATACAGATATGATGATAAATATATGTTATGTTTTGTATGTCTTGTAATCAGCTGTGAAAAAACACTGTAAAAACTCATACTTTCACATAACACTGATAATGCACACAGAGGAAAGAAGGAAGGAAGGAAATAAGGAAGGAGAAGGGAAGGCAGGAAAGAAGGAATTAAAGAAGGAAAAACAACATAAACACTCCAATTAATAAACAAAAACACTATAATAATAAATATAATACAAAATACCTCCTTAGTGTCACTCTGCTTAGGAGAGGGCAGACATGTTGAATTGCCTAAAACCGCCAGCAGGAACATGTTTGTGTCAAGTATTCTCTGCAGTACAAACTGTTGGCAGCCCCCATTGACCTGGTACAGACTGCTGGTGTTCAGTACTAACTCGTAGGAAGAACCAGAACTGATTGGAAAACAGCATGCCTTGGCCTGTGAAAGGGAATACAAGAACCTTTACGTAATCTGAAAATTGACATTGTAATTGCACAGAAAAAAAATATTTAAGAAAATGAAATGATGAAAGGTTACTGTACACAATTTATATCATTTTCATAAGTGAATGCTTACATATTCACATATATAAATTATTCTGATGAATCTCATCCTAATCATATTTTCAGGATATGTCAATAATGGAGTAACTAAGAACAAATCCAATTTTGTTGATGTTCAATAAATTAATTAATCAATTAAAAGAAGTGGGATGTCTTGGATGAGGACCCTCTGAGCACTAATACATAATTTCAAATATACATATATGTGTATAAGAATAATGCTGTATTTTAAAACTTAATTCACCTTTAGATACCCATAATTCATCAAGATATCTGCCACAATCGGATAGGCATCTGTCAAATGTTGTGTCTTATCACTGATTTTGTTGTCATGGTTACCAATAATCATATATCTGAAAAACACATAATGGGTCTGATATTGTAATATCCAAATAATTTTTATACAAAACTTTTGAATTACATGTATAGGTTATTAAAATGAGGTGTATTTTTATTTGAGGGCTAACAATTCAAATGCGCATGTATCACTCATTCATTTATATATCATGTTATACTGCTAACAAATTACCTTAAAACACCTTTCCAATCAAGATTTTTGAGTTTCACCTCTTGACCTTACCCCTCCCCACCCCCCCTCCCCCCCAGGACTTACCCTCTGTTGTCCAGCAGATTGCAAGCTATGTTTTGATCCAAGCACAGCCCAACCTGAAACCAATATATGGTAACCAATTAATTTCTCAATTGTATGACCACTCAAAAAAAAAAAAAAAAAAAAAAAAAAAAAAAAAAAAAAAAATGATGTTGGTTGTTCCATCTAACACAGGCCCATAGTCAGGGCAGGTTCAAACCCCTTTTGCTGGGAAAAGGTCCCTTCTGGGTAAAAATTTATCTAGATACATGAAGTTTTCATGGTAAAAGGTCCACTTTTTCAGAAAAAGAACCCCCCTTTTGAAACTGCTGGCTACGGGCCTGTGACATGTACAGGAAGGTAGGTCTTCTTAATGACTGAAATCACTGGCCTGTCATTTTGAATATATATAAACCAACTTAATAAAAAATAAAATAAAACATCAAATCTAAGTGCAGGAGTAAATTGCTTTTTCCTGCGTAAAATCAATTATGCGAGATACATCCCATATAAATAAAGTGCCTTTGAGAGAGAGAGAGAGAGAGAGATGGGAGAAATAGGAAGAAGAGGATCGATGTTGTAAGCTAACCTTCTCCAGCAGGAGTGACTGAAGTAAATGGACACTGACATCAGCTCCAACCACGGCACTCACTGGGTCAAGTCGAGAATGGCCGGAAATACCACTTCTGCATAGTGAAATGTGGAATTATAAGAACTTGCAATGACTGTAACATAAGACTTTGGTTGTGCTTTATATAGACAAATATTCTCCACCTTCAACAGATTCAGTGCCAAAGTGATCAATCCTTTATTTAACAATTCCGCATACAGTATTTTGAAATCTTATTTATTTCAATAAGGTCCATCATAGCCACAGTTTAATACTTATAATACTTAGAGATAATTTCTTTTCAACCCATAAGCAAAATAAATAAATAAATTAATTAATTAATTAAAAATTACTGATTTCAAAGCAAGTATTTGACAAATGTGTATTCATTATGGCATTATAAAGAGCAATAAACAAAAAGCAAAAAAAAAAAAAAAAAAAAAAAAAAAATGAACAAACCTCTCTTCATAAATGGCCTTGCTAACAGAAAGCAACCTAGATCCATCAATGTGAGGCCCAATTAAACTTGGTGCTGGGGACACCACCATGATCTGTGAGAGTCTTGCAGCATTTCTGTACCACTGCTGTTCTCTGGGGTCAAAGCCACCGTCTAATAACTGGCCAGGGTACAGGCGAGCCACACCATTTCTAGTGCCTAGGTACCTAAGAGAAAATACCAGATTGGATTTAAATAATGAAAGAATGCTTTTGGTTAATGTAGAAATTTAGAATGTAGAAACTGAAAAGTTGAAAAATTCCCTCTACTATGATTCACACTACGGGTATGCTTTCAGTTAGTGTAGAAATTGAAAAGTTAAAAATATTCTCCAAAATGATTAACAATATTACACAGATCAATTTCCATAAAAAACAGCTATATCTGGTAAGATCAGGGCCCCGTAACTTGGAAGGCTCGGGCATTGCGACCGAGTGCAAGTGTCTTGATTCCATACCCCGCCCATACTCGCCCAATATGAGGGTTATGGACTCGAGACTCTTGTGCTCAGTTGCAATGTGCGATGCTTTCGAGTTACGGGGCCTTGGCCAATTTTGGCTGGACACAGGTGTACCAACCTCTGGACAGGTAACTGGTCATGCTCCCGCCAGGTGCTAACCAGTTCATCAGATCTGTAGGTATCAACTAAGATAGCCTTGGCAGCAGTGGGGTCTGAAAAGAAGAGACAGAAATTTTAAGAAGAAAAAATTACTTCATTCTTGGAAAGAAATTAAGTTTTTGTACCATTACTTAAATTAAATTTAACTTATCATTTTATAATTAAAAGTTATATTTCCATATATAATTTAGCTATAATGTGTAACTTCATCTGTCTTAGATTTAATAGCAAAAGAGTATTTTCATATTATTATTATTATTTTTTATAATTCAAACTTTTGAATTATCCAGCATGGAAGGGTGGGGGTGGGGGTGGTTGGAGGGTTATGTTGATTGTCAATCCTTAGGAGCTGTACGTCCTATGTATTTCTCTATATTCACACCATTGCCCTGTTTCACAAAACTCACTGCAGCTATGGCCCCAAAATTGGTCTTAACTTTTAGACCCAAAATTTGGTCTTCTTCAGTTAAAGGTAAATCCATAGTAGTCTACTAAGATACAGTGAGTATTGGTCTTAAACATATGCCACATCTATCCTGTTATAACCCAGGTGTAGTATTTCATTTTACTGGACTTTTAATTATTCATCTTTTATCAAAATGGATATTAATTTTTCAGTCTTATAGTTTACATAGACCATTTTCAACCTACATGTATATATGGCTCTTTTGTGAAACTGGTGCTCTTTATATTCACATATACACACATATATATAATGATATATGCTATTTTCTCATCAATCAAATAACAGATCTGTGTTGCTGTTAGGCATTTCACTAGGTAATTTATCAGCATTGGTGATACCCTTTTTTTTCCAATTTCTGGCTGTGAAATATGCATACCTCTCAGAAAAGTGCCATTTCGTCCTGTCCTTAAAAATGTCTGGACAAATTCTGCATGTGTGCATGATTCTTTGCTCCATGGATAAAAAGGGTCATGGAAAACATTTGGGGACAACTGTAAGAAAATGGAAACTTTGTCAAATTAAATACTTCTCTGAAAATGGATATAATATTGTCATTCACCAAAAATGATTTTCTGAGGCAAAAGATGTGAAATCTTTATTTTTGCTCCTTGGAAGAGCCAGGTAGCTTGTGCTCTTGAGAATATGAGTGCATTTCTATTTTAATTTGACAAATATTTCAATGCAACTAATTTAAATGCCACCAAGTTGCTAATTAAAACTTTTAATTCAACCCCTTACTGGTTAATATTCGTTAACAGTTCTGCCAGTTATTTTAAAACTGCAAATTGAGTTGCATAAGGAAAAAAATTTGATGGTTTGAGGTGAGAGTTATACACTCCAGCACATGTTAGTACATGTGCATCCATGTCCTTACCTTAATTACAGACTGATGTTTTGCTACTGGCACACCTGCCCTGTTACACAACGTTGGGTCTCTTCCCATGTTATCTAATATGTCATAGCGATAATAATATGCTCTTGGTTTTGGCTGGTAGTGATACTGTTAATAAACAATAATTCATCAACATTTTATTTGACGTACTCAAAAATAAGTGAAAACAAACAGATGCTTATTACTATAAATTACTATAATATAATTACTATGAATCTATTTTACAATTAATTTCGATTTAAAAATTTCTCCTGTGCTGATGAATTATGTTGTGTACTAATCACATGCATTTCAATTTAAAACAACACAATTTTACAAATTTTCAATTTTTCTCATTATGTTATAAACAAATGATGGAATGGCTTTGGATTTAAACTGGGCAAATGTTGTTCATCTTAAACAAAAAGAAGCATATGCACATACATCACTATAGTCTCTTTGGGTGTCACCATCTACCAAAACAAGGATGATTGCAAAAGGAGATTTTTCCAAAGGTGATATTGAATACATAGCTGTGTCTTCAATCAGTTCTTCATGGACATCATCTGGTACATGTCTTCTGGCCTTAAATAAAGTCAAAATCCTGGATAATTTCAATTAACCATTTTGGATTATTGACCACTGACTAGTACACGTGCATGGTTTATGTAAGGGGAAACTAGAGACCAACGCAATTTACACATTTATGATTAAGTGTGAAGTTGTATAACAGCGAAAAGGTACACATGTTAACCTGTAAGGAATTGTCATCAAATCTCAAATCAGTTCTGACACATGAAAATGTGTTTTCCAAAAGAAGTATCTTGAAATAAAACCTTCCATCATTAAATCATTTACCATTCCAGGGACATTAAAACTGCTATATCCTTTATTAAGATCTTGCAATAAACTCCTAGGTAACTGAGGCTCCATATCTGTCACATAGAGGGTCGGTATCGCAGCATGTAACTCAGAGGGTAATGGTAGTCTTGGATGAGCAATAATGTTCCCTGTATGATAAAAGACACAACTGCACGTACTTAGCTTCAGTGCACATGCACATGAATGTGAAAAATTAATTAATGAAATTAATGAATTATTTAATTAATTTATGAGGAGCAGGAAGTAGATGGTACAGTCACTTGATCCTCCTCTTATTGAGTTAATCTTTGGGCTATCTTGGATATCTTATCATGTTATGTAGCTTTTATCCTTTTATCCCTTTTTAATACAGTGAAACTATTTTGATCATTAAGCTTTTCCTACCTGTCTTTGATACAAAAATGCTTTAACAGAGCATTTTGTTCCTGATATTGTATATTTTATATATTTTATTAGCTAAATAAACCTTTACCTTATCTCAGTCATTATCATACCTGTTCTTCTGTCTACTACCAGTGCATGACTTTTTGCACCTATCTGACTGTCCAGCACTGATCTGAACAAGGTTGCCACGGAAACATCAGTGGCCACTACACCTTTTGTGCCATTCTCTGTAGAAAATGGTGCCCCAATGGTAAGGGCCATGCCTAGGAAAAGTGGAAACCCAGCAAATGAAAAAAATAGCTACATATACTCTCCCAAGTCCATTTCAATGGCAGTTTCCAGTTGAAAATAATTTAATTGGCTTAACTTTAGGAGTTGAAATACCTTGTCGATCATTACAAAAACATTGCCATCAGGCACAAATGGCTAAATATGATCATGCATAACTCATGCATGCAATATTCACTAAGTGCCCTGTTCTGCAATAGATGTACTTTTTGGATAAAAAAATGTAATTCTTTTATTAAAAAAATTTTCTGTGCTCAGAGCAGCTACATTGTGTATCAATACAATTCTTATGATAATGTGCAGCTACTGAAAAAGCTTAGGCTATAATACACTGCATTTTTCTTCACAGGAACAATTCAGATTTTATCAGTTTAAGTGTAAAATTAAACTTTGCTTTAATTAAAAAAATATACAAAGTCAAAATTTAATGTTGGCTAAAGATCAAAGGTAACAGCATTTAAAAAACATGAAGTCTCTTCAGAAAACATTCTCTTTTTTACTGATTCTAAACTCCATCTAAGATTTTTCATGAGAGAGGCAAATAAAATAAGGCTAATTCAAAAGAGGAAAAGATAAATAGTCTTGTGTGCTAAGATGCAAGCATCATACCCACCTACAGAGGAATCATAATGTGGCCCAAAGTAAATATAATCCTGTCCTGGCGGAAGAACACTGGGTTGCAAATATGCGTAATAATCTGACAGGTCCCCATCAAAATCATGAACTACTGTTGTGAGGCTTTTTATTGCCAGATTGGATAATGTGCTGTTGTCTAAACCATATAGGAATAGATGGGCAGGGGTAGCCTGAAAATAGTGCATCTTTTTTAATTTATGGTATCACTGGAAGCTAATTTGCCATTGTGGAAAAAAAATGCCATATCTGAAAAGTGACACCAATTCAAACTTTTGACCATTTTGAAGTCACCAAAACACTACAAATGAAATGATTTTGCCACAAATAATAGGAGCATATGGGGCCACATTTGCAAAATGTTGTAACTTACAAATTCACATGAATAGTATACAAACTGGTTTAAGTTACAACCTTCAATAAATACCTTCCCCTGAAATGAAATAAGTCGATCGTCTTCATTTTCTTCATTTGAAACTACTGAGTCAGACTTACAAGTTGGGCTTGCCCTTGTTCCATTGCTTTCACAACCTCAGTGGCGCCATCTTCAATACCACTTGTGAGGAAGAGCAGTACATTTTGGTTAATTGGTAGAGACCCATGCTAAAAAACGAAGAACAAAAGCAACATATTTGAATTAGATTTAGTAGCTAGGGCCCATATAGTAAGTGTGCCCGGCAGACTGGAATATCTATTTCCCTGATAAGGTTAGTACCATAACAGAGTATCCAATGGGAGCTAGAGGAGGTACTTCAGCAATCTTTTTTTACAAACTTTGTTAGTCACTATACAGGCTTAAATGTATCTGGGATATTTTGACCCAATCAAAATTTTCAAGAAATATAGGCAATTTTCCGATCTCGGGAATTGCTTGACCTGTCCGTGTCCTTTGATCTTGGGCTTGGTGTTTTATACCAGGTGTAATTTAATAATGTAGTTTTTAATGGCTGGTCATTTGTTTAGGCTGCCATGCTTTCCTGAAGGAAATAGTGACATATATATGGTACTTTCATTTGAAGGGTTTTATTATTTTAAAAGTCTGCATGTAATAAATATTCATTATTTGATAAATAACTTTGCAGGATATATAGACTTTGTGGCATTTTCCAATGTAGACATGCAGTATACCTTTAAATAAAAAGTAAAAAAAAAATGTATAGTGATACAAGGGTTGTGTAAACATCAAATCAGTTAAGTAAATCTGGCCCACTTCAAAACTGACAACTGACAGATGTTTTGGTATTATACAGAAATTAGCACACCAATATCTAGAGGAGATACTTTGTTTAAGTTTAAAAAAAGCTGGTCAGCAAGGCAGTTTAATTTTTTTTTTACCTGAGCTTTTACCTTTATAAAAGTTAATACAATATTGAAATATTATGGTACAAATTTTGTTCAAGCTTATTTCAGCTTATATCAAAGAAAGCATCTTTTCCACAAGGTTTATTTTTAACTATGATACTCTTACAATAAGGTGACAAGGAAAGAAGAGTTGACTGTATATTTGATGAAACCTGAAATACAAAGATTGTACACCTTTATTCTTACTTACCTCAACTGCTGAACTTGTATTGAGAGCTTGAAAGGCTAAGTTCAGTGCCTCTGAAACTCCTGCAGACTTAACAACCTCTGAAAATAACAATATTGTAACTTCTTGAAGTTATAACTGCCCTTTGGTGTTGATGGGATGATCTTTTTTAAATATGATTTTGGAACATGAAGAATATATAAGAATGTATATAGGACAAATGATCTTAATGAATCAGATGAAAAAGGTTTTCTTGCATGCAGATGTACCAATAGATGCAAAGCTGGTTTATATTTTAATACTAGCCAATGTTCTGTTGGCAATTTATCCATTTGATATAAAAGAAAAGAAGAGGAGTCTGTATTTGTTGGGATATGCTGTTTTAAACTTCTGCTACTTTCCTTAAAGTTGGTCTTTGTTGAAACTGACATGTTGAAGCCAAGATTAATGATCAACAGAATGTCATGCAGAGTAGTCTTGAAACAAATTGTTCTTGATTTTGCTCTCCTTAACTTGAATATAACACACTAAAAGAAACTGAATGAGTAAAATTATAATTTTGATAGTTCTAAATAACCGTTTAACATATCACTTACCTGGTAGACCATGAACATTTCTCAATTTGCTCTTTATAACATCAATGTTGTATCTGTTTGTTTCCAAAGTTTGGTTTCCACAACCATGTAGTGATACCACATTTGTTTCATTGACTAACATAAGTGCCACCTAAAAAGGATAACTGAACATTGTTTCATAAAAAAACTATATATACATTAAATATCCATTAGAAAATGCAAATTTTCTAAAAGTATGATTTCAGAACAATAGATATACATTGCACACATGTAGCAGACATTCCAAGTTAGGTCAATGGGATCGTATTAGCTTGAGTCATTCCTCAGATGGGTCTTACCAACATGAGTCTAAACCAATTGGATTTCACAATCTAATTTCACTGGAAACAGGTCCACCGAGATGGGCTGTACCAAGTTAGGTCTTCACTGGTAAGACAACCCAAATTACAAAAAAAAAAAAAAAAAAAAAAAATTCTTACCTCAAAAAATGTTATGATGCATATTCAAATTAGTAAATAAAGATGTATAATGATAGGTGAATGGAAAAAGTAAATGGTACTGTTTTTTCCCTTTAATGTATTCACCTGGTCAGCATCAAATAAAGTCTCCAACACATTTTCTAATGTGTTAATCATGGCTTCCCACATTGTGATGTTGCTCACTGCAATCACAATGGCCATGTTCCGGTGAGCAGAAACAAAATGGGAGGCTGCTAGGAGACGTCTGAAACATAATGTTTTTAATTATATGTTAATTATTGGTTATACAACCAGGTTATACAACACTTTTTTATGGAAGTGTCCTTATCGCACATGGGAGTTTTACCTTTGCCACATGACATGTGGAAAAACAAGTTTTGAATTCAAATATGAAAAAGAGAAAGTTAAAGAACAAGGCAGGAAAGCTGTCAATGCAGAGACATAAATTAAGAAAAATGTCCATTCCAACACTTTTTCACATAATGCAAAATAACCAATTTTGTATCATTTTTATATGATCAACTAACTAATTGTTGAGATCTTTAAAATATCAACAGAACAATTTTAAATGTCCAATTTGTTCCATTCTGAGATTCTGAACATAGTAAAGGATCGAATCTGCCAGACTGCAATGGAATGATTTTATTTCCATTTTTGACTCTTTATTACACAATACATGATAACAGATTTACCATCATTTTTAAATAATCAATTAATTAAAATGGTTAAGATGTAAAAAATGTCAAAAGATCACTTTTACACATGTAAAGTTCAATAATGAGACTGTTAACATGCCCTAGTCAAAAACCAAAATTCAGCACAGTTTTCATTTTATTTGTGTAAGGGTGGATAAAACATGCTGAACTAAATGATCTGATCAAGCTGATTTTGGAACTTGATATGCATTTAATCAGCTCTGTTAGTTTGAAGACAAAAGGTCAAATAGTTTTCTACTTATTGTAATTATAACACTGAAAGTGCATGGCTATGATGGTGACAATGATGGCAACAACGATGGCAACGACAGATGCAGGCGTTGTCGTTGTATGTACAGACACATCTGTCGTCTGTACAAAAAAAGATACAGAGTCTGTTTAATCCCACAGTAAATCAGCAGCAGTCCATCTAAATAACATTGTCAAATTTAATTCTTTCACTTTTGTGTTTTAATCCAAGACAGATACTATATTTAAGAGCAGAAATATAAATTTATTCTGGATCCTAGTAGTTTAAAGTCTTCAGTCTAGTTAGACTAAAAAGATGGAACAAACTTTCAATTCAAGTTCCAAGTGTAACCAGCTCCATCATACATTTACTTGGCTTTACTGCTGTGAAATTAGCTATCAGAGGATTTATACCACAGGTTTATACCTGTAAATTTTGGCAGTCTGATGGCTGAGGGATAGTTACTGAGGGATAGGAACAGAGGGAGAGAATGCTTTTGAAAATTTTTCAATTTTTCCTTTTTTTTTTTTTTTTTTTTTGAGGAGGGGGGTCAAGGCGGCAGGGGGTAGATAAAACTAAAAGTTCATATATATTTGTTATGGCACATATCATAACTGCCCACGTGAACTAACAGTTCAGATGAAAATGTCATTTGCTCACCTAGCAAACTCTGATGCCTGTTTGACAGAGGTATTCTTTTGTTGCCCAATTGGAAACTGGTACAGGTCCTTCTCCTCTGTCACGATGTAATGCCAGAAGGCAGAGGATGAGTTCTCTATGCTTTCCTGCAGTAAACAAAATTTTTGGAACTAATTCATGCCATTCACACTACTTTGGACTTGAGCCCACCTGGAGATTCTCTTGACTGACATTCTTCAGCAGGATGTTACAAAAATCTTCATAAGTTTTTTTTCTTTTTTTGCCTTAAAACTTAAAGATGCCTGCTTTTTTTTTTTCAAGTTAAAGTTTAAAGCCACATGCAGATTGCACTCACCTAGCGACAAAAAACAAAGAATCCAGTAGCCAAGAAGAGGGCTAATTTAGCTCAAAGGATCTAACCTCTTTGTCAGAAAAATTCCACCCACATATTCAAATTAAAATAAACATTTTGTCTTCAATTTCAAATTTGAAAGAGGCATTGTCAAGTAAAATTTTTCCTCATATAAAAAAGTACAAGGCCCCAAACCACCAGCTTATGTCAATGAACAGTTCCCCCATTTTTTTAAACTTTTTTGTCCCTTCTTAAATGTGTTCCTGGCTATCAGGGTCTACCTTGGTAAAAAAAATAAAATAACAATGCTTATTGCCTTATTTAGTGGTACAACACCTGAAATGAAAGAATATGCAGTCAAATATATATTTTAAAAAACATGCCTAAAACTGAAAAGCTTCTAAACCTGAAAAATGAATGGTTCTGCACAATACCTTCAAGAAATGTTCTTGCTCTTGGATAACACTGTCTATTTCCTGCTGTTTCTTGTTCAGCAAACAAGATTTCCAATGTATTCCTTGTCGAAATTTGGCAGTATAAGACCATGGACCATTGAAAGCAGAACATTCCTGAACTCTGGGCATTTTATGTTGTTGTGTATATGAACCTTCAAGTTGTTTTTTCAGCACATCCAAACTATTTTCTACAAACAGAAGCTCCTTTCTTAGATCATTATGTAAGTGACGTTGGAGTACATTCTTGGATTCCATATGGATGTATTTCGTATTTTTTCCGGAATCATATATTTTTTGGAGCTTCTTTGCTCCAAGGACTTTTTCAAAGAAGTCGGCAAGGTCAGTTGAGAATAATGAAACTTGGTTGTCAATTTCAGTTTTGTTTAATTGTAATGCCTTTCCTGGGCTAATTGTCAGAAAAAACATAAAAAACACCCACATTCTATATTTACCGGACTGTCCAGACATTTTTGAACAATTCATAGGCGGTTTTTCAAAACGCCTTTTTTCCTTTAACAAAATTCTTTGTAAGATGAGTCAGCAGCAGTATGTTGTTTTCACTTATTTGCCAAGATTCTCACCTTTCCCACAGGAAGGAAAAATTAATTAAATTTCAGCCGACATTTAATTAGCAAAAAATTATTGCTGTGGTTATGAAGAATTTAAAGAAAATCTTACAACGTCAATGGAAAAGTCTTCTCCCCGTTCTGTTATCCCTGCATCTGAGAAACGAGCTCCAAAATCAACGTTATCTCTTAATGACAAGAGTGTTTAATACAGCTTGTACAAGGGGACAGCCAAGTAGGTTATCACCTTCAATTGAGAAAGGTCAATTAAAATCCTGCCAATACTTTAGTGGCTGCTTGTTTTTTTCTCTTACAGCCATTTACACAGTGGTAAATCCTCCTCTTCAGTTTCTCAGCTTGAAAATCAGTCATATCAAAATGTCCACACTCAAATGTTATCAAATACGTAATGCTGTTACATACACAGCAGTCCATTATAGCATCCACGATCTCTTAAAAAAGAAATTTTCTACAAACACCCAAGGTTTAAGAGTTCCCACCCACTCAAACATCTAGTTACCATAACCTTCACTTTATACAATGCCTTTATCGCTATGCTTTGGCAATATTAATGACAAGTTTATCTCTTTTGTTGGTCTGCATGGCACTTAACAGATTATTTGGGGCTTTTTATCATGTTCTGGGGTTTAGAATTTAGATAGCTACAATCAGGCAGCATACAAACTTAGTGTAACTAATCTAATTCCTGAAGAATTTCTGTCCTATGGGTAATTTGCTACCTGAACAAACGTGATGGGATAAGATGTTGAGTCATGGGCTGTCAGTGGTTGGTAATACATTTGCACCCTGAATTTAATGCTGTTTGTTTGTCCTGTTTGTCATGTCCAATTTACACTGGGCAGTGGCCCTTCCACAAACATAGTGATCGTGCAATTTTGGTAGCTTTCACAAGTCTCAACCGTTCTCTGCTTTGGTCACAAGTCTCTGCTTTGGTCAGAAGTCTCGGCCATTCTCTGCTTTGGTCGCCAATTTCAGTTCCACATTAAACCTCAATTGCCAACAAATTTTACCCAATGGCATGCCAAGTGACTTCAGAGTCCATTACCATTCAGTGAAACCCAGAAGGCATGGATTGCAGGACAAGCTAGAACACTGGGACACAACTTTGCAGCCACTGAGCAGTTCCCCGTGACCAGTGACAAGAGGAAGCCAAAAAACAATGAGCATAATAGTGGATTGAAGAAAGGCTCTTATAAATACAAACTATTTTAGTTTATCATAAAAAAATATTAAGAGAGAGAGAGAGAGAGAGAGAGAGAGATTGAACTTTTCTGACACCAGTGGTTTGAACAGACAAGTGGTTCAGATGAATTGCATGAAACTAAAGATTACCTGCACCAAAGTAATCAACACTCAATTCAGTGGAATTTACAAACACATAAAGAAAAGGAAATAGCTTTCTCAAAAACCAAATCAAATTACACAAAGTTGAAGGTTGAAATGTGGCCTATTCTAGGCTAATCAAGAGCATGCAAATTTTTCAAAATTTATCAGTGACATCTTTCTTTCAGCAAGATTTCACAAACTTATTATCGTTTTGGTTTTAGGGCAATTGCTTAAAATGAACAAATAATAAAGAAATTGGAAGCATGAGCCCATTTTCCACTGATTAGTTGCCACCACATACGTGCCAAGATTACGTTTTTATTAAGGAGTTAAAGACCCTAATCTTTTAATTAAGAAGGGCCACTTTTTTCTGCCTTTATTTAGCGAAGAACTAACTGGTATTCAAACACAGCAGGATCATTATGGATCATGGAGTTGGCAAGATTTAAGCTATTACAACAAACTAACTCTTTTTCTCGATTAAATTTCAAGAGGCACCCAATCTCTTAATCCGTTAAAGTTAATTTCCCGTTTTTTAATTTCAATTCAGAGAATCATAAAGCACTTCTTAAATGTGAACAATGTCCAATGGTTGTTAAAATGTAAACCTATTATTTCTTTCTTGAACTTAACCGAAAAAAAAAACTTTTTTTACATATTTTTTTTAGATATTAAAGTGTTAAATTTTAACTGGCAAACAAACATCCATTGACAACAAAACACAGTGGAGTTGTATACATATTAAAAAACATAGTTTATTCAAAGATATACAAACATTACTCTAAATTTCCCTCACTTCTATCATCCATCAGTCACTAAAAGAGATAAAATACGAAAAAAAAAAAAAAAAAAAAGATCCATAGAATCCCAAAGATTGAAAGGATTTCTCAATACATCATTACAATGTGCTTGAAATAGGTCTGGCAAATATTGTTTAGAATCCCCCCTGAATCCAGTATAATTCTTGCCAAAACTCAATCTTACTAAAAATTAGATCAAAAAACCCATTCCTTGACCATCTCCTGTCTGGTGAAGAGCGTCTGAAGAATCAGAAGTTTTAAAAGTTCAAAACTTGAATTAAACTTTCTAATCAAACCTTAAAATAAAATTCAAGTTGATTGCTTCTTAAAACAAGTTTCCCTGGCTTTGGAAACTCAACTCACACAATCCTTGGCAACATGGACTCTACCTTCCTTTCTCAATCTCCTGAGACTCCAGAAAAGGACGAGAACTACGCAAGATCTAACCTACAAAGCACAGGAAAATATTTACAGCTTTTTATATCAAGTTCTGCATATGCTACACTTTACCTTTGTACACATAACATAGTACTCACATTTCATTTCCCGGTGACGGGCATGAATATAAAATTATACTTTTTTAATCTAAATCTGTGCTACGTACTTACATAGAACTAACATGTATCAAAGAACATTTGCTTCTAGACACTTTGAAGTCAGTCAAGTTTAGGCTGGATTGCTGTAAAAACCCACAATAGATAGGCATAATAACTCTACATATTTCACAAAAAGTTAGAACAGCTATGAATACATTTTAGAAATGTAACCACTGTTCTGCACAGACTAAAGATATCATAACATGCATTTTAGCTAAAAAAGAGAATGTTATGTAAAAATACAGATTACCAAGAAGATCCTACAAATACAGGTCATATAATGAGGCGACAGTAGCATTCTTTTAAATAAATAAAGCAAAAAATTTAACTTAAGACTAATTACAGTGTTTATTACAGTGGAAAAAAATGCAATTCCCCCCTCAAGTGAATATTTAAATGAGAAAAATAAATGTTAATTCCATTTTTCCTAGAAACCAACAATGATAGTGCTAAAGCTCTGAAATTATTTTTAAAAATTTTCCAATGGCTGCTCATAAAATTATACCTTTATTTTCAGAATAATGATCCAAAATATTGCAAGGATGTATAACTCTAGCAGTCTGAAACCACAAAAAAAAAAAAAAATTTGGGGTCTAAAGGGAAGAAATTGCAGGAGTGCTTGCATTATCAGAAATCTCTCCATCTCTTGGAAGCACCTCAGAAACCAATACAGCATTTTGCTGTAACACAAGGAGGGTTTTAAAACTCACGTCTACAGAAATGCCCACAATTTTAGAACTGCTCTTGTCAAGAATTTGATAATGTAGAAAATTGATATTTGCACGAAATGTAAGCCTTATACAGTATCTGTATATCCAGCAGTTCAATTTTTTCTAGTTCTAGCACCTTTCAGCAAGTGAAATGACCACAGATATAATCAGGCAGACTTGTTATTTGCCTGTGCAGTTGAAAAGTTAATCTATAATGCAGAGCATGCAATCAAATGCAGTGTAAGTGCATCAAAAAAAAAAATTGGGCTTGATGAATTATCTGTAAAATACATTTTTTGTTCAGGCATAGGAGGCAAATTGAAGGCACCAAATCCTTCATGATACACATTTTAATCACATTCTATTTTCCTTTTTTATCTCGTAAAGCAGCGAGTCAGCTCCGCTATATTCACTCATCCTTTACATCAATCACAATATTCAAATATATTTAATTCCAGTTTATCTTCAAAATTCCTTTCTTCCAGCAAAATTCCTTGCCACTCCAAACCATAATGACCGACTTGACTTTTAGTGTTAAAAAAATTTCTACTACTAATGAAGTAAAAATGTTTAACACATTTATACATCTTGAATTCACATAATGGTTATTAATTATAAAAGCCTGCCTTGTCATGATATAAAACATTTGCCTCCTATGCCTTTGATGTGGTAAATTCACCAATCATAAATGTTGGCAGTCAAATCGTGGGACCCTATTTGGGATGTGTGGAAATTTTCTGGAATGTTCGCTCATAATGTCAAAAATATGTTTTTCCCTTAGTTGTACTGTTATTTCTCTAATTGCTATCATGGTGATTTGACACTTAGAAATCAAATATCTAAACTTTTTCTCACATATGTACTGAATTCAAGGACAACCTGTCTTACTTTTAACATTCAATGTAATATTATCCCAACAGATCTTAAATTTTCTTTCCAAGACCTTTAGAGCAAAGTGAAGATCTTCTTCCCTTCAAAACATCTCAAAGACTTCCACTTTTCTTAACATCCAACAATCCCTATACACATTCTACAGAATTCTTCAGGAAGTTCAATAAAAACGCTCATTTCTGTCTCAGGCTCATGCTATGCAACCTGTTTGCATTCGATACCTTGATATACTTTAATAAACTATTTATTTATATACTGTACAATTTCCATGGCACCATCTGTGCCAAGGAAGGTTTAAGATACCTGTACATTGCAGATCTGTACAAAAAAAAAAGTTCACACACACACTTCCACCATGAGCAACTTTAAATTATGTCCCACATGACGCAAAACGTGAAAGTGCCCACGCCTGCCTTGGTTACTGGCCATCGCCCTCGCCTTCTAGTTTGATTTTCTTGGTGGCTTGTTGAGCTGCGCCTCCCTGTGTCACTGACACATTTAGGATAGGTTTACTGTGAAAGAAAATAAAATAAATCGTTATGCGCAAATTCAATTTCTTTTCCCTTTATTTCAACACATTTAGAATAGGTTTATGGTGAAAGAATACAAAAGGATCATTATGCTCAACTTGATTTTCTTTTTCCTTCCTTATTTATATGTATATCATCTTTTCTAGAATGTATCCTATAAATTTTGATCTGCCTAAAGATAGGTTTACTATGAAAGAATACAAATGGGTCATTATGCTCCACTAGATTTTCTTTTTCCCTTCTTATTAAAGGGATAATGACTCTTCGTGTGAGGTCTATTTTTCACAATAAAAACATTGTGAATAACTCATAGAAATATAATATATTCTGTTTTACCACAAAAACAGCAGTTATAGCTATTATTCTGATATCTGAGCTTGTCTTCAGACCACGTGACCTCCATTGATGGCTATACTCTGTTATAATTTCTTAAGAGATTTTAACAAAAAACCAAACTTTTTAGAAAAAAAAACAGGGACTAACTCTGAATGTAGAAATGGATTCGTTAACCATTGGTAAGTATGGGAAAATTTTTGTTTACTCCATAAAAATTCATTTTTTGACCAAAACGAAGAGTTATTATCCCTTAATATGTATATCACCTTTTCTAGAATGTATCCTATAAATCTTGATCTGCCTAAAACATGCTAACATTATTCCATGAATTCATTAAAATTAAACATATAACTATTGACAAAAAATTCAGGAAACATCTGATTATCAAATTATACTTTGAGAGTTCACCTTGAAACAAATGATCTAAGATGAAAAAAGAACAAAAGCTGATAGCATGCTTGAATCTAATTATGTTTCCATTATTATAAAGTTCCTGTCAGGATAGCATGCTTGAAACTAATTATGTTTCCATTATTATTACGTTCCTGTCAGGATAATATATCAAAATACACTTCTGTTATAATTAAAGAGGCACTGGACTGGTTGTCTTTATTTCCACTTGGTACAAATAAACATTAACAACATTAACATCCACATACTGCAGTAAGTGGAAAGCAGCACGAGTTATCAAAAGAACTATTTGCAAACCAACCCTAAGTGTGTATTGTTCATGTAATTTTATCCACATAAATGTCATCAAAGCTAACATTCTTATCCCCAAGTCACACGCACCTGATAATAACAGTGAGTGTCAAGCCAAGTGCACAGACGATGGCAGGATTCTATATACTATATAATATTATTAGTCATGTTTGAACTCAGGGTGCATGTTTCTGCTAAAGCTCAGCCAACCTTACTTTGCCTGACCACTGCCAATGAGCCATTTTATTATGATCATGCTACCACCGACAGCCGCATTAATCTCCCTTTGTTGTCTGCCCCACCTCCATTGGATCTGAGGCTGGTTTAATGGTATCAAGTTAATCGTAACCACTTATATATATAATTAATCGAAACTACCCACCTGTCTCCAAGTGGCATTGGTCTCTTCACTGGTGTTTTTACTGGAACTGCTGGTGCATTGGAGGTGTCTGCCAAAGATGGAAAATAGACTCAACTGTTAACATTTTGATATCTTTACAAAATTGGAAAGGCATAGAGAGTGACAGACATGTGAAACACACATACAAAAAAACAGCTAGAAGATATGGCACCTTCTTTGAAAATATTGCACTCTATATGCCTGCTTATATATATTTTGATTTTCAAAACTTACACCCTTGCATTCACAAAAGAATTAAAAACTTTAAAGAAATCCTACTCACCCTGTAGCCACCTGACTTGTGTTGCTGGTCCATAACCCTTCTCATTCCTAGCTGCTATCCTGAATATAATGGCAGGCTTGGTGGTGTAGTCTATATGTGCGGAGCCCAGACTGTTCTGATGGACTACACACGATGGATTCGGGCCACAGTAAACCCGTACAAATGCAAGCTGTGCTGGCATGCCTGCCTTTTGTTCCACTTGAGCATTGCGCACTGCCAGGTATACGGAGTACTCAATAATTTTGCCTGCGGTGTTCTGTGGGGGCTCCCAGGATAGATGGGCTCCGTCTGTGCTCTGAAAAAATGAAAAGCCACACAAAAGTTAAAAAGTTTCAAAAACATCAAAAAATATATTCTGTTAAATGCATGCACCAACTTTCAACTCAAATAATTTGGTGTTAAGAAAGTGAAGTGTTCACTAGGCTCAAAATTTACAAATATTAGAATAACATATAACATAAATATAAAAGCTATAATTTTAGAGAAGGCCATCCTTAGAATTGCAACTGATCCTAGTGATTTACTACATAAACATGCACACCAACTTTCAGCTAAAACAGACCACCTATTCTTAACAATTCAGTGCCTAAAACCAGGAATGAGATTGCCATTCGAAGTCAGAAAATATGGCATGGGGCCACCTGGCTCCCAAAAAAGGCAGAAATCCCCCAAAAGTCTGAATAAATCTCATCATTGCACTAGTAGTACCTAGTAGAGAAACAAAATTCAGCAATCAGATGTTTTACAATACTCACTTTGCTGATTTTAATTGCTGAGGGTGCCCCAGGGAAACCTGGCAGGCAAGTTTTAAATGCAGATATTTCACTAAAGGGACCTCGGCCGCAGGCGTTGATGCCCGCCACGCGGAATTTATAGGCCGTCCCTGGAAGAAGTTCCTGACGTTTTAGCACAGAATGGTCTGGCACGCTGACTACATCTATGTCCTGGGGAGAAACATAGGAAAAGCAATGAAAATTATGTAATCAACTGATATATATATCCACTTTATTGGCTAGTTAAGTAATACATGATTATGACAAAAACATGAATGATTATGCAATAAAAATCATTTATTTTTTGCAGTTTAATACGTATTACATTCAAGAAGGTAAATATGTTCAAATTCTGCCACCGAATCTAGCCAAGATTTTATGAGTATTATCCATTTCTTTACTCTATTCCAACAATTTCAATCTTCCACAACTAACATCTGTCAATTCCATTGCACTGATTCTGATGGAAAAACCCAGAATTATTATCATCTGTCCACTTTGTTTTTCAAGCACAATATTTTCTTTCCAGAACAATTTTCAACCTCTCATAAAGACTTACGTCTCCATTTCCTTGGCCCGCCTCAGAGGGTAGATGATAGTGGGACACTATGGTGGACGTGCTCTTGATGATCCCCACATCATACCACTGGTTTGTGTCTTTTTTCACTGACCCACTGGGCTTATTGGGGGACTCAGACTAGAAAGAGAAAAATAATAACAATTTACAACCAATTTACACTACTTTTCTCTATGGCGATAAATCTTTTTTAAAAATCTAAAAGGAACTTTTATTCTCTGATAGATAAATAGGCCTGACAAATTTAAATTATCAACAAAATATCTTACATCATAAACTGATTTTGAAATGAGTAAGTAGTGAACAGATATTGCTGTGGCTAATCCAGAAATGTTCTGGCATACCACTTGCCATTGGATAGAAGCATCTAAAGACTAACATTTATCCTTCTTTTAGAGGGATACATTTCACAGCCATGAAGAAAGCTGTTTGTTATGCAAAAGAAAGAAATCTTTCAAGTATTATTCTAACAAGTCACTCTGTCTACTATCACAGTGTAACTTCTTGAGTTCACACTGCAAGTTGGACAAGAAACTTTGAAGAAGGGTCAAAAATTTGTGCTTCACAGTTAAGATACATAGAAATTCACTTAAAAAAAAGGATTGAACTTTTCCCTTTTTACCCAGTTGCTTTTTGCACTATTACGAGGATGGAATCTATTCCTGAGTACTTACAGGCTTGTCTTGTGTGTCAGCCTTGACCCCATTGGCTGCCCCGTTGGCATCTGGCTCCTGCTTTATTGCGGGGGCAGTAGTCAGACCTCCGCTTGCTGACGAGATGGCTGCCGATGCCAAGGTCGCTAACGGATCTGAAAAAAAAAAACAAAGATATTTTCAATTTCATATACAGCAAAGGAAGTAAAAAAGATAAAAGAAAACAAGCCAGTCAAAGCTGACATATGGACAGACAATATTTGAAAGTGCAAAATATGGAAGGGTGACAAAATAATACAGCAATATACAAGGAGCAAAAAATAACCTGATCTGACCCCTTTCTTAAAAATGTAAGATCAAAGCATTTGAATAATTTGATAGCCATCTTTGCACATAAACTATTGTTCAATCTTCTATGCGTACAATCAACATTCAGTATTACATACATGAAACACAATAACAAAAGGGCCATAACCAATTCAACAAATCCACCACAAACTCCTTTCTGTTGTGACATGAATGAAGCAAATCAGTCCTACAGAGAAAATTCATAAACCAACAACGGTATATTGTGAAACAACAGGAACTGACTCAATTACCTTCTGATATGCTAGGCTTCTCCTCAGCTTGGCTGGTTTCCATAGGCTGTTCAGCTGGTGCCTGTTCACTACTGGTGTCAGTGGCAGGGACAGTATCCATACTCTCTGGTGCTGGCTGTGTGGGGGCAGCACTGCTGCTCTGCTGGGGGTCCTGACCTTGACCCTCTTTGTCCTCCTCAACCTTGACACTGCTGGCTTCTTGTGTTGTCCCAGCCGACGTTGTCGCTGCTGCTGTTGTTGTTGCCGTTGATACTGCCGTCACTGCTGTGCCTGTAGTTGTTGATGTTGCTGTTGTTCCCTCTGTCGCCCCCTCGGATTCGTCCATAGCAAACAGTTGTGCTGGGGGCTGAGCTGATATGGAGTTGGCTGATAGGGAGAGACTGAGGCTGGTTGAGGAAATGCTGCTGTTTGCGGTTGGAGTGGCTGTGGCAGTGAGGAGACTGCTACTTGGGGTAATGTTGGTGCTTGGGGTTGATACTGCTGCTGCTGCCAGGGATGTGGTGGCACTGACTGCTGTTGTCCCTGTGCTGATTGTGGCTGAGGGAGTTGATGCTGCAGCTGTAGCAGAACATTTAAGTATCTTTGAATGGTTAGTTTTTCAGGCTTATTTTATATCCAGTTGAGTTCATATATCTACATACAGAATTATATGTATAAAATAGAATTTGAAAAAATCTATACACAGAAATCAACATACTGGACTGAGTTTAAATGAAAAGAACGTGTCCGGACTATGACTTTCTCAGTGATGGATCTTGTACTGTATCTAGTCTTGGCTAGCAATTCATCAGACTGCCACTTTGCAGTCACATCTAACACACTCCAGCACACTGTCACATCCAACACAATGGCTTCCTGCACCCACAGTGCACACTCACCTGGCTGTGTTATGATAGATATTGCCGGTTTAGGTGCTGCCAATTTGCTGACTGGAGTGGTTATTACCGTCTTGGCCTGAGTCATCACTGTGGAGGAAAGAATGAGAGATGATGCATGGTTACTGGAAATATACTATGTCCTTTAGCTAAAGACTCATGCATGGCTTTTAAGTCTATACTTAAGTGAAGTAATTTTTAATTTTTATAATTTTAAAAAGTGTATTGAAATGTACGAAAATGGAATGTGCTATATGAGATATAAATACCATTATCATAATTATGTCCAAATAAACTTGAAAAGATGGCATTTCTAAGGTGTATATAACATGGCTAAACATTTTTTTTTTTTCGTTTTTTTCTCTCCGCCTACCTGGCTTTGTCACCACTACTGGACTCGACAGCTGACTGGTAGAGCCCTGAGCATTCACTACAATGATCTGCTGCGATGAAGTAGGAGTGGACAACTTTGGCATAGTCGTGATAAATTTGGTTGGGGTGGCACCCGTGGTACCAGCACTATTTTTCGGTGCCGCTATGACAATGGTCTGTTTGCCTGGGGTACCACTGATGGTACCCACGTTAGGCTTCCCACCCACCGTGATCATAGATGTGGGTAAGGTCTTGAGGATTGTTGTGCCTGTCTTTGTATTTGTGCTCTGAAATGCAAGGAGCATAACCTGTTTTAACGAATTCATTCACTTCGATTCAATCCCCTTACCCTCCCAAACAGCCCCTGCAATGGATATGCAATTAATCAAACAATCCAAAGTCTATCCTATTCCATCTGCCAATCACAAACCTTCTTACACACTCAACCTCTGACCCTGCAACTGAATTACAACCAATCAAAACACAAGACACATCTAGTTCACCAATCACAAGTCTTCTTACATCACCAACCTGTGGCTGCACACTGCTGATCCCCAGGATAGTGGAGGGTGTCTGGCCTGCTTGTGTGGTGGTGATGATGGCAGTGGGCTTGCCAGAACTGCCGTGAGTCGTCACCAGCTTGACTATCGTAGCACCTTGGGGAAGTTGAGACTTGCTCTGAAGAGAGTAAAGAGGAAAATGTTAATAACATTGGCAACTGCAGAAGAGGCATGCTTTTTTAGAGCAAAATATCATTGTTTCTATGTGAAAATCTGCACAATAGTGCAGTGGTGCAGTGTAAAAGAATATTTCCAGTCACATCTTTTTAAAGAAAACCATTATCAATATCCTATTAACAAGCCTAAGTTTCTACTAATAAGTGATTTTTGTACTAAGTAAAAAATAAAAATAAGTGAGTCAGTGAATGTTTTGGATTCATATTCATGGGAACATAAATCTCAGGTTTTTTTCATTTTCATGTAAAAGGAATTCTCCTAGAACATTTAATGTTAAAAAATCCACCTGACTAAAAAAATCTACAGATTAAAAAAAGAACGATATACAGAAATAACATACAAATACGTGGGCCATGCCAAAGCATCTATCACCAAGATGACTTCTAAGGTGTACAGAGTACAAAGATTAATACCATGCATTTTACGTCAAGGTCTTTGTAAAAACAGCACGACCTGGAGACAATTCTAAGCTCGTCTTCCCGTCCTCTCCTACAACATGCAGTACGGGCCACAATTTCCCTCTAATCTACCACCAAGGCACAAATAAGTGAGCACAACAGAACTTAAGAAAACCAGGATTACCAAGACCAACACTTTCACAGAAAGCCTCAACAGCTGCCTTGAACATCAAGTAAAATGCAGGGGTTTGAAGACAGGATCACCGCTGTTTATATTTCAGAAATCAACAGGGAACTGTGCAAAAATATGAACAAGTAAATTTCTACAGTTATAGACCATTGATCATCCTATATACAACAGAGAGTTGAAGCAGGGACAAGATGCAACACCCATTACAAAGCAATGCTAAATAAAAACTGAAATCCCTTAAAAGAATCTATACAAGGATATAATTGTCAATAAACATTGCAGTGCTTACTGTATCACAAATGTTTTGACATAAAAAAAAACTTTGTACATAACTGATGATGTGCCATGCTTCATGCAATGCTGGATAGAAAACTTGAGTATGTACAGCAAATCTAGAAGATAGAGCTCGGAGGTCATTTCAAATAAATTATCATGAACTTTTAAGTAGGGGCCTCGGATTTCATTTATATTCCAAAGGAAAAAGAGAAGATGCCAACCATAGCAGATATGACATGCAAAGATTTCACAACCACTGAATACAAACATGCAACCAGCCTGGTAACATATCTTGGTGCAGTCAATACAAAACCATATATATATATATATATATATATATATATATATATATATATATATATATATATATATATATATATATATATATATATATATATATATATATATATATATACTGTGTACAGCACGTGCCCTAACCTGAACAGGTTGGCCGACAAGATGAGCCAAAGTTGAAGTGGTGGACTTATGTGGAAGTAATGTCACTTTGGGCATCTAGAGAAAAGCAAAGAAAGTGTATGTAGTTTACATTATTCTTTTCATCCCTCGAACAAGTTCCACTGAGATAAACAGGATGTTAGTCCACTTAGTGGATTTCAGTTGAAGCCTTAAAGAGGTAAAGATAAGTACATAAACACAAGATATAGAGGCACTGTAAAACAGTGCAATGTTTTAAGAGAATGTTTAAACAGAATATTTTAAGCAACTTGACACTTCTGCTTGTAAAAAGAAAACAAGACTCTAAAATTCAGCTAAACGTTTTGGGAAAAATATTGACGTTTTCAGGCAATATATTATTCCAGCAAATAACTTGCAAAAGGCCTAGAAGAATTATACTCTGCAATAATATACATTTACCTGAAAAAATGAGCAATATAATGTAATTTCAGCATCTTTATTCATATTTTTTTTTTACCACCCTGGTTTTTATTGGCCTCTATAATATTCAAATTTTGAAATGATATTGGAAAAAAAACCCCTTAAACACCCCCAATAAATAAATAAATAAATAAATAAATAAATAAATAAATAAATAAATAAATAAATAAATAAATAAATAAATGGGTGGATGGATAGACAGATGGAAGGATGTAAAAACCACCAGTACTTACAGAGGCAACTGTCATGCCCTGTGTTGTTTTGACCAGTGTGACAATCTGGGGTTGGTTGGAGGAGGTCACTCCAGTCTTGTGGACTGTGATGATCTGTTTGCCCTGGAGGTTCTGCTGACCAGGCTTCAGAATGGTGGTGGGGTTAGCCATCCTCACCGTCTGGCTGCCTGGGGATTCTGTGGAGAGAGAGAGAAAGCTTTTAAGCTACATTGAAACTTGGGTGACACAAATCTCATTCTTATCATCAAAAACAAATCTAGTTTTTATATTTCTTTAAAAGACTTCATCCTATATGGAGTGAAAATAAAAAGATCTGCCACCCCCTCCCGCACAAACATACACAAAAACTATCTTTGTCTTCCTACTTACGTGGCACAGACTTGACTGTCATTCCTGTAGATGTCACTATGGTCGGTGTGACCACTTTAATCCCGCTGGCTGGTGTGGTGGTGGTGGAGCCACTGGTGGTGTTAATCTTCTGTGTTGCCGCGGCTGCAGCTGCCAGCGCTGCTATACCACTCATCTGTGTGCCCTGACTACCACTCTGAATGATAAATAAATAAATAATTGAAATTTAAATATTCTGACTTGGTCTTTTGAGGCCAGTGGCCCTCCAGATGACATCTGGGCTGCTTTCTGAGGAAAGCCATGACAAAGAAGTGGCATATATGTTCACTTAATTTCTTTTATGACAAAAATTTTTCATAAGAAAGGGAAAAATCTATGTTGTCAAGCGAGCACCTTTTTTCACCCACTACATGCCAAAAAGCACATTAGCTACCTGCACTCATGCTTTGTAGTTTTTTAAGTCTCCCTTACGTCAGGGTTGACACTCACCATCACAGGGATAAGACTGTCATTTTGTGAAAAAGTCTGAATATATGGCATGGGGTCCAGACCCACCCCTCCTTTCCTCTCAGTTTTTATTGGAAATCTACTTCTCAAAATGATATTTTTGGCCCCTTTTCATCATAATCATCATCAACAGCAACAACAACAACAATGGCGATACTCACAACAACAACAACACTGTCACTACTTACCGTAGGTGTGCCAGGTGTTCCAGGTTGTTTCTGTGTGACATTGATCACCTGAGCGTTGGGCCCAGTCCCCACCACCTTGTATGCTGTGGTCACACCTGACTTCAGACCTGGTCTGATTACAGTAGGGGACGTCATGCCTGCTGGGGTCACTGGAATATAGCATAATAATAATAATAATAATAATAATAATAATAATAATAATAATAATAATAATAATAATAACAACAATAATAATAATAATAATAATAATAATAATAATAATAATAATATTTACAAGAAAATAATGCTGCTACAAAGAAAACTAGAAAATTATTTCATTTCTTTAAACAACATTGGGGCAATTCTTTTTCAGTGAACAAAAATAAATAGTGACTGTTGTACAGTCAAATGTTAGAAATAGGAATAAGTGTAAGTTATCATAAAATGTAGCATAGAAAAAATATGGGAGATCTCTTTAGTTTAAATTAATTGTAATTTTAAAACAGCTAGTCAGCCATCCAGTTTGCTGAAAATGAAGTTTGTTTACAACTGAAGGAAAAAGTGCTCAATAAGAAAGGAAACAAAACTCTGTTTCATACATTGTTAGTCAAGGTTGCAAAAATAAAGAAATATGTATCTACTAATGATCCAAACAATGAACAAATGAAAAAATAGCAGGGAATTATTAGGGACCCAATATAAATATGTGTATAAATGCATCCCCCAGTTGAAATTTATTTATTATGGTTAAAAAAATACCTAAGCACAAAATAAATAAATAAATAAATAAATAAATAAATAAATAAGAACCTTAGAAATTGCACCTACTTTTAAAATATGCTGAAAAAAGTGAAAAAACAGCATTAATTCCCTATAAGTGACCCGATCATGCTGATTTTCGAACTTGACCTGCGTATTACGAATATTCATCAGTTCTGTAAGTTTCAAGCCAAAAGAAAAAACAGTTTTCCACTTATCGTGTTATCGGTAAAAGTCCACGGCGACGACGGCGACGGCGACGACAGACGCAGATGATGGCTATATGTACAGACACATCTGTGTCTGTACATAAAAAACATATCTAGTCTCTAATAAGTCATTTAATACATCTTCTTGAGCACAAAGTAAAGATGCTTATCTCTCACATGATTTTATTTGATTTCTGGATCCAATCTTAACTTCCATTAATAAAGAGATGTCCATTAATTGTACAATTAATTATGAGAGATCTGAACCCTCTTAACCACGAGGTAAAACTTTCAATGATCTTTTTTTGCTGGAAATCTTGCATAAAAAGCAAAGGCTTCTCAGGTAACTTTCTCATTCTGGTACATTTCATCACCGCCACCAGCTCCAAGATAAAGGCATCATCTTAACTGATGTCCGACTAATCTAAAAAGAAGTTTGGACAGACAAACGAACTGGGAAGTCCTCAAAGCAAGAGCCACAACTGAAGAATTGACAAGTCATGTTTGAGGAACAATTTCGGTGCATCTTTTCATTGCAAAATATTATTGGCAAAAAAAGTCAACTCCCCCCCCCCCAAAAAAAAAAAACAAACTTATATGAGGGCATGGATGTTCTGATTCATCCAGTTCAATGATATCACGTAAGAAGAAAAAAAATCTCCATTAGACTTACAAAGTTATAATGCAATGAATTAACAATTCCCTGTTGAAGATTGGTGGTACCAAACACCATTTCAACTTGTTCCATGATTATTCTATAAATTAAACCAGAATAAGATTTTTTTTCTCCTTCAAAATTAAGCAAGAAAGTTACAAGCTAGATAGTAAGCTACAATAGCTTAATCATTGGCTCTTGTTCTTACTGAAGTGGAAACACCCACCAAGTGGAGATGAAAACATCGCCAGGGGTAACAGCTGAAATATGTTAACGAGCAGAGCATGCATAGTGAGAAATGTTGCACAAACCTCGTATAGTGTGTGCAGTAGAGGCGAGCGTAGCAGCCAGTGTGGTGGTGCCCCCTACTGGACGAATTGTTTGAATGCCTGCAATGAGAGAGGGGTAGAGAGAGATAAGATAGGAGAGGGGGGGCCTAGTGGTCTGGCTTAAAGTGAGACCATGGACTCTCTATGACGTAACTTACTTTAAGGAATAAAGAGATAAAAGAGCATGACAGGACATGACGATTTTTTCCTTTCTTTAGGATGGGGGGAATTACCAAACTAGAAGAGTCACTTGACCTTGCTGATTGATATGCTTGAATAGAAAATGAAAAACTCAGCAAGTGAAGCCACAGTGCTGAAAGAAAAACATTGTTTTACTGTTCACATATCTCTGATAACCAATTTATTCTTAGTAAACAGAAAACAATTTTCTGGTACAGCTTTATCGAAAAGACTGAGCTCAAAAAGAAGAAACACAATCGGAAGATAACAGACCAAAATTATTCCTGCTACTCTTTACAAGAGGACTAGTAAGGAAGGAGGACGTTGTCTCTGCTATTAAACAATGACTAAACTAAAACAAAGGGCACTCACATACAATAAAGATTTTCTCAACACAGTAATCCTGTCTCAATTCTACAAAGCATTGATCCCCTGAGCTCTATGTTATGGCTGAAGTGCATTATCTATTAATCAGTTCAGATCTTTATGGTAAATATCATCACTGGCAATGAATAAAACATCCTTAGGCAATTGTATTCATCAAAAGTGATGAGAAAGTAGACGAAATCAAATTATATTTTAGTAGAGTGACTCATCTATTAAATCAACTGCACACACAGAATAAAAGGTCAAATTAATCTACATTCTCTTTTTTTTTTTTGTGAAAAAAATGTTAAACAAAACCACAGCAAAAGTGATCATCCTAAATCACATCTACGAAATGGAAAATTAGAAACGAAAGATGTCAAAGCCTTCATTGGTTGCCATGACGACTACTCACCTTGCCTGACCATGGCGCCCCCTATAGTATTGGGGGTCAGAGCTTTCACCAGGGGATTGGTCTGTGGGACGCCGGTGGGCGTGGCAGCCTGGGAAGGAGGCATGTCATACTTCTGCAGCTGTAACAGGTAGGCATCTGCCGTGGGAACTGTGCCCCAGCAGACCTCAAGTGTGTTGGTACTGGCACGCACTAGCTGAACTCTAGAGGGCGCTGGGGGCTTCTCTGTCTCCAGGAACCACAGGTCTTTGAAACAAACCTGGAATTTTTTTGAAGTCTTAATGTTTTCTTCAAGCGCATTGGTAAATGAATATTAATACTCACATTCATATAAGGCAATCATTAGAACTTAAAATACTTTCATAAGTTTGGAGAAAATAGATAACAATCTTCACCAGAAATTAAGCATTTGTTAATTAAAGGCATGCAAACAAACCATCTTACAAATAATATAACCACATCCACCAATATTGTTCCCATACCTGGTTATTCCAGGCCTTCCTGTAGCCATCTCTGCCACTCCAGATATACAGCCTGGTATTGATAGCTACAGAACACTGGCCTGCCCTGGCCCTGGGGAGGGCATCCTCAAATACCTCCATTGCCAGGGGTTCCCAAGTCATGGTGTCTGGAAGAATAGGGTATAGATTATAGAACATGGGGTCAGCTTCTTTACAGAACTTATGCCCTTATTTATTTATTTATTTTTTTCAATTTTTGAGTCTGAATAATTTGAAATGTGTTAAAATAAATCCAATGAAGATGGGATGGTTATACAATAGCAAAATGTAAATAATTTGAAAATATAGATCAATTTCATTAAAATTATGTTGCTTATAAAAAAACCTGTACTCTACCACAAACATTTGTATTGCCCTAAAAAAAGAAAAATTAATTTCTTTGCTCATACCTAGATTCAAAGATGCCAGCGTGTTCGTGCACTTCCACTCCTTCTCGTGGGTTGCCACCTTGGCATCCTCCATCACAAGAGGCACCCAGCCCCCGAACACAAACATTCTGTTGCCGATGACTGTGGCAGAGTGCAAGCTACGGGGGAGGGGCGGGATACCCTGAATCACTGGCTTTGTCCAAGTGTGTGTATCTGAGATGTGGAGAAGAACATTTGGTTACAGGTAATTAAGTATGGCATCATTTAAGGGTACATTCAGTTCTTCAATTCTGCTTATAATACAGTTTTCATTTCTTTCTTTTTTTTACAAATTTCCTTCTGTGAAACTACAGACTATTGTATAAGAACCTACCACAATCAAGCTGCCACAGATCTCCCAGGCGACAGCCACTCATTCCCCCGTAGATAATGAGGCGGGGATTTTTGCCAAATTTCTCTGTGTAAGCGACTGCAGAATGAGATTCTCTTGGGGGCGGGAGTGGCCCACTGACTGCAGGGAAGTCCCAGCTGAGCTGAGAAGACAAAGGTTTCAGCTCCAGGGCATACACATCATTCAGATACCTGAAAGTAACCACAGCAACCTGTGATAAAATGTGGTTTGTAAAAACACAAAGGGGTCCAAATTCATTGTTTTTCTTTCCTCTAATATACAGTGAGACAAAAAGAAATCAGACTTTACAGGACTCTGACACTTCAGGACCAGAAAATCAATGCATATTGGCTCATACCAAAAAAAAAAAGCAGCTGTTCCACTAGATTTGTTGACATAACATAAGTACATTTATAAGGCGACTGGTTATGCAGAGTCAACTGTGCACATTTATTCAATGAGCGCTTTAAACACTGAATAATAACAGCCCAAGTCAGATCATGTCATTCAACAGTTCAAAATGAATGGTTTGTACTACTGGTCAGGTTTTACTTGGTAACAGTCTCTATAATTCCAGTCTTTCACTAAAAAGCACTGGATGGGGTAACATATTTTTAAACACCGTGAAGTATGTGCCCTTACCTTGGAATATTATTCTTAGGGTCTTCACTGTCATTGGCCAGACCACCAAACAAATACCCCTTTCCATTCAGCAGAGTAAAAGAGTGCCCTAGACAAAACACAATAAAACATCAATGCAATATAACAAATGGAATTAGTTGTAAAAGTAAATATCTTAAATATGTTAATTTTAGACATTAAGCTGCACCCACACGACTAATTCATACTGAGAACTGGGTTCACTAGTTTTACCAGTTGATCAGAATGCATGCAGACAGAATGTATGGTGGCTTTTGCTGACAGCTTTTTTTGCCGAGTGCTAACTCACTGCATGTCTCCAACTACAATTTACTGCTCCTTCAAGTGAGAGAAGTGATCTTTAAATCTACCATATCCCTATCTTTATCTATTAAGATATAAAACCACCATCTCAAGGAAACCGTAATATAATCTTCCCACAGCATCATGCAAATCGTGACTAATGTAGGCATCACAGAAGTAAAAATAGTTTTATCATGTATTTTCCTATTAAGACATGCGATCAGTCAAAGACACGCATGTAGATGCAGATAATTCTGGAAATTGTTTTTTATTTCACCAACATATCCCCCCACTCATCCACCCCCTTGGGCAAAAATTTTAAATGTGGAACAGAGTAACCCAACCTCTAAGCCTAGTTGCCCTCAGCAGCAATTGAGTGACATCATTTAATGTCAATCTCTGAAGCTGCATTCTGCACAGCACATTTGAATTTAAAATGATCAGCTTCATGATTAAAATCACCAGAAAACGTGGATTTCCATTCTGCCTGAGACTTCTTTTATCCCATATCAAGGAATCTGATTATGTCAATTAGTTTATTCCTGATCTGACCTAGGTTTTGTTAAATTGTCAGAAAAAAAGAAAATTTTCTTCAAAGACAGCATAACTGTTGTGTCCATTCTGTGTCTCTTTAAAATGTTAAAAAAATATTCCAACTTTTTTTTAAGGGCCACATTTACCAAGTCGCGGACAGGGTGGAGGGTGGTTTTTGGGAGGTTTCGGCCGCAGTCTCTTCCACTCCCACCTGCTGGCCTGCAACTCGTATAACTCATTGGAATATTTCCCATACTCCACCATCCCACCGAACACCAGTATCCGCGTGCCGTCACAGATGAAGCCGTACGCAGCGCACCCTGGTGGGATATCTCCCCGCACTGCTGGTACAAACCATTGGTTGGTAGCTGGAAGAAGGAAATTTTGGAAATCATTAGGTTGATGATGATGGTGATAAAGGCTTTCCCCAGAAAGCCATCCTGCTATCATATAAACAACCATTAGCCTCAAAGGATGGACCTATATTTTCAAAGACAGAAAGACAGCTTGCAAGTACATATTTTTGGGGTTGGTCGGTTGGGCTTGCTTGGGTTGGACTCCCCTTCAATCAATGATCAAATTATAGATGCACATTTTAAACTTTCTGTACCCCAAACCCTGTGGAAATCCCTGGTGATGATAACAGTTGTTTATCAAGTAAATTGGCAAGTTGTTGAAAGGTTGAATATTTGCCAAATGATATGAAAATTCAAAAATAAGTCAGCTCTTAGGGCATTTCATCTGGGTTATCATGGTCCATGCTAGTATTACTCTTTAAGATAAAAAGTGTGTGTCACTTTTCTGAGAATATTGTTTGCTCTTGAAGGCACAGTTGGTGAAAATGTTAATGATACTTAAAGAATTTTTTTTGAATGACTAAAAAAGCAAAAAATCATAATGGCCCAAAGTTTGTTGCAGTGAGCACACTTAAATCTGAAATAAATATTTTAATATAACCCATCAGCAAGAGCATTGCAGTAAAAGGTATCCAGCTTAGTCTAAGTGAACAGATATAAATAATATGTCTGCTGGGTGTGAATTAGCCAAGTGTTTCTTCTGAGACAGGGCTGTATTATAGCCAGGCAACCAGCTATCTTTCGGAGTCTCCATATTATTTCTGGCTGGTCATTTTTTGCATTTTTTGTTACAGAATTTCATTTCATCACTGGAGCTTAATATATGGAGCCTGGGCATTCCATTTTAGTAAAAAAAAACTTAATTTGACCTCCATATTTTTCCATCTTCTAAAATCCTGGCTACTCCCATGTACATAGAGTATGCTCTTTTTAAATGCATTAACCCACTGTGTAAGGGTAGATCATGAATTTTAAGTTTTTTATGACTTCTGTAGCACTTTGCACTTCAGACTAAAAGAACTGGCAAAATGCAATACATCATTCTCAGATGATTCTTTCATCTTCTCCATCAAAGCTTTCCCTTATTAATTTGTACCCACTTTCACTGTCAATATAAATCTCTGCTTTCCATTCTATATCATCAACTTATAGTACAATCTTCGATTTTCATTTTTGAGACAACTCTTAAAAAACAAGTAAATCCATAAAAGGGAAAAAGTAAATTTAAAAAATACATTTTAACACACATCTGAACTTAACACGCACTATTATACTCTATGAGTTAAGTTCTCATTTATAAGAGAGCTTTGCGAGTATTCTGAATGGGTTGCCCTGACCTAAGCAATACATGTTATCCAAGTTGTGCACCATTCTCTCTTTCTCAGGGCTAAGACAGAAATTTGCTCATCTTCAACCTTGATCCGTGTAAGGGCTGGCCAGTAGTTTTGTTTAACCCCACCCCTCACCCCTCCATCAAAAAAACAATATAAATTTCCCATTTTCTTGAAAGAAAGAATCGACTTAAAATCAGCTATTTCTTTCTTAACAATTAAGTTCTTAAAATAAAGAAAGTACACCAAATATATAATTTTTTCAACTAAACTAGATATTGCATGGCATCAGGTTATCACAACATAAAAAATAGCACAAAAAATCAACATGTACTCAAAAAGATATGTTGGTTTATTTTAAAATTATCATCATACTTACTTATCGCATACCCTTTTCACTTGTACTGGTGGACACAAGATAATCCACAAAATGCTATTCACAATGTTTTTCCTGGCTTCACAATTCAAACTTAAAGTCAGAAAAACTAGCCCCGCATGCCCCGAAGGAAAACCATATCAGTAACCAGTAAGTAAATTCAGAATCTCTGACAGCACAGGTCAAACTAAGCTATTTTGAAATAAAATAGATTCTTTTTTCTATTATATGCATGTAACGCTGGTACTATCTTACTCCTCTACTTAATTCCTCCTTGGCAGAATTATTACCATGCTTACTCTTCACTCATTCAAAACATTCAAGCCTTAAAAGAGTTTTCTTCATGATATGACTTTGTATTCATTTCTTACACATACTCTTAAGTAGCATGTGCTTATTTTAAGAGCCCATAATAGTGGGCAATTTCCAATGATCACTTTATAGGCAAACCGAATATATATCTATCACTATTATATGAAAAAAGTTAATTTCTTTAATTTTAATAAAATAACTTTTGACACCAGCATGTATTTCCCTAAAAGATAATGTGAAGACTCAAGACAAAGAAAAATCCTGTACAATGCAATCTTACCAAGTTACTACTAGTACCCACACACATGTAGCATACTACTGATGGATCTGTCTAAGCTACATAATTCAGAGGTACCAGCAACTTTGGTTCATGTCTCACAGAGTAATGCAAATTAGATATGTACCCTTTTTAGAATCCCTTGGAAAAAAAATGGGTCTAATTTTCATGGGTATTATTTTACAACAGACCTGTTTACAGAATCGAGGAAACTATTAACTCAGCTCTAAATAACCTCCACCTACAGCTGAAAATGATCAATTTTCTCCAAAACTTCTTTTTATTACATGCACCTCTTATAAACAATAAAGATTTTCATAAGTATTCCATCATTAATTTAGTACCATCTGATGGGCTTAAAATGAAAATTATGCAAGCAAGAGATCAACTTTTCATTGCTTCTTTTTGTTCGGAAAATAAATAATCCCCATCATGGTGATTGTAACCATTCCTGCTGCTTTACTTATTAACCCCCCTCCCCTTCCCTTTATTTATACATCTTCCAAAATCTTCCACAACACTGAGGAAACAAGTACTGTTGACAGCAAAAATGATTGCTCGAAAAAACATTTACACAAAATGAATTATATGTTTGTTTCAAATGGGATGTCTGGGTGTGACTTTTGCCACCCTTAAACACCACATAAACTACTTAGCTTTTAAGCCACAAAATTATATGCAGTTCAATAATTTACCGCCAGATGTCACTACCTACCGACGAGTCCATCTCCCACCGTATAGAAAAATATCTGCTAAGCAATTTTTGCACAACTAAATACCTGTAAATTTCTAAAATACTTCTATGGTTATCACGATCCCCAATCAATCATAAAAAAGCAATTTAATGAGATTAAAACTTTGTCAGATCTCGCACCTGCGAGACAAAAACAAATTTGGCTCCGACGACCGACGCCATATTGGCTGCAACCCTCAGCGGTAAATTAAAATATAAATATCCTAAAAACCTCCCATTTGATTTACTTCAAACTTATCCAAAATATTATCCACCTCAATATCTATCAACTTTGTACAGCTTTTAAAATAATCTTCATTTTTATTAACAGAAATTTTAATTTTTACGTCCGTTCATTAGCATTTGTTGGGCGCCGCCATATTGGATTTTGGAGGGGCGCCGACTAAAAAACAATCACTTCTAAGCGTTTGATCTAATTCAAATTATCACAAAAGAGAAAGATGATAGAAACGTCTCTCTCCTTTCGTCCATAACTAACAGACTTTGCCTATTTTAAAAGATATCCAAAAAGCTTGGCGGCCTTCAGCAAGAGGCCGCCATATTGGACGAACCTAGCCCCGTCAAATTTTGCACTTACTAGTATTGTAAACATGCAGTTCATCAACGATTCCTTCATTTCCTCCACCAAAGACAATCATTAAATCCTTGATAGAAACCGCCCGATGACCGTGGCGAGGACGAGGACATGGTCCCGTCGTGTTTGTCACCCGCTTCCATTTCAGAATGGGTGCCGCCATGTTGTTTCCTACCCACAATGCTGGGGGTAAACAAGCGCAATACCCGTATGTGTAAACAACAGTTGTGACATTTAAGGAAGATTCTCCCCGTTCTGTCAATCTAAGTTTTCGTGTTGTTATTCGTTTGCTTTTATACTTCAATTTATAAATTGATACTATGGCAAAATTAACAGATATTGATTTTTTTGTGATCATACCGTGAGCCTCCAACGGCCCCCGGATGGCATAAATTAGGCCACATGACAGCACCTTCCCATTGCCAGCATCAATTTATCGCTGGTGTTCTGAGTTTAGTTAAAACAGTTGAACTAGTAGAATTAAAGTATGCGGTGCACTCTGTACACTGAGGGCTTGCAAATGCATTACTGAAAATGTAAATGAAAATCTCTAGGATCGTCAAATATTATTTCAATATTAGTGGTTTAAATTTTTTCAAAACCATTTTATTTAGAGTGCTATATAGGCCCCTAAGTACAGCTTCTTGCGCGTGTTCTTCAACGCATCAGAAACAATCTCGGTACGTATTTTTACCAGACATTAGGAAAAGATTGCGCCAATTACTGTTGATACTTATGGCGGAAAATGTATCATATCATCAAATTGATCTGTTTCAAACATGAATTTAAAGCATCAACTTATATTTGCCTATACTCTCGGTTAAACCCCTGTAGGCCCTATCTATCCATTTGTGGACGTTGGTGATGAAATGCATTACCGGTAGCTCTGCTTGTTATTGATGACCTATGCATGTTCTGAACTTGGCATGATAAATCATTTATATCCTATTACCTAAAAAACGATGCCAAAAATTTATCAAGAATCACGGTCACAGACACTCATTCTCAATATAGGTCTCTATTGGCCCATTTGAAGAAAACAGAAAAATGGAAGTTTAAGATAGGCCTATATCCGCCAGTTCTACTTTTCCTAAATCTCTTGTGACAGAATGTGATAAATTAAGTTTCTTGTGTACATCATGGAGAATTTTAAAATTCATGCCTTGATATTATGGGCAACAGGGGTGGAGCCAGCAAGGATTATTTGACGGGGGGTCTGCAGATGCAAACCGACCCTCAGCCCCCCNCCCCCCCCCCCCCCCACACTTGGGTGGGGGTTCGGGGCCCGCTGAAGAGCCCCGTTTTTTTTTTGTTTTTTTTAAGAGGGCGAACAGTACCATATATTTGGTGCGGTTTAGAACTTAGACCTATAAATCAGCTAGTCAAAAATTCTACTTTCAAGAGGGGACCATTGTAGTGATATTTTTAAAATATCGAAGGGGGGGGGGGGGGTCAGGACCCCCTGACACCCCCTAAATCCGCCACTGGGTAACAAAAATTTTAAGAATAACAACCCTTTCGGACAATACATATTTGAAAGTTATTAATACTAAAAAATTCGACTCCTCTAAAGGGGTATAACGAAATGCACGTTTAATTTACTGACCCATTTTATCTTCAACCTCAAGTATATTTTTTCACACTGTCTGGTAACGAAGGTTTTGCAAATAACTTTCTAAGAGAATGCAGTTTTGTCGTGTTTCCTGCAAAACATTTAACTGTGCCCTACCACCATATGGTCTATAGCTAATCCTGGATGTAACTGGATTGAAGATTTTATAAATGGTTGAAATATTACAATAAAATAAAATGATTACCTGCGCCAGAAGACAATGAAGGTTTTTTAATTGTTTATTTATTTTTCATTTCTTAAAAACCTGGTGACACTGTGAAAATAACCGCAAGCTATTTATTGAGTTAAAATAAACTAGACATTTTTTAAGACGTTAAACATCATACACGCTTACTATAAAGTTGCAGATTTTCTACTTTAGTGAAAAAAAAATAGATCAATTGGAGAAAGTGAGCTGGTGCTGCGAGCGACAGTAACGAAGGTTTCAAAATTAGGCCATTTATGTTTTTATGTTAGAACAGATAGTAATTTTTTAAAATATTTTAAGTTACCAGACTGATATTAGTAAAGTTTCACTTGCAATAAGACAAACAATTCTTTCGTTCGCTTACTTTTAGTAAAATTAAAAAAAAAAAACGTTAAATGAACCTTACTATTGATATATATAATGAATGACAATGAGAGAGAATGTCTTGACATAGTAACGAAAATCCGTAAGTGAAAAAGCGTATGTTAATTTAAGTACGTCTATGGCTTAAAAAGGTCGAGGTTGGTCATTTGCAGGTGCGACAGGTTATCGAATTTTTTTCCGTTTTCAGCAATATTTCGTACCAAAAATAGCTCAAAAACCTGAAATGCATTAAAGTATCAAAATAAAGTGAGTTAAAGACATGCGACTTTAACTTTTTATAATTTCTAAACCAGATATCCAAAAAAAATTTTTTTTAAACATATTTTTGACGAAAAATAGGAATGCCTGCTTTATTTTCCCAGGCGTGTTAATATGTAACATTTTGCATGACAAAGAATCTACATCACATTCCTTAGAAAATGTTGCTAAAAATTTATCAAGATTCACGATCACAGACACTCATTTTCAACATAGGCCTATAGGCCCATATGAAGAAAACAGAAAAGTGAAAAGATTTATTTGCGTATTCTACTTTTCTAAAACTCTTGTGACGAAAATTCTTTTTGTGTAAATCATGAGAAACTTTTTAACTCATGCCTTGCCAGTATGATGAGTTTTCTTATTCAATAACGAAGATTTAAGCAACGAAAGTTTTAGAAAATAACAAACAAACTTTATAGATAATATACTCACGTTATAAATGCTAAAAAAAATTAGATTGCCCTTAAGGGGTATTATTAGAAGCATATTTATTTTGCTGATAGGCTACTTTTTGCCCTCAATATCAAGTACATATTTTACAATTCTTGGTAACGAACGTTTTGCATATTACTTTTTAAGAGACTGTAATTTTGCCGTTTTACGTGCTAAACATTTAACTGGGCCCTGTCACCATATCGTCCAGCTAATCATGGACGTAACTAGATTAAAGATTTTGCTAATGGCTAAAATATTACAAAAAATAATGACCTTTGTTAAAACGGGTGACGAAGTTTTTTTTTTAACTTAAAAACCCGGCGACACCGCGAAAATAGCCGCAACTTATTTTTTCAGCAATTTACAACAAACTAGAGATTCTCTGAGACATTAAACATAGGTCCTAGTACACGCTTTCTAAAAAGTTGCAAATTTCAACTTTAGTAAAAAATAAACTGGATCGATTGGAGAATGTGAGATGCTGCCGCTATAGCAACAGTAACTAACGGAGGTTTAAAATTTAGTCAGTTTACGTTTTTTATGTGAGAACAAATGAATCTCGGAATTTTTTATTTAGTGACTTAAGTTGCAAGACTGAAATTAGTAAAGGTCCACTTGGACAAACAATTCTTCCGCTCTCTTACTTTCAATAATTAAAATTTAAAAAATGTTATGTGGACCTATAGGCTATATATTGAGAATGTGTGCTTTATGTTCAGAGCAACATGAGAATGATAGGCCTAGTCCTTCTCCCATTCCCGCTGTAGGCCTACATGCAAATAATAAATTTGTTTTGTGTGCTTTTTTGTGTTCAAAAAATAAAATAAAAATGAATTGACGTTCATGAAAAATAGAAGGGGGAGGGGGTCCGCAACCTGCATACCCATCGGCAGAAAGATAGCTTTTATTTGACTGTATACAGAAAATTTGGGCCAAAATACGTTCAACGAATTCTATGAAAACGACATAGATATCATAAGCAAGAGGTGGGCTTTTATAAGACTGCGGAAGATTTGTCAACTTTTTTCTTTTACAATGGCTCCCCGCTGTTTGATGCGAATGTGCACACAAAATGATGACGTAAAGCGCATGCGGCTCCAGTTTCAAAGACCTCATTCATTGGGTTGTTGACATTGGATTTGCTGTTTGTATTGCCAATTGTATACTAAAGGCTATGTTATTCTATAGGTGAACTAAATAGCGACAACAGCTTTTTAGTTAGAGATGGCCGTGGCACGACTGTTGTCTTGAGTTTGCACAACTTCGGCCATGAGTTAGATTTCACGATGTTTAGTGGCAGTCCACCGCAGCGAGCAAAATCAAGTTATCAGAGAAAGGTAAGCTGGTTGCCACGCGTTTTACACCTTTTCGTTGAGTGAGATTTTATCGTAATCAAATCAACGCGCTTAAGTAGATTATGTTTCCTCGGTGTTTGTTAACTTGAACGTGCTGTAATTCAAGCGACAAGCAACAGGTGGTGGTAAACTTTGTACTTACTGAAGTTACTCGGTCGATTAAATAACTTTCAGAAAGTCCAAAGTTTGGAGTTTTCGAATTGTTACTTGGTTTGTTTTTAAAAATGAATTTGGGGAAACAGATTCAAACCTCCCTTCAAGTAGAGTTTAGGAATTTGACCAGTAAAAATAACTTTAAATGACACAGTCCAGTTTGTCAAATAATAATAATAATAATAATAATAATAATAATAATTACCATTTGTAAAGCCATTGCTAATAAATTACTGCTATTCCTTACCAATTTGTAGGTGATAAAAAGACAAGGGAAAGATGACTCCTCAATTGATTTAAACCACAACCAACGATGCTCAAGACATAGTCACAGTAGGGATTCTCTTGCAAGCAGCAGTAAAAGTTCACTTTCAGCAGGTGACTGAGGCTTTTTTATGATGTGTAAAGATAAACTATATAATTTTCTACTTTAATCATTTATGTGCATGTTATTAGCTATATGTTTTTTTATTTATCGTAAAGGTAAGCAGTATTGTAGACATTAGTACATGATGTTGAAACTTGCTTTTTTCATAAGTTAAAAAAGAATTACTCTAAATGGGGGAAAAACTACTTAAAGTTTTGTTACTGATTTAAAAAAAGATTTTGATTAGGCAGTGGTTTTGACTTAATATTTTTTTTCAGGCTAAATTTTAAGAGTTAACAACACTTTTAAATATCCCAAAATGAAGTAAATGTAGCAAAAGCCAACCAGCAATTAAAGAGTGAATTGTTTGAGACTAAAATAAAATGTTTGGAAACAGTAGTTTCTGTTTATAAAACTGTAACTAGGGTAAACATTACATTTTTCAAAACAAAAGTTGTTGCACTTTGAACAGGAGTGTAGTAGTCTGAAATGATGCTGCATAGAAATGTTTTACAGTTTGTAAATATTTTTAAGGGTCTTGTGAAAAACACTAAAGATATGCCCCATTTTTAAATAAACATTTACATTGAAAATAAATTGGTCAATACATGGAATTTTTTTTTTTTTTTAGCACTCAGATTTTTCAGATATGTTTGTATTTTTTTTAATTCCAACTTTAAATGTGAAAAAAGTATGGATACAATTAGATATATATATATTTTATGACCATGATTCATTGTGATGATTTAAAATATTGTATCTGTATTTCATCGTGGTTAAAATTCTTCATAGGCATAGGCAGTAGCAGTAGTTATGTAGACCAAAGATACAATGTTGGGGATCCTCTACCGGATATCCTTATCCGTCCCATCACAGCGACACCTGGTGGATACAAATCCCAGAGAGGACAGCACCAACAACGAGCCAAAAGCAGCTATGGCAAACTAAGGAGTACTATTCCCAGGTACTGGTATTAGAGTAATGGCAAAACTGCGCCCAAATTTTTTTTCATAAAAAAAATTTGTTCTGTGCTACATTGGCAGTATGGGTATGATCCTTAAAACGTTTCAACATAATGGACAGGCATGTCATTAAAAAAAACTTGTCTAGAGAACATTTGTCTTGGAGTTTGTGATTTATTATCAAAATTAAAAAATTAATTTTTTGTGCCATCTTTACAGTAAAGCAAAGCGCAGGCAGAAGAGCTGCTTCTTCAAGCCTTTTTTTAATCATAGAAACAACTTTTTGAGTTAAAAAAATTATGATAATTTTCATTACCACAAATTATCAACTTCTTATTCTTTTTTTTTTTTTCCATAGTGCCAAATCCAAGGGGGAAGCCTCTGCAAGGAGGAAGAGTGCCAGTCCGCAGGCATGGTCAGTCACGGAGCTAAAAGGTAAAGTAGTCGAGTGTATTTTTGTGTTGAATAAGTGATTTTGTCATTGAACAAATAACATGAGTTTTTATGTCTTTAAGATGAGCTAGATATCAAAATCAAGATAACATTAAAAAAACTTTTTGGTGTGAGATGGTAAATAATTAGACTAAATGCAGAATGATCGAGGAACCACTGTTTGAAAGTTGGTCTAAAAATGGTAGTAGCATTGGATTGGGAACGTGGCCAATATTGTATTGATGCTCAAGGGAAGTCTATCATACACTGAACAAAATATTTTCTTTTATGATGTGATATTTGCCAATGGTTTGTTTCTTTTTCTTTCAAGGTACCGGTGCTGATGCTGATGACGAGGAAGAAGAAGATGAAGAGCAAGAAGATGATAATAAACCTAAGACTCAAAGGCCAGAAGATCACGAGCTGTATGTCAGGCCACCATCATGGCCTATAGGTAAGTGAGCCGACCCCTCCCTCAGTCCTGATTTCTTGTCTCTGCCATCTCCACTATTAAGTATACTAGATGCCAGTTATTTACAGTGGCTGATTACCAGGGTTATGTTCACTCACCATTTCATTTCGGCCCTTCGGGTAGAAAATTCAGCCAAATGAATTATTTCACCAAATCAAATTAATACCAAGTCAAAGCAGTTTATGTACACATACTTGTGGGTGTCAGTTGAAGTGATCATGTTAAATATGTTGACACAAATTGTATGGCATTCTAAATTTATGAAAAGTTGAGTAAATGATATTTTTTATGTTTCCGTAATGGAGGATATTATGTTTCCCCATGATGATTGTACCTTTTGGCAGTGTGTTAATAAAATGGACTCGTATTACCGCTTAGTACTGAGTTTTTTGCCTTAGATAATATTTAAGGTACAATGCCTAAAATATGATCCATCAATTCTGAAGCTACAAAAATGAGCAATCTAAATGTCTGACTCCATGTCAGTCAATATGCAAGTATCATGTTATCTTAAAGAAATATTATTTGACTTAATGTCAACAGAGACCATTCACACTATTTGATATGGAGATTGACACCAGAGCTGTTACCATTGGTTTTGTTGTGGTATTTGAACGGTGCTTTATTAACAGAAGTTGGCTCCATTTTTCGTAGGCAGGCAGTGGAATTTTATGTAACAGTCTTTCAGGGCCAATATCGAGACTAAGTATAAGTCAATACATTTTGCCGGAGGTGTGAGAGAACCATTAAAGTGAGTTCCCCTACGTGTTGAGCACATATATGTAGTGCTGTAAATCAATTCACATAACAATAAGTGACGCTTTACAATCCAAATAATGGTTTTATTAATTAACTCTCAAGTTAGAGAGGCAACAATCATTTATGTTTTTAAAAGAATGGTGGTGAAATCTGTGCACTTAATTTAACTTTGGTCACTTCAATAAAAGATATGAAAGTGGAGGTAAATGAATAAAATAATTAAAGAGGTATTGTGACAATGTCTTTCTCTTTTGAATAATTATACATGTATTCACGTGAACCAAAAAAGAAGTGAAGCTCCATTATGTTTGGTCTATAAAAAGTACAGTACACATTCAAAATATGATTCCAAAAAACCCTTCTGTGATAAGACACTGAGTAGCAGAGTTTATTAATCCGAAGAGTATGTATCTTATCTGAATATTTTGCCAGACAAATTGATCCACCAGATACAAACAAGGTAATGTAATGCTTTACTGAGATTGAAATTCGGAACGACAGGCTGTTCTCCAGGGACCCTCTGTCACACCTGAGTTATGTCATTGAGAAAGACATTTGGATTTGGGATTAAGTCTGTTGATACTTGAGATTGGCATGACAGCTTTTGATATTGAGGCACTTGGGGCATGGGGGCAGCATCACTGTCAGTCTACTTAAGATTTTCTTAAGGTAGCATTCATGTCATCCAGTTGAAGAGCTAGTGGTATCGTATGTGATAAGATGAAATCAGCCAAACTGGGATGTTTATCATAATTGAAAAAGTGAAACTTTCTACTGTATATGTCAGATAAAGAAAAGTCATGAGGATAAATAACATGTGTACCAGTACTGTATGAAATATAAAGTATCATGCAAGGCAAATCTGCTGCTGTAAAGCAAAAGAAAATACTGAGGTCACATCAACCTGCAGTGAATGGAAATGTTTTTTATTAAAGCGACAAGAAAAGCTACAAAAGTTTCATTCCCCCTTTTGGCCCTCTGGGGCATAATGTACTCAAGTAGTTGTTTTGTAGCCAAAGTGCAATCACAAGTGTTTGCAGTACACAGTAGTTTTGTGTGGACAGCACACAAGTGGCCATTGTTAGCGGAGACTGGATATAGTGTGGAATTCAATTACTGGGTGTAAATCAGGCACTGTGTCCTATTGACTGTACACAGACCCCAGGCTAGATTGGTTTCATAGAATGCCGTTTATAAGCTGTTTGTAAAAGATTTGAACAGAAAAATGTTTCAGCTTTAAGATATGTCTCTAAATGGCCAACTTATGTCACTGTTGAGGATTATGGAATCTAAAGTGCCTTTTGGATTTTCCACACCTGAAGTCGGCAGTTTTTAAGGGGGAGGGAGGGGGGCTTCTGAAGAATTGAAACTTTTTTCTTTCTTAGTTGATGCAACTTGACAAATGACCTAGAACAAACAGGTAGAGTAGACCTTTTCCAGGTAAAGGATGGCTCATTTGCCCCCTGCCCCCCCCCCCCCCCCCATGCCTAATGGTCACCATTGCACATCAAATATATGTAATATGTGTATTGCAGGTGAATTTATGTGGACATCTCGTGACACGTTTCAGACCTAAATCAGTTTTAGTTTAATGCCAGTGGGAACACATCATGGGTTGAGTTTGAAACATATATTGTAATGGGGACAATTTGGGTATTGATAACAAAAGACTCCTTATAAAACTTGAGCCAAGGCCCAAAGAGGACCTCTGAAAAAAAAAGGCAGCATGTTTTTCATCAAGTTGGGGAAGGAGATGCAGGCGTTTTTAGTTGTTTCTAAATTTTGGAGAATGAGTGGAAGGGTTTTTACCTCTCTCTTTTTTCTTGGCCCTAAAATGAAGCAAAATTTGTAAATGGCCAGTAAAATACAAAAGGAAAACCATTTGGTGTCAAAGTAAAGTGTACCACCTTTTAAGTCATAAACATTTTCTGCCATTAATTGAAAAGACAGATCAAAAATGCAAGATCATGCACTAAAAGTTAATGAATGACATAGAAATAGATCTGGAAGACAAATTTGGAGACAGAAAATGTCAAGTTGACATTAGGTATTAAGGAAAAAGGCATGGAACATGTGGGTCATAATGGAGCATTTCATACCTATAGTTCGCCATCTCTACCTAAAAGACTTTATTTCATTGACATCTTTTGATTTTATTAATTTTTTTTTGGAATATTTTAATGCATGTGTATAAAATAAAATTGTAAACAGCAGTTTTGCAATATCCCCATATATTTCACTGCTAGCTGTCTAGGGACAGAAGGTATTTTACTGCCTTTGGCCTAATACGTAAGGTAAAGGCAGTGGCAAAGCAGATTAAGGGCTTCTGACGATACTTCAACCTGAGTAAACAGATGTGTGACAGAAGCATGAAAGCAGATAGGCATGGAGCACTTGCGACATTTGTGTGCTTACGTGTGTTCAAACATGAAGATCTGAAAAAGCATCAGTCCAGACACCTGAATTAGTGTCCTTCTGATTTAATTAATGTCCAGTGCACTGCACAGAAGAGCTTATTGATTGTTGATTGTTTTAACTGTAGATATCTGTCTGCATAGACGCACTTCTAGATTTTCTAGATTCCTGAAAAGTAAGATAAATGGTCTTGGAAAGACATTAAAACCAAAACCAGTTCGGATCTAACTTTGTGTGAACACACCTTTCAAAATTTACCCAAAAAGCAGTATTAAGGGGTATATCACTAGCGACAACGTTGTGTTGGAACAGTAGTGTTAAGTCAGTGAGAAAAGATGTGGAGGCCTAGCCTATCTGGTCCAACTTTATCAGATGGAAGAAAGAACCATAGGAAAAGTACAGGGAGACCAAAAACTAAGAGGAAGAGAAGGCCAAAATCTGTTGGTAGGATAGTTTTTGCCCTTTTTTCTAAAGATGAAAAGTAGTCAATATAATAGTAATATTGTTTTGGTTCTCATTTTGAAAATTTTTTCTGTTCTGATTTGACCAAAATTTTTTTAAAGCAGTGTGAATGGTTTGTGTTGACAGTTATTAACATTTATAACAATGATACCTAGTCTGCATGTTATGATAAGAACACCTGTCCATAATACCATTATAATCTCTGAGCTTGAAAAAAAAATTTTTTTTTTTTTAGAAATTCTGCTTATTTTGAATAAGGGATAAAAAAATATGCTTATTATTGTATAAAATGTTTACAAAAAGTGGAAATTCAAAAAGGAGTGAGGATATTGTTTACCTTTTAAGCATTTTCTTTTCCCTCCTCTTAATGTATGGGTGTTTTCTCTTTCACTCCTTATATAAGAATTGAACCAGTTACTGTAAGAAAAAAAGTATATAAGAGAAAATATGAGTGGTCAAAATTATATAAAAATTTTTAGTTTCTTTGAGAAAAAAATCAAAGTACCAGACAGTTACAAACATTTCTTACTAAGTTGTTCTGATGTGGATCCAAACACTGAGATATTGGGTTTCATGCACTGAGAAGAACACGTGTTTGATTTTAACTTGTCATGGCTGATGACAGCTTTTTGATGGATGTGGCTACCTGGTTTTCCAGATTACTAACAGAACTAGGTGATCAAAGGGATTGAGTGTGAGAAAAAAATGTTGCTCCATACAAAATAGAAATATACCTATTTTTTTGTTTTCTGGAAACCTAGCTTCTGCTAACACTTTGATACTGATTGAAGTCAGACAAAAAAATTCTCTTCTTTCTTTTAATTATTTGAAATTTGAAATTTTACTGTCACAGTGAGATATATTTTGTTTACTAAAACTTTTATTAGTAAAACTGAACCTTTTGAAGCTGTTGACTTATCACAATTTTTTTCAAGGTGAGAAATTGGTACAAAATCTTGAATGTGTCACCAGAAATTTTTTGAGTAAAAATTGCATTTCAGCAATTTAGCATTGCATTTTACTTTCAGAGGAAGGCATCCTCCCCCAGGCAATACTAGACAGACAACTAGTGACAGAGAATGGACTGGAAGAAGAGACAGCAGACGACATGCTCGGAGCGTCGTTTGGCTCTGAGGAGCGCCCCCAGACACCCAGTACATTGTACAGGGAAGCTTTCGAGGCATGGCTGGAAGGGCCTCCTCAGGAGTCTGATGAATACGACACAGATCTTGAGGATGCAAAAGTTCCAAAACGTGAGTAGATATGATTTAGCTTTAAATATGAATTCTCTCTCTTTCTTTCAGATTTAAGCAACTTTATGAAAGAATACACATGATCGAGATAAGAAGAACCATAATCTCAGACATTAGTAGATTACCTACAGATTTGTTGTTACTGTTGAGGAATTGGAATTAAAGAGGTGTATTTTAATTTAAGGCTCCTTTTTTTATTGTCCATGAATTAAATTGCTTTAAATATTGCAAAATAAAAGGTAAAAAGGGTAAGGAACAGTGGCAGACACTTGAGGATGAATAAATGGCCTATAATTGTAACTAAAAGGGTGTGATGTCAGCCTTTGAACAAATAACATATATTGTACATTTAATGTGGTAGTGACCGTTTGATAAGTGGGTGCATGTCAGCTCAGTAAGCAGCTGCCTATTGAATTTTGTCATGGCCACTGTGTAAAGTACACGGTATATGGCAGTTAATTGACTGAGTATAAACAAATTTTTTCAAAAGCTGATATAAATTAATAAGTGGTTATATTTTATTTAAGCCTCAAAACTGTGCATTTTTTTGTTACAAAAAGATTTGCTTTCTGACTTGTACCCAACCTGCTTCAGGTAATTATAACTTATATCTTTTGGACATTTCAAACCAAAAAGCTGTATTCAAAGAAAAAATGCATAATTCAGCAGTGTTTAAAATGAGTGAAATTACCTAAAGTGGTCATGGTCATTACTGTAACAATAGTAGGCCCATTTCAAGACCACTCCTTGATTTTGCTGCCTATGTAAATGTCCTGCATCAATTAAGTAGGTGTGGCCACTCTTGGTCAGTGTATTAGTAGCTGCCCATTAAGAGTGCAGTGTCCACTGTGTGTGTGCTGTAAGTACCTGCATAAGTGGCATTACGTATGTCATTTGTATTGAAGCACCCTTGGGTGAATGGGTGAAGGGGACATTGTGTGATGAAAGTCATTTTAACAGCAATTTAGCATCTGACAGTCATGAATCCTGTCATTTTACAGTTTTCCCTAGTAGTCAAGGACAGTTAATCTCTTAAAAGAAAATGGTTATAAATATGTTGATACATCCTTGTCACTTAGCATCTGGTTTGACGAAGAATCAATTGATTTGTACCTGTGCCAAAAATGCTAGATAATTTCAAGTATGAAAAATATTTTGTATAACTAATTTTAAATAAGATGCGCAGAATAGAGCAAATTGAACTTGTTTAAGTATCAGAGGGCTCATTTTTTTCCTTTGATGGAAAAATTGAATGAGAAGGTGAACATTAAAATTCTAACAGAACACAAATATCCAATGTTAAATACTTATGATAAATTTTTCCCTGGAGTGTCCCAAGGAACAGATGAATGGTTGCTGTTTATTTTGCCATTTTGGCCTTTTTCAGCAAAGGAAAAAGAAGATTCCACTGGCAAGAGAACATATGAAGAAAAATGTAAACAGACAGGTAGTATTCTTTTTGTGTAAAAAAAAAAAAAAAACCCTCAGAATTAAAATATTTTCATAAATTCTGTATCATGCTTTTAAATCATTATTACTGCAGACATGATTTTTGTTCTGTTAAAAGTGAAAATAAAATTTTTTCTCTTTTTTTTTTTTTTTAACCTTAAGTAGCCCCCTACATCACTGGTCATAAGGTCATAGGTCTTCCTACTTTTTCCATACTACTGGTACTCAAAATCAAGTATGTTACTCTTGTCTTCATTATTATCCAAGTAGGTTTTGTGCTTGCCATTAAAATGAGCTGAACTGTTTCAGGTGTCGTTCCTGTTTCTTATATAGTCAAGAACTTGGGAGAGCGTCACCTCAAGATGTGTCACCATTACCTGGGAGGACCTGCCACCAAACCCTTGGCAGCAGCTTTCAAGGTAAAAAGACACTTCATTGAGGGTTTATGTACAGACACACTGTGGCCTGCAGTCCTTAATGTCCACATCATTAAAAATTTGATGGTGATTATGCTGTTAAGTATTACGTATCCAAATTGAAAATGTATTTTTAAGACTTTTTTGTAAATTGGAAAATATGATTGTTTCACTTCACAGTTTTCTGTTTTCTGTTTTTAAGCAACCTTCCGACACTTGAGATGTAAGGCCACCAAGCTCTTTTTTCTGAAGGGTCAGTGGAGAAAAAAGTTTTAAACAATTTTTGTTCTAATTCCAGGTGAACACGGTGACAGAGATGGTGGACCTGACAGACAACTATCTGGAGGGATTGGGAGGGATGGCACTGGCCAAGATGCTGGAAGAAAATCACTTTATTGTACAGATGGTAAGATGATTCTTGTGACGTACACTCTCTCTCACTCTCTCTCTCTCTCTCTCTCTCTCTCTCTCTCTCTCTCTCTCACACACACACACACACACACACACACACACACACACTTTGTTCATTGTAATTATCATGATGGCTTGTCAGTCGTGTATGACTGGTCATCAGTGACAGATTTAGATGCAACATTCATTTTTTCCTGTGGCATTAGTTGCATGCTCAGATACATCCATTCCTTGCATGTTCACTTTGCATAAGAATGCAATTTTGTAGCAGAGATATTAATATTACTACCAAAAAGATGATGTAACATGTCCTTGGGAAACAAGTATATGCAGTCTGCAAAGAATATGTTTGCAATTAATGAAACCATAACTCCATTTACTGCCTATTTTACTGAATAACAGAAATACAATTCCATTTAAAAACTTTAAATTTTCTTTTGAAAAAAGAAAAAACATACAACAGCTTAATGTGTTTCAGTAAAAACATATGAAATGTTGCAATATTCAGTTCATTATGACTTTCAGCTTAAATGATTTCAAACATTTAACATATCAGAATGTCTCGGAGAACTTCATAGGGCTGAGAGGCTGCCGGGCATTTGCTGACATGCTGCAGATTAATACTACACTGAAAACACTTGTCCTGAAAGGTAGGCAAAGGGTTAGGCTGATAAAAGATCATAATAGAAATAGACTTAACTGTTATTTAATACTCATATATCTTGACAGCCAGATTGTTCATTGGGGTTGAGATCACATTGGGCTGCTGGAAGTTCCAATGTTACTTTTGGGTGCGTGCAAAACTAACTCCGCGGGGACTCTCGCTGAATGCAACCAGATTCAAAAATCATCATGTCTCCTCTTGTGTCCAATGTCCTTTTACAATCCCCAGCTTTTATGAATTGTACTCAACACCTGAAAGAGGCTTGTTAATCTGTTAATCTGATTGCATTCAGCGCGAGTCCCCATGGAGTTAAAAAGTCAGTTACTTTTATTTTATTTTATGGAACAAAGATTTGCACATTCTACACTTTTTGAAATTTGAAATATGAGGATATATTTTTTTTTATTTCCAGAAAACCACCTCACTGATGCATGTGCCAAACTTTTAGGAGAAGCCCTGAAGAATAACGAATCTCTCACCTCCTTGGATCTTAGCCATAATGAGATTGGTGAAGTTGGTGGTGTTCATTTAGCCTCTGGACTGGTAAGTTTGGGTCTTCTTGCCACTTAATTATGACTTTTTTGCCTTCACACTGCTTCTCATTTTCTTTATCACTAATACCATTTTCTTCTACTCCTTCTTAAATTTCTAAATACTTTTTCATCTTTGATGTGTTGTACATTATATAACCTGATGAGAAATTTTATTGTTATAATTAAAATATAAACTTAAGACTCTTTAACTGTTATGATGTGCTTGCAGACAAGGATCTAAACCTCTAAAATTAACATTTCTGCCTCTAAACATATCTGAAAATAGACTTCATGCAGGGCTCAGTCATAATGTCTTGATTGCAGACGGTGAATGAAAGCGTGATTGACCTGGACCTTAGCTGGAACTCCATATGCAGGAAAGGGGCAGTGGCACTGGCTAATTGTTTAAAGGTACACTTAGATACCAGGCACTAAATAACATAAATGATGAAAGTTTTGAAAAAAAATGGATCTGAAGTATTTCAATAAATGCTGCATTGGACACTTTGGGTCTGGTAAATTGGTTTGAGTTCAGGAATGATTTAAGTTAAGTATTGTTCATATGAATTCTGGCTAATATAAATTTTAAAAGAACTGTTCCATCAGATGTGATTGCGAGCATTTTGTAAGGTGCCGAGTTATGAGGCATATTAACTTGAAAAGTGATATTATTTGATTATTTGATTTAAACTTACTGTGCATTCAGAAAAGCAGGCTAACAGATCTGCGGGTCAAATATGGTCGACCCACTGGAATGCCTGTCGTGTAATTCCCATAGGGAATCTATTCAGTGTCTTATTGGGAATTAAGCAGCAAGCTTTTTAGTGGATTGCCATTTTTGATCCACTGATCTGTAAGTCTGTTGTTCTGAATGCGTTCTTAGTAATGATTCCAAAAATGCACACTTTTCTTAGATATACTGTATAGTTTATCCAGTATAACTTTACAATATCAGTGTTTATTTAAAGAGAACATATATTGTAGGTAAACAACACAATTGAGATTTTGGACCTTTCTTGGAATGGCTTTGCCTACCATGGCTGCTTTGCCCTGATGAGGTCTCTCAAGGTCAATACCAGACTCAGGGTGCTAGATCTTAGGTAAGAGATTATCATATGACCTTGACCTGATGAGGTCTCTCAAGGTCAATACCAGACTCAGGGTGCTAGATCTTAGGTAAGAGATTATCATATGACCTTGAACTGATAAGGTCATTCAAGGTCAATACCAGACTTAGGGTGCTAGATCTAAGTAAGAGATTATCATATTACCTTGACCTGATGAGGTCATTCAAGTTCAATATCAGACTCAGGGTGCTAGATCTTAGGTAAGAGATTATCATATGACCTTGACCTGAGAAGGTCATTCAAGGTCAATACCAGACTCAGGGTGCTAGATCTTAGGCAAAAGATTGTCATATGACCTTGACCTGATGAGGTCACTCAAGGTCAATACCAGACTCAGGGTGCTAGATCTTAGGTAAGAGATTATCATATGACCTTGACCCTCCCATGGTCACTGAAGGTCATCACTGGGCTGTAGACACCTTGCTTTCTGTCATGCTCTACCAGTACTGCTCAACCTTTTACTCTGAGATGGTTGTTCAGGGTCGACCAAGGACAGGGTATAAGATTTTGGGTACTATATCATTGCTTGACCTTGAAGAGGGCAATGAAGGTCAGGGTGATTAATTAGCACATGCATATAGTCATCTGAAATCAGATTATTTGATTAAAATTTATATAATGAAATGTGGTTTAATGTCAACAAACTCAATAAAATAATATATAGTGCTTTTAAAAAATAATTCATAATAATTGTTTTTTATCAGTTACATCTATATTAATATTTTGATCTACTTTTTGGTATTGTTTTACTTAAACTGTTTTCATTTATATATTTCAGTAATAATAGATTGAATGCTCAAGCAGCTCAAAAATTTGGTTTAGGACTTGCAAAGAATACAGGGATTGAAACACTGATGGTAAGTGAAATACAGGCTTTCTGGTTATTGATTTTTTTCTGTCATTTCTTCCATCTTCAGTTGACATATGTAAGTAATTTGAAGAAATATGATGATATCTGAAATGTTTGTTGTCTGTCAGAAAAAACAAATGGATTAATATAAAATGGATGTTTTCACCTTAAGTTTTTGGGAAGCATTGAAAAACTGACAGAGAGTGATGAAAGTATGCAGATAACTAAAAATGTATAGTAAGTACATTATTTTTTGTAGCTCAACATGAACCATATAGGAGAGCAAGGGTTGGAATACATAGTGAAGGCAGTGAGCAGCAACCCTAAGATTAAACTCCTGGGGTTGGAGGTAAAACAATATTTCAATACACATTAAAGTAATAGATTGCATATCATACCACAGTAGAGAAGACAGTACAGAGCAAGATAACAAGCACTTGAGTTTATTGTTCAAGATTTTTAATAATCAATATTTTGATTTATTTGTGAGCTCCGTGTTGATCTCTAGGAACAGTTTTGCCCAACTTTACCACTATAAGGAAGACAGTACAGAGCAGCACAAGTACTCCATCAAGCTCACGATATTCAACTAGAAAAACACAAAGACAAAAACAATGTTTCATATATTTTTATTTATCAGTGAACTCTGTGCTTTTATATCTGTACAGTTTTGCCAATCTTTTTTCTTGTCCAGTCTTCTAACAAATCCAAGCAATATATCTTACTTAAAACGATAGAAATGTATAGCTATTTTATTACTAACCTGCCTCCCACAATGTAGTTTTAATCTTGAAAATGCAAAGGAATTAAGTATGATGTTTGTAGAAATATATGTAGAAATGTTTTTACACTGAGTTTTTTGCACATAGCAATGAAATCTAATACAATCTGTATTGATAAAAATAATCTCTACTACTTTTGAGTATACATAACTAATTACATTGTGTTAGAACATAGTGTGTTAGCACAATATTAAAAGGCACAGCTCTCTGATTATATCTTTTACTTTTCTTGGTGTCAGGGACACGTGTGTACTAACAGCTAATATGGAGAGGGACATTGCATGAGAAGTCAGGCTTGGCTCGTTTTGTAATTGATTTCTGTACTAACTTTCTCTTGTATATTTTCACATGTGCTTTCTTCTGTGTGTCTTCCACTCTTCCCTCTGCTTGTGCTTGGCTTCAGGGATGCAGGGTAAGTGAACTGATTACTTTTGTTTGGGTTATGTTTCTTTGGAAATTTTTTTTTTTAGCTCCAACATGGAAAATCCTATTTGTTTGTGTTGTGGTATTTGAAAGTTTTGATGTTCTGTATCGTATAACCACTCTTGATTTCGAGACAAACAAAAATCCAAGTTTTAAAAAAATGAAGTTTCAAATTTTCATTTGGCAATTGGATTTATCCTTAGAAAGTGCAGAGAGGAAATATATCAGATTTAACATTTCTAATTTTGGTCGGCATCTCTTATTTTCAATTACCCAATCATGATACTCATTTTAGATATAATCCCAGTATAAAATTATGTTTTATGCTTGTCCCTAGTCCAAAATGCATGCAATGCATCTACATTGTTTTCTTTTGATCCAGGACATTACGCTCTCCCCAAATATCTACCTCAAGATCAAGGAACTTGAAGAGTCCAGAGACATCATTATAATGCATTCTGGGATAGGAGGTTATGGGAGGTCCATGGTAGGAGAACCAGATCTGGTCTTTCAGAGTTGGAAACCGTTTTTTTTTTTTTTTTTTTTTTTATATCAAATATAGCTTATTAAGGTTAAGAGTTTATTGTAAGCAAATGTGCCACTGGCATGCTAATTACATGTACAATATGTACAATATCATCAGATATAGCATTGAAATTTTTAAAAAAATTGTTGAAAAATTGCAAGGAAGAAAAAAAAATTCAAAGTCATATTTCCAATGTTTGGTTACCATAATGGTCAGAATATTACAGGATTAAAAATTTTTAAAATCAAATATTTCATGGAATGCTTGCATGATCTTTAAAAGCAGATTCCATTTTTAAATTTCATTTATTTATTTATCTAGTTATTTATGAACTTTTGTTCCTCATCAGATGGCAGACACCGTCCTGACGGTGTTTGATCGTTTCATCAAGGAGAACGAGATGGGCATGGAGGACCTGTTCCTGCAGTTTGACAAGGACAAGAGTGGAGACATCACCGTGGACGAAATGAAGTACGGACTCAAGGAAGCGGGACTCAGACTAACTAATGTGAGGATGGGGTAACAGCTGTAGAGACCCAGAAAAGTGATGAATTATCGCTGTATTTGGCCATTTTGTAGTTCGGCAGTGATGCAGAAGTTATCTTGTCCAAATTAACTAGAGCATTGTGTTAAAACTGAGTTGTTCAGAGAAAAAAAGTTACCTTATAATTTTGCCATTTTGTGAATTAACAGTATGTAGTTATACAAAACCTATTTTGGACACAATTTGGTTGGACCCAATCTTTTTTTCTTTTTTTTTTTTTTTTTTTTTTTTTTTTTTTTTTTTTTTGCTGCTGATGCATTTGTTACAGTTGTTATTTTTCGTCTTGTTTTAAATGTTTTAAATATATTTTTCTACGTAGTATGTTATTTCGTTGTCCTCAATTCATCCCATGTTGTACACAATTTGCACACAGGCAGAGAATTAACGCTGAGGACCTTTTTATTTTTTTATTTTTCCAGAATCAACTGGACATACTCCTTGGTGAGTTGGACAGGGACAGGAATGGCACTCTGGAGAAGCAGTAAGAATCCTTTCATTCCTGAAAGATATTTGTTGTACACCAAAAGGGCACTTACAGTAATTCTCTGGCCCTGTTTGACAGTTTCTGTCAATTATCTGTGAAGTAGTCAATTTTCTAACTAAAAAATATGGTATAATTATTTGTTTGGTCAAAAATTCTGATTTCTTATGAATGAACACTTTGAAAAGCAGTTAATGTTTGATTATAAATAAATGTAATGAATACTGCTAGTTTAGATGACCTCATGCCCCAAGTTGCTCTTCCAGTGAGGTCCTGGGTGGCAAGCTGCTGATGGAGAGCAAGGGAAAAAGACGAGAGCTCCAGAACATGGGCTGGTCCTTTGAGGAAGAGAGGCGGGCCAGAGGTGTCACCATGAAGTGGGAAGGAATGACACTTTGATGACAGGGAAACTAGGGGTTTCACCATGAACTTAAAAGGAATGACACTTTGGTGACAGGAGAGGGAGACGTCAAATAAAGTGAGAGACAGCAGAGAAGGGAAGAATTGTTAAAGAGAATGACTTCCTGGTAAAAGATGGGCACTGTCATAGTTGACCTTTAGGAGAACCTGCTGTGAACTTTGACCTCCTTGAGACCTTCTGGCCCCATGTATTGCACAGACAGTGATTTACTGGAGACTGGGATGTCACCAGATGGCAGCACTAGTCAGCAGAAAATACCCAAAATGCCATAGTTTGCCTAACAGGATTGTACCAAGGACAAAAGTGCAGGGATGGAGATGTTACTTAAAATAAAAAAAATATATATGAAACTGTAGAAAGATGCTGGATTTTTTTTTTAATTTGAAAGTCCTGTAAATTTAAGCAATGGTTACAGGTTTTGGTGTACTTCTCGTAATCATTTATTTATGTTTTGCATTCTCTGTTCCTGTATTGACCCACCGACTACATGTGCCAACATTTTCAGCATCATCTATGTAGAGATCTGATCTTAACACCTCTAGTACATGAAGCAAGGGTAGAGTGATGAGTGAGTTTAAATATATATATAAATATATATAAATATATATATATATATATATATATATATATATTAGGAGAAAAAGTTCATTTTCAGCATTTTATGTGATTTAGAACTGTTGGTCTAAGAATTTGTTAAGGTTACTGTTATTTTTGTTCATTACTGTTGTGAAAGTTGGGTTAATAAACCTTCCCTGCTGGGGAAATTTTTTGAATTTCAGTTATTATTGGTAAAGATGGGGTTTTGTGATCATAACCAAGAGGGTATGCCCAGGTGATAAGAGCAAGTGATAAACATTTGTCCGTTTGTGCTTATTTCTCACCATTTCAATCTTGTTTTGGATAAAATGTTTATAAAATAGATAAATTCAGACAATTATGGAGGGGAAAATTGGTGTTTGTGGTCATCTTCGTTAGTGATGCATAAAAACTAAGTCATGTAATTCAGCTAATTTGTGGGTTGTGGAAGTTAATTTGCAACATTATGCAACTTCAGAAGAAACTGATAGGATTTATTTTCATTATATACCAAATGCTCAGTTTTTACTTTTTAAATAAAATTGAATATCAATTTATTCTTACAAAAAGCAGTTATGTATTACAAAACTGTTGGAATAACATGCATTTTAGGATTTAACATTTTTTTCCTTCAAGAAGAATTTGGTATTTATATTTTAGTATTGATGTTTGGATGATTTAGATGTCTCCTCCGTTCCATTTTACCACGACGATTTAGGAAAAAATACAGATTATAGGTTGTATAAGATTTGGTCAATCAAGGCTGCATTTATAGGATAATCTCACTTATTATTGTCTTGAGAAATTACATTGAATGTGTAATAGATTATTGCCTGTATTGAAAATTATAACCTTAGCATTTAAATTTATAATTTAATAGACTAATTATTCTGAATATAATAATAAATATTTACTGACATGTCTGATCCCATTTCATTTGTTTCTTTTTTTATGCACTATCTAACAAGGAATCCTTTATTGGAATTGTACTGGTTTAAGTTTTATTTGTTAAATTTGTGTTACATTTAACATTATTTTCTGTGTTTACTGTGCAGAAGTAGTACAGAGTAGTATGGAGTAGAAATGTCTCTCAAATACAGTTACAATTTTTTTCTACATTTCCATTCCAGAATAATATTTTGTTCTTTAATAAAACCGTTTGGTAAAAATATCAGGCACTTTTGTTAAATATTTTTCATATACAAACACTGTATGTGGCTGCATGCATTGAGACCATTGTGTCACAATGCAGTTGTCAATGCTGCCCAAAATCTCTTCACCTTATTCGTAACTTCCAAACTAAACTTTTGTATTTTGAATTAAAAATTTTATCGTCTGGCTTTTTTCAACTGGGTTGTTTTAGTAAAAAGATATTCCCTTTGAAAGTCAGCACAATTAGATTATTTTTGCAAAAGTTACTGAATCCTTAATTTCCCTGAAAGTAATTGATTCTTTTAATTCATAAATGGGCCATATTTTTGTGTGTGATATTCATGGGGTATGTAGGCCTAATTACCAAACCATTTCTTTGTTTTACTCCATAGTTGCTGATTAACATAGTGTAAACTTTTTTTTTAGGGAGGGCCCAAAATTTTTGATGTTTTGGAAGGCAAATGGTGCCATTTGGTACTGTTTAGAACTATTATATGATTCAGCTTGCCCAAATTTTAATTTCAAGAGGGGAATATTTGTGTGATTTTTTTTTTTTTTTCAGAAACCGAAGGACCCCCAACCCGCCAAATCCACCACTGTATGACTTTGTACTATGTCGAGGAAGCTACTAAATCAATTTAAATTTGGGCACTTTTATTGATGAGCATTTATCATTTTATTGAATGCTCCAAGTTTGATGACTTAAGATGCTTTTATTTTCATTTTGTTTTAGATGTTTCGAGATTATGTTTGACTTCACCTTTGACCTTAAAGATATTGTAACCCTTTATTATCATCCAGATACCAAAGCGGTTCACACCTTAGCAGTTAAGGTTTTTTTTAAAGTAGTCTTTGCCATTTCAAATGTCAACTATGGAGTTGCCCTGGGTACTGTATGACTATATGAACAGTCTTGATAAGCATGGGCACAAGAGTGGGGAGGGGGGCATGAGAAAAAAATGTATGATTGGGTAAAGCAAAAGCGCCAAGAAGACTTTTGAAAAAATCCCACCGAGAAGATAGCGCTTTTTATGAAAGGGCATGCATGACGCCATGCTGGGTTAGCTGTCGACTCAATTCAAGTTTGATCTGTAGTGTAGCTGGTAAAAATGGAGATCAGTGACCATCCCCGCCTAAGCATTATTTTGAAGGACCTTTAAGTGAAGAGAAAGGAGATATTATTGACGGCGCAGAGTTGTCAAATCAATCATTTATTCTAAACTATACTGGGTTTTTATGCATTCGTTTTCGCGACTTCCCAATCCTAGGGCCAGGTCGTTGCTGTACATGTGACTTGACTCGTGGCTTTCCGTTACCATGGTTGATGATGGCTTTGGATTTTTTTAAGCAACAGTGTGCGCTGCCGACTGCGCTTTCCCTTTGTACGTGTTACCGAATTTATACAAATGCAATTTTTAGAAATTGTTTCTAGAAATGTTACATTGACCATTCTACAATTTGAACCCACGTGCAACAGTCTAGTTGTGTCCAAGGCAGCAGAGTTACCACTGAGTCGCAGAAGCTTCCTTGGCAACGTCAGATAAAAAATGTTGGTGTTTTGGTACGGTTTTGAACTATGATTCAGCTATCCAAACTTTCAATTTCAAAAGGGAATATAGGTGTGACTTTTTTCAGAAACTGAATGGGGGTAAGAACCCCCCCCCTCCCCCAAATCCTCCTGTGGTGTTAATAAGGCAGTTTCCCTTTTAAAATCGCCATGATTGTTTTTTTTTAAGTAGGTGATTGGTTTTTTTATGGACGGACCCTATTTGAATGGAAGAATAGCCATCACCTGCTTCTCTCGCGCTGCATCAGCATTCCCGTGGCCATATTTTTCTGTAAACCCACAAAAATGGAAAAATGTATGACGCGTATTATCCTCAAACTGGCTGGAGTGATTCATAAAAAATGGAACGGAAGTCAGATATCAGATGGCGCAAGGTCTTTTTTAAAACTAAAAAATATTCAACCTTTTTTGTGTGTGTGACATGCTCACGTGAAATATGGACTGAAATAGGCCCTACTATCTACTTTGTATATCACTATAAAGTAACATAATTTTTGTGCATCCAGTTTTCCAGAATTGTAATCTTTATGTTAGAGTTCTTACATCAACTCTGTTTTACACAATTTTGACAGAAAAGGAAACAATTAACTTGCTTCAAGCATAAGCCTATTTATTACCAGCAACCAACAATTACATGTAGAGTTCAATCCCATAGTCTATCTAGGTATCGTGGTAAGTAATGTGAAAGAGCAAGATTTTTAGCACTTTAGCTTTTGTCAGACCATGAAGTGGAAAAATTGATCTAAGCAAGGCATTTTGCAGGATTTCGTCAAGATGTGCCATCTTTCTGCTTCCATTTTTTCACATTTCCTGTTGCGTGGATCTCAGGCATGCGCGCTAAGTCTTAGGCTGAAACAAAGAGGAAGAAAACTTTATTTTTTATTGGTTACAAGTCCAACATCTATTGACCACACTGGCCATGTTAATATCTAGGTCCCGCTGAAAGCGGACATGCAAAGAACATTATATTTTACCAAGGAGTTATAACTGTTATAACTCCTTGATTTTACGCGGCCACATTGTAAACTTATGCCACAGCGTAAATTATAATTCTAAATCAGGCAGATTCTAAATCAACCTACATGTAGATATAGGCCTATCCCATACCTTTGTACGTATCTTAATGATCTTCAACCTATCTTAAAACTATTATTGTTACATGTATGCATTATATGTAAAAGTCTAAGCAATACGCACCGAAGAAAATGCAAAAGGCGTAAACTCTACAGCCTCCTCCATGTGCACATGTTCTGTCAAGACTGCACTGGCCATTCTGCGCATCAGAGTTGATGTTAAAGATTCTGTTAGTCTCAAATTGAATCCACCTTGAACAAAATATTCATAAACTCATGAGCTGATAAGGCCCAGAATATTACTAAAAAACTACGTGTGGTTATATCATTGATGCACTAATAATTATTTTCTGTTCTATGTGTAACTGTAGACAAACATTTTCACTATTATTAGATTCAATAGGACAGAAAATGGTCAAATTAACCAACAAGAAAATTTCTCATAAATATTCCATTTCTTAGGGGAGTGTGTCTGAGATATATAATTTCTGCATAGTTTGTTGTCATCATGTTTAGCTCTAAGAATTATTAGTTCTTTAAGTAGTAAAGAATTAACACTTTAATAAGTAAAGAAGTAATACTAAATAATAAGTAATAAGTAATGGTTTAAATTTAACAGGCCGGTTTTTAAGCAGAAGAGAGAGAGAAGAGAGAGAGAGAGAGAGAGGCACATTTAAACATGTAAACCATGAACCTGAAACTTTTTAAGTGGCTATTAGTGTCTGTCGTGGACATTCTAAGCACGGCATTTACAATTAGTAAAGTTTGAGACCTGAATCGTGGCACTGTCAAAAACTAAGTAGCAGTGGAAAAAATACCAGAAAATTATGCAAAACTCACGGATAATGAAAATTGCAGTCGATAAGATGGCTGCCGCTGGGACATGAAGCCACAGGATTGTTCGACCATCCTTTACTAGTACTTGCCACACTGACGGTATTGATCACAGACCCCAAACTTTCGCATGTCACTTGTGCCTCAATAGAAATAAAAGTTCATCTAGCAATGGGTTGTGCGTTACAGTGCAGTGTATTTGGTGTATATTTATTATCTGAAACCAGGACGACCTATACTATTACATTTGAAGCGAGCGTGGATTCCTAGTACACTCATTCAGTATGCATGTATAGGTCCCTTTTTATTATTTTTTTTAGGTAAGCGAGTGGAAGAATTGTTTGTCCAGATGGCACTTTACTAACATCATTCTAGCAACTTAAAAAATAAATAAATAAATACTAGATTAATATGTTCTCACACAAAAAAATAATGGACTAAATTTTAAATCTTCATTGCTGTCGCTCGCAGCACCATCTCAAAATCTCCAATCCATCTTTTATTTTAATTGAGTTGGAAAATCTTTAACTTGTCACGAAGCGTGTAAGATGTCTAACCATTTGTACTAGTTCCTTATACCACTTATTACTGTCAATAACCACCCTCCCCCCCCCAAAAAAAAAAAACAAAAAAACAAAAAAACCTACTCTTATTCCAGGCTTATTCAAGGTGTTAAAAGCAGTGCACCCGCCGTTACTATCAAAATACGCCCCGTCACACACGTCAGAATCATTGGAGCAGGCGCAGCGTATACCAAAGTATCCAGTGGGGCAGGACACGAAGGAAGGATAATCGTCTTTGTTCCTTGATATATGCCCAAGGAAGGTGACCGTTTCCCCTATAATGAATAGATGAATGCATATAAGCAAATAAGTGAAAAACTGAAAATGAAATGGACATGAAAAGATTAAAGGGATGATAACTCTTCGTTTTGGCCAAAAAATGAATTTTCCTGGAGTAAACAATTTTCCCGTACTTACCAATGGTTAATGAATCCATTTTTACATTCAAAGTTAATTGGTACCTGTTTTTTTCTACAAAGTTTGTTTTTTTGTTATAATCTCTTAAGATATCAGAATAATAGCTTTTAACTGCCGTTTTTGTGGTAAAACAGAATATATCATGTTTCAGTGAGTTGTTCACAATGTTTTTATTGTGAAATATAGATCTCATACGAAGAGTTATTATCTCTTTAAAGTGGGAGAAAATTCCTTCTAGCGTTAACTGATATGAAAATATAAACTCAGTGTTCTCGAAGAGAATAAGAGCTCGGTAATCGAAAAAAAAACAAAAACAAAAACAAACTGACCATCCACTGCCTGCAGTCCTAAAGCAGCTAAAATTAAAGGCAACAACATCACTCTAGTAACCATCTGCACACGACTGAAAGAAAACGTGTTTTCAGAGCATTATTATTACATGTCCATAACCCAGCGTGATATTTAATTTTAATGAAGTAATTTTATAAAGTTAATGTCTAGGCAATGAGCATTATAATTACTGGAGTAGTGTTAACAAAAAATTTTAATTCTTCATTTTATATATTTCAGTAGGAGTATCTTGTGTGTATTTAGTTGAAACAGTTATGTTACTATGCAGCACGTATAGAATGTTATAAGGCTATTACATGATGGTTTATAGAGGGAGACACAAAAAGAATGTTGCTGATTATCTGTAAGTGACAGGCGAATGCTGAAATATTTTGGGCATTTCAACACTTTGGCCCTAGTTTGTCAATTAACTTGGCCTTGATTTATTTTGACATCCAATTACAGGGTCACTCAAGTACTACAGAACGACTGGCATTGCACTTGTTATCGCCAAAAAATGAATTCATTTAATTCAAACTTGTTCTCATAACAGTGCATATAAACCATATTAATAATAAAGAAAGAAAGAAAGAAAGAAAGAAAGAAAGAAAGAAAAAAAGAACCTCAGTTGTTATTTCAAATGATAAGTTTGGTTGAGAGGATGAAGACAGTATTTCTATTCAACTTCCATTTTTTCTTTTCCAGTATTATCTTAAATCCTTTTTTTCTGTGTATATTGATAAAACTACAGTGTTGTAAATTGTCAATAGTTTTGTAAATTGCTTGTTGTTTTCATCATATCTGTACCACATAAATTTTATCAAAAAATTTCAAGAAATTTGCTGGACTTAAACTTCAATGTGTGCACATGACCATTCCTAAAAGTTTCAGTTATCTTGGCTGCTAAAAGTTATTTATCTTTTTTAATATGCTCCAAATGGCCTCCACGGCATTGGAAGCACAAATAATAATGCTCTTAAATACACCAATCTTACTCTGTATAGTGAATGGTTACAAATAATTAATAATATAATTAGTTACTGATTAAACAAGCATAATATTAATGGCGATTAAACCAGAAGGCTGATTAAACTGATTTGTTTGAAAAAAGTGATCTACTTTTCCTGACTTTTTCAGAATCGTATACATTGTGCTACTCGGTTTAATATATTTAGGCTGATGTAGGTTAAATAGCTGTTTATAAATCAACAATTTTTTAAAGCAAGCTCTTTCACCGAATAAACATACTACACATTTTATTTATATATGCCAACGATGAAATAAGGGTACCCTTATTAAAAGGAATACAAAATGCTAAAATCTAGCGCAGCACAATTGCTTGCTGTCACATCTAGCGCAGCACAATTGCTTGCTGTCACATCTAACACAACTACATTTACTTACTTTATAACAGTATCTCTAGCGATAAATGAATACAGTAGTTTCAAAGCATGCCATAGAAAGGCATTTCACTTTCAAGGGGCTAGCAATTAATATCCCAGAACATTTGGCAGATATAAAATCATGACTTGAAAACCTGTGTGCGTGCAAGCGTGTGTGTGTGTGTGTGTGTGTGTGTGTGTGTGTGTGTGAGAGAGAGAGAGAGAGAGAGAGAGAGAGTTTTACAATAAAGAATATAGATGTCGACAGTAAGTACTGGAGGGCTTTGTCAATTTCTCCATTTTATTTATTTCAAAAACAGACAGCAGACAGACAGCAACCCCCATAATCAAAATATGCCAGTAGTATTTGATAAAGTGCTTTGTGTTACTAGGTTAAAATCTTGGGTTAATAGAAAGCCAGATAGCAGCAGAACCGGGAGAAATTTTGTTCGACTTTTATGCTAATGTCATATTTAAAAGATTGTGAATTCCACAAAAAAGAAGAAAAAAAGGTGCTTTCCATCAGACATGTACTAAACAGATTTTTGAAGCCCTACCATTTTCCATGCCATGTGATGGATTTTAAGTTGGTTGGCGCTGACGATGTCTTTAAAGCGTTGCTTAGGAAAATAGGTAAGGTGAATGTTGTACACAAACAAGATATGAAAGTAGAGAATTGACAAAAACTTGATTACCATACAACTGTATTCAATGCAACATTCCACAAGGACTTGTGAATAAAACATTTTTGAGTTAATGATATAGGATCATGATATAACCATGATGTACCTTCATATTAAAGGTAGTTTGGTATGAAGTGCAGAGTAATACAAAAATCCAAGCATATAATACTATTGGGTGTAGATAGTAAGTGGTTCGGGGGATAACATATAGGACAGGAAAGGCACTAACTAGCGACATCATGTTGCGGGAGTTTACTCCAGTGTTGTCTTGCAGGTAGCTGCTTTGCAGGTTTCAAAACCAATCTCTACGCGATAATAATGATCAAGCAATGACAACAGAAGTAATCACACATTTTCTGATCACTTTGTACAAAACATAAAATAAGTGGCTCGAAGAAAAGGATCCTATTAGTTGTTGGGACTGTGTACAATTCGAACAATCAAGTTTAAAGCCTGAGGCAAATTAACATATTGCATCTTTGAATAAGAGATTACCAACAGAATAAAAGAGAATGAATAAAATAATCAATATAAAATCAAAAAATTTTGACAGTTCAGCATCAAATTTAGAGATATTTTCCACCAATAATTATTTTAAAATGTGCTTTATTGAAAAATGGGTATTAGCAAAGGTACCCGTAACATGCTTAGCCCATACTGTATTGAAATTTAGCATTGGCAATTTACCATATACTGTATAACTAGAGAACAATTTGTTGTTTCCAAAAATGGTAGAACAGTTAAACAAGACATGAGCTTTGCCTCCAATACTGTTTCTTGTCACTGTGCCATATTGTTCAAGAGGGACTCTGCACTATTTGTTTAATAAGTTTGTACATGCCTCTTTATATGTGGGCTGCCTTCAATAACATTTATTCCTTTTTGTTTGAAATGGTATTAGAATGTGTTGAGAGAAAGTTACGCTTATGGCTGGTAGAATTCTTTATAAATGGGGGCGTTCAAATTTTTCATACACAAGTCTATTGGCAGTTTCATTTGCTCATTTTTTCTTCTTTTTTTTCTTCTTCTTTTTCTTACGGGCCTGTCCCTTCTCAGATGTCTCCACAGCGGGTTAAACGTCTCCACTCACACCGGTCCTACGCACGGTCATCTCATTATACTAGTACTACCCTCTCTTTTTAAACAATCAGTCGAGGCTTTATCTTGTACTCTGTTTTAAAAGCTCTCTCAGAAGGAAAGGATTTTTTGGACTAAAAAATCGTCGTCATCTTCTTAAGGAATCGACGTGTACAAAACTCCACGTTTCTTTTCTAGTTATTCAGATTTTTCATTTTATTTTGAAAACAAAACGTCCCTGTTTGTGAACATTTCGGTTCGCGGACGGTGTCAAGCAACGAAAGGAGTTCGCGACCCGAGCTTCGGCTGTGCTTTGCATTTGGGAACGAAAACTGCAAAGGATCACAAGTCTACCTATCATATACGGCGTGGCCTAAAACGGTGATAACTTCATACCATATTCATGCTAGCAAATACTGTAGTTTCTTAAAAATCTATTACGAGCTCAGGGGCAGATTTAGGCCGTCTTCTGGGTCTTCCGGAAGACGGTCAGATTTTCAAGTTTACATTGACAGGTATTTAATTTTTTCTGTTGGAAGACGGTCAAAATTGGAGGATGAATCAACAAAGATAATTTGGAAGACTGTCAGTAAATAGCTCTCGATCCTTTCATTAAAACAAAAACTTTCTTGAAAACAATTTTTAGTTGCATGCCGTGTGAATTTTCAAAAAGCGATACACACCTATAGTCTATATTGATTTGTTTTATTCCTAATCAGCACCTCGTAATCCATTGTAAAGTTGTTTAAGTTGTTGCAAATTAGAAATGAAAAATAGTCTGCATCGAATTCAAGAACGTTTAGATATCTATTTAATATCCCATCGAGATGAAAAACTGCATCATTCTTAAATTGCCGTACTGTCACGGTCAAAGACCCAGAAGTAAGTTAAGTATAAATACCTACCTGAACATCTTGTTTCTCGTTCACGTTGCTGAAGAACGTCTGGTGCTCTGCTCCAAATCTGAGGAGTGCGCTGCGGCTACAGATTTCGTGATGTTTTAAAGATCCGCTCACCCAGGAGGGGGAGCACATAGAGAAAGCTGGGTACATACTCTCTAAAATGGTCTTAATGTTTGACTCCTGAGTATGATCTTCTAAATGACATTTTTTTTCTGTTCAAATCACAAAATCTTTTTAGTTGCAGGACAACTCGTTAACGCAGTTTCCGTCAAAAATATCATTTTACTGACTTTCTTTTCTCAATGATTTCTACCCAACCTAATCAGAGTTGCCCCTCCGGGAGTGACTCATTGGTTTTTGATAGGCAGACATTATAGGGGTGCTTTCAACTGCAGTAGTTTCGATCCATTAAAAGTACCCTCATACAAATTAATTAATTTGAGGTAGATTGGTTGTGTTGCCCCCGACTTTGATTCCTTGTTTTGAACTGTACCAGATGGTTGAAAGAAAAAAAGACCAGGTTAAATTCATTTGTTTATGTATTTTCTTTTAAATGTACAGTATGTGTCATCTAGAGAGCATTGCACGTAATAGATTCATTCACATTTTTTGTGCCACCTAGTCTTTTTTATTGATTAGTTGTGTCCAGGAATGTGGTGTTACACACGATTAGGCCATTCCCCCCACTGTTTCATTCAAGTTACTTTTATCTATCATTGAGGCTCCAAGGCATAAGTTCATTGCCTTCTTTACGTTTTACACAACATTTAGATTATACTTTGGTTATATTTAGTTTTTATTTGTACGTATATGTTCCTATAGAAGCAGTTAAAGTGCTGTGGCATTTCTGCCCATGCTTTCAAAATGTAGGTCATACATTGTTTTACCGTATGGTAGTTTAATTTCGCGCGCACAACATATTTATGTTTTTGTCATTATTTGGTTATCTTTAAATACTTTATTTGTTGATTCATGCTCCTTTGTAGAATTTATAGATAGATATTTTTGCAACATCCTTAGTTTTTGTGTTGTATTTTCTCTTCTATTTTTTTACGGTGATGTATAATAAAGATCGAAAGTGGCAGTACATTGGTTCTTGCATAATTTGACGCATTGTGCATTTTCTGCACATCGCCAATCGTTTCCAACGTTGCAGTAGTCAAAGTGAACATTTTGAATCATCCAGTTTAGAAGGCTTGTCTAGATGTATTATACTGAGATAAACAGAAAACTACATATAAACGTTGAAACGGAGATCACGACATTTCGATCTCATCTCAAGGTTTTCTTCAGGTGAACTGATTTATAATTGTCACTGTGGAGTGAAAGGAGTCGTTCGTGAGCAGATTAAGAACGACCCCATCCTCATCAAAAATGATTATTTTAAACCTTTTTAAAAATTATTATTTATTTACGTATTTGTAACTTTGGCAACAGCTGAGTCAGTCACACCCATCACCAATTTTATAAATAAAAACAAGCAGAAAGTTACAACGTAGGGCCAAGGTGTTGTTCCCCTGCGTATGTCATACTCTTATAAGAGGGGCATGTCATCCTTATGCCTGGTATAGCGTGTCTTTAGCGTATGCACAACGTATGTCTCCTACACTCGAATATGCTGCAATTTTTTTATATCATTTTCAAAAATTTCTAACTACCTCTGTGTATGCGAACGTACACCAATGCTTACCTGAATGTGCAAAATGTACACGACAGAAGTGTAACGAAGCCTTTGCATTTTTCTGCATACGTGTAAATTTCCTGATACTTTAGTGCTATAATGCTCAAGTTCCAAAATCAGCCCGACTGGAAATTTTCCTTTAATTTTTTTTTTCCTGTTAGATTTTTGTTTCACAAATTGATATTTTCCAGGTGTGGATCTGAAGAAATGCTTTTTTGTGCCCCTGATGCTGTTTTTACATTAATGTCGGTTCATTTGGTTGTAAATATTGTTGCATGTCTTCTGGTGTTCGGTGTCTGGATTTTTGAAAGCAATGATGTCTAGTTCTAGTTGATACACATTTTCTTTGCAAATTCTCAAAAACTGAAGTTTTGACATTTCAATCATGTAAACACTCCTTTCAGCAACAGAGATAAAGTACACCATAAATATGACGTCATCATTTTATTTACAATTTCAAATTCAGTATAACACAGTACACATTTCACACCACTGGGAGGAATGTACCTCTAATCTCCTGTGCATTTCAATATTATTTTGTAATTTCTCTACTTTCAAACAATTACATTGCTCAATTATTTTCAAATACTGTAACAAATTAAAAAAATAATAATAAAAAGAAACAACACTCTGTACATAACAACTAAAATGTGAAAAAAAGTCAGTTGGCATATTGAATAAACCCATTTTGTATTATTAAGTATATTAGGAGTTGCACAAATAAGAACTAAATGAAACTTTTTGCAGACATTAACTTGTAGCATCCAAATCTATTCACTTAACATGTTTTGGCAAACCTTGAGAGATCTAGTAATGATCAGCACTATATTACCAAATTTCATTTAGTCATGTTCTGTTACAAATCTTTTCACCAACAACTGATAAATATATCTAGTAAAATTCCCAAGGCGTGCATTTTATAGATGGTGCCGAGTACAGTGCAGGGGCAGATCCAGAAACGTTTTCTGACAGTCTTCCAAATTGTCTTTCTTGACACATTGACACATCCTCCATTTTTGACCGTTTTCTGACAGAAAAAAATTAGATACCTGTCACTGTAAATCTGAAAATCTAACCATCTTCCAGAAGACCCAGAAGACAGCCTCAATACGCCCCTGCATATCACTGCCTGGAAATTATCAAAGTTGCCAGTCAATTACTTAAATTATTTTTAAAAAATTACAGCACCATATATCCTGTGTACAGTAGCCTTCCTTTTTTTCTATAGACCCATTATTTTCATGTTTTACTTCCAGTATCTATACAGCGGTACACAATGAATTCCCAAAGACAATTTTTTTATTGCATATATCAACTTTCACATTTCAGAAATAGCACGAGACATTCTGAACATTTCAGCAGAAAAAAAAAGCTGTAAATCTGAATCAGTAATCAAGCCATTTCAAAAATAAGTTACCCTATGAAATATCATAAAAAAATAGTCAAATTTTGCTTGATAATCAATGATGGCTTTATCCATTTAATTTCTACTGGGCAAATCTCTGTATCACTGCTACCACAAATTGCATCTCACCAACAGTTTGAATATCACCTAGTTTTTACAGCTTCCAAAGAGAAAGGTGAAATTCACTGTACTTGATGGTCTAATTTCTCAGAGGCTACTATAACTTTTATTTCTTAATTGCAAAAATGATGTGCTACCTACTATTATGGCATTTTCAAAAATGACAAAACAAGTAAACATATATGCAACAGAGACATAAATAAAACACTGAAGTATGAAGCAACTACACATTATGTGCAACTTAATAGAAAAGAGGACCTATTTTATGCTAACACGATACTGGGATATAAATAACATCACATGTAAATGACAAACCATGTTGACAATTTTTCCATTCACGTTTTTTCCCCTCAATATTGTAAAAGATAGCTGCAGTGCGAGTAATACCTATTTTAGTTTAAAGCACTTCTATAATATCTGCATCGGTTTTATCAACAGAACCTTAATGGTCAATTTCAAGTCTAACATTATTAATTTAGTGGTAAAAAAGTAAATAGTTTCTTAATTAAGACACAAACACATTTTCTCTACCTATGGGTCATGACATGTTGACCATACATCAAGTGGGCTTGATCATGTGAAAAACTCATCAATCTTATTTACTCATGAGCCAAGGAAAAAAAACCCCTGAAATCACGCAGTTCTTATTTAGTCTTACTAAAGTTAGTCTTGCTTTTTCCGGAATTAATCAGAGATAAAGTCATGTACTATTTTATCTAAGGTTTTGAACTCCCTAGACACTGTAAAATACCTAGTTTTAGTTAATATCAGGCTTAATTCAACAACCATGAAGTGCATCCACCTTTCACACCTGCACCATATTGTCAGCTAGGAAACTACTGTCTGTTTAATTGCCGCCTGAAATCAAGCCTTTAGTGCTCCTTGTACCTTGTATCATATCACCTCACAGCTTGGCTTTTAATAAAATGGCCTCTCTTCTTTTGTGCTTATAATTATAGTAATAAGTCTATAGTTAGTTTATAGTCTGTAGTAGTCAATAACTTTTTTTTACGGGGGGTGGGGGCTTCTAGTTTGAACCCAGATATGGCTTCACTTGTTTAGTGCTTGTAATAAGTAAATGTTATCCCTGTAATCATCAATAGACAGACTTTCTCTAGACTGACATCACCATAGATGGGTCTCTCGTATTTCACTGATAATCTGCCCTGCCTGATTGAGTGCCTGAAATGACAATGATATCTAGTTAGAAAATAATACAGTGTGGAATAATCTTACATGGTGCATCAAAGTTTAAAGGTGAACATGAAATTCTAAAAAAAAGAAAAGAATAATGTAGTTTGTTTAAGTTCCACTATAGGCAGTATTTTCCCCAATAACAGATAATTCCAAATGGATTGTTTTATTATAGTACACAGTGTTGAAACGTACACTGGGCTCTCAAACATTTGAGAAATTTTCTGAATAATAGCCATGAAATCACCCCAATTACATGTCAGTCAATATTTTACTGTTTTTACAGCATTTTAGAAGTTCTTTTTTTCATTTTTCTCTTCAGTACATAAAGAGTCATATGTCTGTGTACATTTTTGTATATTATGATTACTACTTTTATTAGTCTGAAATAAGCTTTTTAGAGTGGTTTCCCTGCTGTGCATGCCCATACATATCCACTTTTGCTAGCTACCCATATCCACTTTAAATTTGCTGGTATACATACAATGAATAAAAATAAGGTCAAACTTGAGCAAAAGGGTGGCAATATTGTGGTATATTACCACGAGAGAGATGAAGCTCATTCAAGTTAATATGGATGCATATGTTTTAGATGTGGAAAAATAGGGGCTGGTAAAAATGGGAAGTGTATTTTGTGAGGAAAGGTAGGTCAAAGGTCAAATGAAAAGTAACAGTAAGATTGCCAACATATGACTTCCTATTCAAGTTCAACAGTAACTATGGGTGTAACTCTGCCAGTTTTGGAGATATAAGGGATGGAAAAGTTGAAAAATGCAGTCATGGTGATAAGTAGATCAATGGTCAAATTCAAAGTCACATTAAGATTACCAATATATTACTTTCTATTCGAGTTCAATCATAATTTTTATGTATCTCTGCTAGATTAGGAGATATAAGGACTGGAAACTTTGCAAAGTACGGTTCATGGTGGAACGTGTCAAAGGACGCATTCAAGGTCACATAAAAATTTGCAGCAGGCCTGATATTTTGCTAAATTAAAATTGCTTCTACCCATAAACATATGCCAACATCATTTGTTTGACTATAAACATACACAGATTTAAATTTAACGTAAAAGAACATGCACTACCTTCAACATTTCTTGCGCCTCTTTCCTCCTGGCTGCGATATGCTCTGACTCCTCCAGCAGCCGGTCAATCTGTTCCTTCTTGTAGAGTTGACTAACCAGCTCACTCTGGAGATTGTCCTTTACGTTATTGACTAGGAAGTGCATTACGGACTTTGGAACGCTGTCTTGGATGTTCTTGCGAACAATGAGGAAGTAGGATTTGATAAGTCTCTCTGTAAAAGACAAAAATACATTTTCAATGTGATATTTTGTTCATAATGTCTAAGTTGAGTTCCACTATCTGCTACTACCTACAAAGTTTTTTAAAAAAGGAGAAAACTTCTATTATTCGTTAATTTGTTCAACCAGAACTTTATAAAGTGTTTAAAATATTTAGTAAGTATAAATAAGTATACATCTGGGTCCATAACCAGAAATATTCTTCATTTATTACATATATATATTTTTTTCGTCTTCCTTCCTTTACTTTTCTAGAGCATGTCAAATATTTTGAAGTACCTACCTATGACATCACAGTCTCTCTGTTCTCTTTGTGACAGTTTGCGGACAGGGGTTTGCGTTGGCTGAAATGGAGAGGCAACATTTAATATTACTGAATATTATCAAGTTATCATCCATTCTTTTTTTAATGAAAATGATTTCACATAATAAACACAAATGCATCTTCGAATGTTCTTACATTCCAATCTGTGAGTGTTTTGTGTTTTGCTATGTGTGGAGGAGGAGAGTCCCAACACTCTGTCTCAGAGTCTGTATCAGTATCAGGGCCAAAAATGACCAGGCACTTAATATGCACTAGAGAGATTCATGTGGAGTGGGGTATACAGGAACTGAACTTTACTTTAGCCATTGTAGAATAGGTGTTCATAGAAACCACAAGCGTGGATATGCCTGCACATGTCATAGATGCTAGACCTATGTCTTAGCCCAGCACGTGTGTATGTGTGTATGTGCATGTGCATGAATGCACGCCATCTCAAAGTAGCTACTTACCACCTCAGGGAGTAAGTTGACCCCCTTGCCCGGCACCCCCCTGGTGGCCGGAGACCCAGGGGCACTGCCTGTGTGCTGAGGAGAGAATTCGGGTGCCATGCTTTCCACCTTGCCACCACGAACCCAATTAGAGATTTTCCATGAACCGCCATTCACGTTTTCTGACTGTGGCCCAGACGGTAATGCCTAGAAATAGCATAATTACTTTGACAATTCTAGCTACCAATTTCTACCAGTATCTATTTGCATATATAATTATCATAATAAAATGCATGTTTCTTAACGAAATGCATGTTTCCATCTTTCTATGGAAAAAAACACAAAGAAGTAACACTAAATTTATGCAAAAAAGGAAAAAATATACTGTTAAAGTTTAAAATATTTCATAATGGTGAACATATTACAAAGCAAATTAAATTAAATGTTCACTTTAAAAAACATGAAAAGTTGATTTTAAACACACAACCATGCTTCTGGTGAGTGTGTGTGCTAAGTCTCATGACAATCCATATTTCAGCAATACAGCCAATATTGTTCAACCCCATACATTATTATTAAAGGCCATTTGTGTCCTATGTTAAATGGTATTTGTGCCCTGTGTTAAATCCTCTTTATACCCTCATAACAACAACCCACACAGCACTAATCCAAACACAAAGGCAAAGGGAGACTCTCAAACGGATTGTTTTACCAACGAACCACTTATATTCCAACACTGGATCATTAATAATAATTCCTTTAATTTATCCTATGGTTTAGAATGGGATTCAAGAGATCACTAGCTAATGCAAGGTGTGTAAAACAATCTACAACCACATCACCATTTCCTTGACATTATTTCTATTCAGCAAGCTGCATTCTAAATTACACAGACGTGAAAACTGAAGCAACCTGCCATGCATTAAGGTGGTCAAACTTTCACCCTTCCAAGCACACAGCTGTAACTATGGCTGAAATGAATAATTGAAAGGAATGCCCTTCATGATAACCAAATGGCATGAGAATAAGATTTCAATTTCAATTCATCCCACTGGATTTCTTCACTCTCAATAAATATATAAGTAAATAAATATATAAATGGATATAAAATTAATTAATTAATCCACGCCTGAATCTGCGTCTCTTTAAAAGGTTTGCAAATTTTAAAATGCCAAGGTTAAACACCATGCACCTAGCAGCAGTCAGTAACCCATGCTGTATCAAGACTTACAGCATTCAGAGAATCCACAGAGCCCCACTGTTTTGAGCTAGACAGGAGCTGAGGAGTCCCGCGTCCTAGCTCATACTTAGAGGTCTCGATCAAGGCTGATACCAGGTTTTTATGAGACAGCCTTGAAGACGAGGGGGGAGGCTGATACCTCGGTTTGCCCTATAAGAAATTTCAGTTGTTTTAATCCCTGGAGAACCGCAGAAAGATTTCTACCACAATGAGAGAATATTCTTACATAAATGGACCTACAGATATTGTCAGTTTTATTCGCTGTTTGACCTAAATTTTGAGGCGAACTTCCCTTTTCTTGTCAGTCTTTCTGAGATAAAATTGATACAGGGCCAGCTCTCTTTCAAACCTAATCCATGTTATTTGTAAGTTTCACTGACCAATATGGAATCAACTACTCTTGTGTCCACATTGAGCTGTAACAGTGGCCAAACTATTGATAAGATTTAATAAGATATCTGACAAATGAAGAAAAATTGAAAATAAATGATAAACTAAGTGAATAATAATTTACTATGATACACACTAATATGAGCTTCCTTATCCTAAACTTGTTATCTGCAATGTTTTTTATTTTTTTAACATAAGCAATTGGCCATTTTTATCATAAAATATGTATAAATTAAGTTCAATGCAGCTGTATCAACCACTAACCCAGTACCACCAAGATTACTATAAATATGTGCTCTGAAGACTAGTACAACAGGGAAATTTAACCAAATTTAAACTTAACTTTGACCACCGACTTCTTTTATATCACTCACCTGAACCCTTAAACCCCCATGCCGCTTTACAGAAGGAAAACAGAGTATAGATACAATAGTGGTCCTCCACATTAAAGGTCACATTCACAACAGCAGTCCAATAGATCTACAGATCACACATGGCTGACCAACTTAAAAGCTTACTGCCTAATCCCTGCAGGGAATCTATTAAGTGTCTATTAGGGGATTATGCAGGAAGCCTTCACATGGATCGGCCATATTTGATCCAGGGATCTTTTCTGAATGCACCCAAAGATAAAAGAATACAAAGAAAACAGTGAAGAAGAAAGGCAACAACAGCAGTTTTACAAATACGAAGAAAAAATCTTGACATATCATGACTGCTGTGAGAAATACAATTATAACAACAATTTATTTTTACAGTTTAATACCAAATGATACGAAAACAGTACTAACCCTTACGTCTCTCTCTTCCTGTACAAAGTTTCTTCCACTGGAATCTTTGGATAAATCCCCTACGTTATTTTCTACTAGGGTCCTATGCATTAAGCTTGCCTCGGCAAAGTCAGGGTGTTTGGTGTTGATGTAGGCTAATTCAATTGCGACTATATTTTCAACCTGGAAATGGAGAATATTTGGACTATAATTATATGACAATTGACACAAAGTCGTTTATTTTAATCAAAAAGGCTAACAGAATTATTTTGTATTTAGGTGGGCATGAATTCACAGGAGTCTCTGTAGCTAGTTTGCTGTGTATGTATTTATATACAAACACAATTTGGTATATATTATGATTAAGGTAAAGAAATGCCCATTAATTAAGCCATGAATAAAATAGAAAGAGTCCCCTGGTCTATAATAACCTTAACATATAAAAGTATTTTAGAGGCCTAATGGTTGAGTTTTACATTATGTAAGTGTTATAAAATATCGAAGGACATATATGGGGGGAAAATATACATTTTGTTGGTTTACAATTAGATTGTTAAAATAGTAAACATACTGTGGTGGTGGTGGTGGGGTGGGGGGGGGGGGGGGGGCACTCTTAGGGAGCTTTCACAACCAACTGATCTGTGGTCTAACTAGTTAGTCCCTGGATCAACCAGTTGTGAACTCTCCCTTAAGAATGAACTGACAAAATGGTAGCCTTACAACTTCATTTGGCAAACAGCTTGTTGAATATGTAACCCACCATTTCATTAGTCAAATGGCTTACTCATTATATAACCTACCATTTCATTGGTCACAGGTAACCTCTTCCTCAGTAAACTTGTCATAACATCGACTATCTTCTCGTTAAGTTTTGGGAAGCGCATCATTTCCTGCTGAAAACGAGAGAAAAAGGGTTTTTTCAATATACTTCTTTTTTTTTCAGAGAGAAGGCAAAGCTCTCATGTCTTGAATATAGGAGGTATAGTATAACAAGCTATTGGGTTTGGTTTTATGCAAAACATTTAACCATAAAAAATCAAAATACCTTAAAACACTCTTTATTTGCAATAAATAAATAAAATTAAAAATCTAAGTTTACCTTAAAGATTTGTTAATGAGTTGTATAAAATGAACATGGTTAATTGCTACTAACATGACAACATGGTTAAAGCTGTCAAACATAAAAAAATTTTTTTTAAAACAAACTCCAAAATATGACGGACTGATTGATTTTCTGCAAACGAAAATGTAAAGACATGCATGTTATCGTTAAGCATTTTAGTTATGGTCATTTAATCTAAAAAAAGTTTCATCAATGGTTTTCAAAGCCTCCTATATATTCGATAATACATCCTAAAGTCTGCATTTTAGCACAATATCTGAACCCTATGGCAGTTGTTTTTTATCATTTTTGTATAGAGCAACCCCTGTGCAAAGTTACCAATGTCAACGTTCTCAAAACACAAATTAACAATTAAACAACACTTGAACAAGGAATTTTATGGTTCAAATGTGTACAGTTTTTAGTATGTTAAGTATTCTATGCTACTTCTCATGCACAAAGTGGACAAAAATAGATAAATAAATAAATAAATAAAATCAAGTTCAAATCCATCAACTGTACAGTAAACAGTTTCGGCTTACTTCCAGTGAGACTGCATGTAATACTCTGGCTGCAGTGCCATTTCCCTACAGAAATGGGAAATTCTTAAAGAAGATGGCACAAGAGCTCCAAAGAAATAACAAAATGAATTGTAGTTAAGATGCACAACTACTCCATAATGGCTTGGATCCAAAACATGTAACAGTGATAAAGTTTCTTTTATTTCTCAAAACAAACATGTTTTCTATCATTTGTCGGTGATGTCTATGAGGCCACTCAGAATGGGTTAGGTTGCAATAATTGGTACGCACTCACTCCATGGCGACTTTAACAAATTGCAATTAGATTAACAGACTACCACTCCTTGTTGAGTAGAAGACAGAGACACTGGTGCTTACATGAATATGTAGGGAAAAAGAGGTGTGTTAATCTGTTTATTTGATTGCATTCAGCAAGAGTCCCTATGGAGTATTGCAACTTAGCTCCTTCTGAATGACTCCTACAATTTGAAGAAGATGGTGATTTAAAAAATTGAGAATGCTGCTGACTTACTGTTTGTCCGCCATAACTTGGAATCTGCAAAGAAAAGGGTTTGCATGGAGAATAAAAACACACAACAGAAACCGTATTGAACACATTAAATCAATGTTATCAAGCACTGCATGGGATGTGTGTAAGCTTTGCTGATTATTCAAATAAACTTTTGAAGTTAGTGGCAAAAGCAACCCTCTAACAAGGTATTACTAACACAGAGAAGGTGAATCACTAGCATGACACAGCTGCATTCACATACTAACAAGNCCGGCGGAGCCGGCGGAACGATCCGGACGAGACCGAAACCATGTGTACCGCCAGCGCTAACGCTGGTGGTACAATAAATAAATAAAATCAAGTTCAAATCCATCAACTGTACAGTAAACAGTTCCGGCTTACTTCTAGTGAGACTGCATGTAATACTCTGGCTGCAGTGCCATTTCCCTACAGAAATGGGAAATTCTTAAAGAAGATGGCACAAGAGCTCAAAAGAAATAACAAAATGAATTGTACTTAAGATGCACAACTACTCCATAATGGCTTGGATCCAAAACGTAACAGTGACAAGTTTCTTTTATTTCTCAAAACAAACAAGTTTTCTATCATTTGTCGGTGATGTCTACGAGGCCTATCAGAATGGGTTAGGTTGCAATAATTAGTATGCACTAACTCAATGGTGAGTTTTGCGAATTGCAATCAGATTAACAACTCTTGTTGAGTAGAATACAGAGACACTGGTGCTTACATGAGTGTGTTAATCTGATTGCATTCAGCAAGAGTCCCTATGGAGTATTGCAACTTAGCTCCTTCTAAATGGCCTCTAAAATTTGAAGAAGACGGTGATTTAGAAAATTTAGAATGCTGCTGACTTACTGTTTGTCCGCCATAACTTGGAATCTGCAAAGAAAAGGTTTGCATGGAGAATAAAAACACACAACAGAAACCGTATTGAACACATTAAATCAATGTCATCAAGCACTGCATGGTACANATGTTATCAAGCACTGCATGGGATGTGTGTAAGCTTTGCTGATTATTCAAATAAACTTTTGAAGTTAGTGGCAAAAGCAACCCTCTAACAAGGTATTACTAACACAGAGAAGGTGAATCACTAGCATGACACAGCTGCATTCACATACTAACAAGACTTGAACAACAAAATTTGGTCAATTGAATTTAGCAAAGGAATAAATGTGCAGTAGTCCATTTAGATAAGGTATGTATTGGTCAGAAACATTAGCCACGCCTTTCTTGCTTTAAAACTTGTGCAATGTTTCACTCAACTGGACTGCAGCTGATTAGCTTGGATAAAATTATAGCGAACTAGAATTTTAGTCTAAAAATGTTGACCAATTTCAAGGATAAACCAAAGGTTGTCTGTGAAATAAAAATGAAAAAACTGAACAGCTGTGTGAGCACCAAATACTATATCCTCCAGTACCTGTGTTCCACAGTGCTGTATGATCCTCTGGAGTTCTTCATGGACCAGTTCAACACAGCGGAGACTGGGCTCCAACAGACGCCTGATCTGTCTCTTCACCAGCAGCTCAAAGGACACCTCGGGGACAAACAACGCTGGCCGTGTGCCCTGGAGTGACAGGAGAATAAGGGTGATATTGTGGTCTCAATGTGGGGATATGAGTGAAAGAATTACTGCCCACTTAACTGATCTCTCTCTATATAAGTGTGTGTGTGTGTGTGTGTGTGTGTGTGTGTGTGTGTGAGAGAGAGAGAGAGAGAGAGAGAGAGATCAGAATCAGATAGCTACAGAATCTGTCCAGTAAGACTGCATATTTCATACATATTATATACCACATGCATAGAAATGGTACTAGCATATACTTCTTCTAAGGGACCAATAAGAACAGGGGACTAATTATTCGGAGGGTCAAATATGGCTGACCCATTTGAATACTTCCCCACAGGAGATCTATTCAGTGTCTATTAGCGGATTAGACAGCAAGCTTTGTAGTGGGTTGCCATATTTGACCCGCAGACTAGTTAGTCCCCTATTCTGAATGGGGCCTAATACACTCAGAATTACTACAATAAGGCAACCACTACAGCACAGCACACAATATCCTTACAGTGGCATTCCTGATGGCTGTAAGTATATCAAGCTGGGTCAAGCCTCCCAGTGGATCTATGGAGTTGAGAGTTTTGCCAAACGTCTCATGGAAAATGTAACATATCCTGGCACCACCACAACTACAAAAGAAAAGAGAGAAATGAATCAAGCAAGATGATGAAAATGTGTATACACTTTTGAGTTCCACCTCAATTTAATCAGTATAGATAGATAGATAGATAGATAGATAGATAGATAGATAGATTGTTGTATAATATGAGAAAAATTCTGTTCACATCTTATAAGGATAAAGTTTTTTTTTTCTTAAATCAATAGTTAAATACATAACACCGTTGATGAAATTCTTCTCTGTTAACATCTTGACTTTATACTCACAGCTCTGTGGTCTGTATGTCCCTGGCTGTGCCCTCTATAGTACTGCAGTAACTGGAGGCAAACTTGGTGATGATTTGGAGCAGAAGTGCACTCTGGAATTCAGAAGAACAGTAATTTCAGGCACAAGTTTGAGCAATGGAAATAATCCCTAAAGAGAAAAGTTACTACCCACAGAATGATAATACAGTATCACTAAAGCACTTAGTCTGCTAAAATGTGAATAACATGGAATAACATCTTATTGGTAAAATATAAATACTGGTGAAAAAACAATTTAATTCATTCAATCATAATTTTGACAAACTTTTATAATGCTGTAGCTTTTATAATGAACACTATTTCATTCTATAGCAGAGAAAAATTTATTGAGTAAGTGACTGGCATATTTGAACATCTATTTAATGAGTTTTTGCATATTTTCAAAAAATTGTAGTGGTTAATCTCTGAAGAAGAAGGTTGACTTACCTTGTCTTCCACCACTTCACCATAAGAATTTAGTAAAGACTGGAATTGGGCAGCTAATATATTCACTCTGGTCTTCAAATCTGGCAAGCAGTCTCTGATATGATGCATGAGTAACTGAAATAATGTGATCATTATTAATACAAAAATTCACTTATTACATAGTTTAATAAATCTCACTTGTTACTTTTTTTAAATATCCTTCTAAAAAATGTTTTATCACATCAGAAGCTTTTAAAAGTAATGGGGGGGGGGGTCCTTAACATACCACCAAATCCTATTTACTTGCCTACTAAAATAAAGTTCACACCCAGCAATTGATATTTCATAGACAGAGAATGAAGAGTTTACCTCACTTCCAGTATAAAACAAACTTGTTCTTGAACACCATTGGGGTCATACTCACCCTATTAAGTGTTTTAGCTAGATAAGGTGTCATACTCACCCTATTAAGTGTTTTAGCTAGATAAGGTGTTCCATTTCTATTGGCTATAGAGGGGTATTTCTTCTGTAAAAATGCTGCTTCTGCTTTCATAGATTCATTTATGTCCTAGGGAAGTAAAAATAATAATAAAAAATTTTAACTTGATAAGCATTTGAAAGTTAATTTATCCATATAATCATATGCAGAGAAAAAGCATGATGGGAGGAAGAAAACTGAAGAACTTTCTTTGAAGTTAGAACTTAACCATATGGACGAAAATAAACTGTAATGTTTCTCCACCTTGGACTAATAGTCTGTTTTGTTTGTAATTAAATATGACTGTTTTGTTTGTAATTAAATTTATCTTTAAAGAATTGACATAATATCTGATTTACAAAGAATGTCTTTTATTTCTTTTCACTTTCAAAAACACCAGGATAGACGACTCCTCAGTCTTCAATACAATACAGAGGTAATAAATCAAACCCCACCCTGGTCTTAAAGCAATATATTATCACCTTCTCTTCGTGTATGTCCTGTTGGCTTCTGTTGACCACTCCAATGATGCCCAGTTTCACAGGGATGACCCGTCCAGCCAGGACATCCATGGCATCTGTGCCGGCATCCATCAGGTCAAGCTTGGTGACCACAGCCAGAGTTCTGCGACCTGAAGGTGAATATGCATTCATATCAGTAACACACACAGTTTTTTTTTAAGTGGAATAAAGCACTGACACTGTGTTGAATATATACCACCAAGTGTAATTTATATTTTAAATATTTAAACTTCTATCACATATGCAAAATTTGAACATACACTACAGCAATACAGAGAACAAAGTTCAATATCAGATAACTGTCAATGAACAGCACAGTATTTTCTTGGTCATAGAAGAGCCCTTGGCCCCGTATCTTGACAGCATCGCGCATTGCGACCGTGCGCAAGCATCTCGATTCCATAACTCGCCCATACTCGCCTCATATAATACTTTGTAGCCTCTATGTGATATCGCTATTCGCAATATGCGATGCTTTCAAGATATGGGGCCCTTGTCTTCCCCATTTGTCATACTTGCAAAGGCACTCCCAATCCAAGACTATTTGGCTAAAATGAGGCACCCTAATGTAGCAGCTATGTCCTGACTGCCCATTCAGTGACATTTCTATTTTCATACTTCATTTTCCACTCATAAATTTATTTGACAGTTTCACCCACTTACCATCAGGATCTACCTCTTTGGCTAATTTTAAGGACTCTGATGTGGCCATATCTGTATTGGCGGCTGTCACAGAGAGGATAATGGCGTTGGGGTTGCTGATATACTGGAGGCACATGTCACGGATCTGGGTCTCGATGTCCACTGGCTGGTCCCCCACGGGCACCTTGGTCATCCCAGGCAGGTCAACCAAGGTCAAGCTGACCACTTTTGGGGAGAAGATCTTCAGGTTGATTGGGTCGTAGCAGATGCCCTGGAAGGATTGAGAAAATGTCAATCTGTGTTTTTTTTCCTTTTTTAATTCTTCTTCTTATTTTTTATTTTTTCAAACATAACTTAAATTTAATAATTTTTCAAAAGAAGGATGATAAACTACTACTTGACTAAGTATAAATTACCACTTTCATAAGACTCAGCAGAAGTTGAACACTTTGAACATTCATATTAGGCAGTGTGCATACTTTTCCACTCATACCTTCAGAAAAAAATTGTTTATAGTATTTGAGGTAAATAAAAATTTGAATTAAAACTAACTAAGTTTTGCAAGGACTACTTATCCTGTATCGATAAAAGGCAGTATTACCTTATTTGTGCCAGACATCCTATCCGTCTCATTTTGAATTTCAGCTTTTATCTCAGCAAAATCTGTGTAAATCTTGCTTTTTGTATGTAGAAACTGTCCCCACTCCTCTGCATCTATCCTCTCTGCAACAAAAGAGAAAACTTAGTAAAACCTGGTAGCTGAAGTATCATGGGAGCACATTATCAGCATTGTTAAGTTCATTCTAAAATAAATTAGTCATAACATTTTTGCACAGTGCCTTTATATTTTGTGGTGACTTTGAATATAAAGGGACAATCACTTTAAAACCATGTAAAACAGAATATTCCTTTGTGTGCATACAAGTTAGATGTGTTTTGTGTCCATAAACCTATTTCAAGTCTTAATTAATAAATAAAGTAAAAGAATATATTGTTTTGCTATAGTCATTGTAAAAAATGTAACAAAATAAATAAATAATTCTCTCAAATAAATATGTAAAAACATAAGAAAAAATGCAGCATTTGTTTTTACTTCAAGAAAAACTACCATTTTTCTTCATTTCATTATGGAAGTACTAATATATAGTATTGATTTCTCTCATATAATTATTGAATATTTTCTATGTGGTTGAACACTTCTATATACAGGTAATGCTGCAGGCATTCTTTCAACCCTATAATCTTCCACATCTACACAGCAAGCTACTTTCATTATGTAACAGTGAGAATTAGAGCTCAAGCATGCGTGAAGATTTTGCCAGTGACAATATCAAATATATGGGGCCAAAACAACATAAATAGGACTTATACATCTACTTGTTTTAAGAAAAGAAACAACTTCAAACAAACCAAAACTGATTAATTGGCAATAAACAGTTTAAAACAAAAGCATGAATAATCAAATAAATGAATTATTTGATATAAGCATATGGGGATCTTTTAATAATGTATGCTGGTGTTAGCCTAGAATATAGCCATTAAGCCATAAATCTTAGGAACTTTTATAAATAAGTAATTTGGCTTTCACCATCTCTTCCATTAAAGACAAAAAAGTTATCCCTGCTTTGCCATTTAAAGTGATTAACACACATATTTACAAAGGCATCTTAAGAAGATTTTACTTGATATGCTAAGACAACAAAATAAAGACTTCTGTGCTAATATGCCACATTTAGTACATTCAAACATTTTACAGAAGTTTTTATTCAAACAGAAATAGGGGGCAAGGTCCACACTTGGGTTCTTTTCTTAGGAGATAAAATAATATTCTAACAAATATATTTTAACATGCTATATATCTTTCAAAAGTGTGACTGGAAAAAATTAAAGGCTTAAAAGGAAAACACAATTAGCTATTAAAACAATTAATATCAATAAATTTTGAACTTAATACTTTACTCACTTCTCTCTTTTTGTTTTGCTGTAAAATGACAAATTATCCAAATGCATTATACAATACAAACTTACAATTTACACAAGGCATTCCATGGGGGATTGAAATGTTGGATAGTTTATGAAGGCACAATATTACAAAGCTGATGAAAAAAGAAGGGCGTGTCATCTGTTATTTAGACTGTGACAAGCAGCTGGACAGAGGTGTGGTATTCTAAGGTAATGGTGTGACATAATATAAGCTGAGTGACACATTGACAAAATAAGGCAATACTGTGCCATTTAAAGGTGGCCCTGTGTCACAAACTTTGTTGTTTCCATCTTTTTTTCCAGTGTCAACACTAACAGAATTACTCTCATAAATGAAGTAATGGCAAAAGTTAAGATCTTTTTTTTATACACAGACTTTTTTGTCTCGACATAAAATTTTTTTGTGCCCTTCGAAGTCAAGCATTGAAAGGTGAAACATATAAATGCATCTTTAAAGAAAGAATAAACCCTATACAGTTTTAATTCAAATTTTGTAACATGAAACATTGCTTACAGGGTTAACAGTCTGTAACACTGCTCAACAAGGGCATTTCTTACTGAAAAAGAGAAAGCTGCTAGAATTTCCCAAGAAAAGAGATCTATCTCCAAAGAGATTCTTGCTAAATTGCAAACAACTATAGCAGCTTAGATGTCTGTCATGCCTATTGAAGCTGCTAGGGGCTGGGGTAATTAATTATCCTTTAGTAACTTCAGTATACAGGCCAGTCATCTTAGTCACTTAAACTAAAAGCAATTCAGTGGAAAAAAAACCTTGGAGATAGATCGATCCTATTAGATTAGTCTAGGTATGGGAACCCAGTCTAAACGTCCAACTGCCATTGCATGCCTTCATTAGTTAAGACTTTATATATATATTTAATTCTGTTCCTGCTATAACTTACTTCCATCCTGATACCTGTCCTCATGGTTGTCCTTGGACAGGTGGACCAGCTGGAGGACCAGGGGTCTCCTGGTCACTATCCCTGTACCTCTGGGTAGGAAGTCACGCCCTACCAGACTCTCCAGCACAGAGCTTTTACCTGAACTCTGAAAAAAGACAGCAAAAATGGCATTATATATATCAACCTGAACCACATTCTCCAGCTGACAACCACTCTGAAAGAATGAAATCCATACATGGCACTGCCGCACTGTGTATGACAATACAGCAGACTGTCTTGTAATGATATCTGGTTATGAAAAATATGCATTAAATCAGTTTTTACCAAAGCAGATATACAATTGTATGAAGGGGAGGGTGGGGGAGTGAGGGACGGAAAGGGAAGTTGCATCTTTAAAGAAAGTCACACCCTTTGAATAACTTCAAGCCATTTTTGATCCATTATACATATATGTCAGTTTTAAGAGGGGGGATATTCAACCAAGTGGGGGCAAGACAATGAGAAAGTTCATGAAAAATAAATGAATGTCTGATGATTGTAACACAAAGCTGACTTTTATCATGACTTGTACATTCCCTTTCTGACGTGTCATAGCATAAATAATCACCTGCAACAAAGCTTACGTAGTTACTGTACACACCAAAACAATGATCACACCTGCAACAAAATTTCGTCAGGGAGGGGATTTTTGTTCCAAATCGAAAGCCAAAAAATCAAACTGCAAAAATTGCACAAATTCGGGAAATTGGCAACATTTTAATTCGCCAAATAAGTTCAACTTGTTTTCAATTTTCTATTATTTTGTTTTTAAAAGCTACTAAGATATTTTATTTGTAGAATCATGACACTGACACCCATAATTTCATCACGAGCTCTTTCGCCTTTAATCATGTTCGTTGACATTTGACGGCAGAACGCCACCAAAATCGCCCTACCTGCGAGCCGACAACTACAATCTGCGGCAAGTGGATGGTTTCTTGTCCCACTGTATTAAATACATCTTGGAGTTTGTTTATAACAGGAATCAAGGACTCCATATCCTTGAACGGTTCTTTTCTTTCGGACCTATCAACTCTTCTGCTTAGAAAAATGGCCGTTCTCACAAAACGGAAGTTTTGAAATGACCTTGAAGGGGGTTTCACTTCCGGATTATGCCAATAGGTGCTCAAGAAATGATGACGTACAGCACATTCGCTTAATACAGATTCGAGAAGCAAGTTGCAGGCGTTAGTATGTGATAATGAATTCACAATCCAGTTAGATAAAATATACCACCCACAACTCTACGATGACAGACAGCGATTCGGGGGCACTCTCTGTGAGTATCTATATTGGTTTTTGTCAATGGTTATTCAAAATATTGTTGAAAACTGATGGTTCGTTTTGCAGTATTGACATGATGAAAACATTGAAATGCGTGCTTTTGCTTCAGATTTAACTGTCAGAGGGTTGTATGTCTTAATAACTGGTTTTGGGACAGTTTTTCGTCTTTTTATCGTAGGTTAAACATGGGCTTCTTTATTTATTCAAGAATAGTTTGGCAAAATACCATTATTTTAAGTTCGTTAAGACGTAAATTGTGTCTTTATTTTTTTAAAACAAAGTTCAGTTTAGAAATCTTGAATTGGAACTCATGGAAGCTCAGAATGACTTTTGTATTAATTTTTAGAATAATTTCATTATTTTTCAAATGTCAAGCTTTTCAGGAAAAATTGTGCATTTGGCCACCTTTAAATAGATAAATATAAAACACATTCCATGAAAAATCAATATAGGTTTTTGATCACTTGTTTCATTTTTAAACTGTCATTAATGAAATTAATAGGAATGTTAGTGCAAAAGTACTTGTATACTACAACATCAACAGCAACTTCAGGATTAAAAACACCTTAAATTCACCAAAATTCACCAAAATTTTGATCAGTAATAATGTAACCATGATTTTGCATCTCTCATTATATTGTTATGATGATAATATTTAGAAAAATAAAAATAAAAACAAATATTTTGCTTGCCTGGTTCCAAGGCATATATGTGTGTGTGTGTGTGTGTGTTTTTTCCTTTTTTTTATCCCAGATCTGAAATAGTGATCAATTCTCTTGAGTCATTGTTGAAGTTGACATTAAAAAGCCAATCAAGAGAAAATTGTGATTCAGTTGACAAGCTGGAGTAGGATGGATGCACTGTTGACCGCATCAGAATACAATCTTCGTTCTTAATTACTGTCAGTCCACATGCTTTGATGTCTGTTGATGTGGGTATAGGATTGAACAAGTTCTAATTGACATAGTAATGTGGGTATAGATATGATCAAGTTCTAACTGGAAAATAACAAGCAATTGGCAATTGGCAATGTAGGTGGTTTCACTGGTTTGTAGGTGGAATGCATTATTAGAGATGATTAAGAGTTTGATAATCATATGATGTATGAATATATTAAGTGTTTGTCCTCAGTGTGTTTGAATTAATTGCAACCTAGTGGTGGAAGCAATTAATAAACTTGAAGATAAATTTTTAGAGGCATTTTAATATGTACATGTAGTTTGCTTGATCTGGAAAGAATGGAAACAAATATACCAAACGAAATACAAATATTACTTGACTGAGGGGCCTCTGATATTTAAAAAATTAAAAGATAATTTTGGACCAGAAATAGGCAAAGGTGGAATACATGGCCAGCCAGGTGACCTTTGTATATGTGTGTGTATGATGAGAGAGAGAGAGAGAAAAAGCTGGCATCCGTGGTTGACTGGGTAATGCTTTTGTTCAGGGTGGGGAACTCTCTTATTAAAGTATTTACAACAAAAATGTAATATTTTAAGATTAAAAAAAAAAACATTCAAAACACACTTGCAAATATATACATAACATACAATTGTGTTCTGTAGTCATTTGTCCCTTTTTTATGGATGGATTCCAGCTCAGTTAAAAACAACTTACATAACACATGGTGTATATCTACAGAAAAATATCTTTACTCCAGTAAACATGTCACAAAAATTGTTTGCTGTAATGAAAAGAAGGATTGTTCAAATCAAGTGGAGGCTTTTCTATGAAGGCAATTAAGGTAAAATCTGGAACCTTTATTCCCTCTCAAAAGTTTGACAGACCACCCAGCTCCATCCGTAGAAAAAAAAAGCGATGAGAAACATCAGTTTTCAGATCGGCATTTTTTTTAAACAATTGACAAGAAGGGAAATTCAACAGCATGTTTTCCACTTCCTATATCAAAGACAGTTAAATGTTCTCATTGCAGGGGGTTTTTTTTGGAGGGGGGGTTAATAATAAGTTATCTAAATATAATTTAATTAATTTTAATGGAAAACTTGTTTTAGCATAGTAAGGTTAAATGATAGTTGCATTAGTATTACATCACAAAAATGTATGTTTGTAACAAATTGAAATGCCAAGAGACTATTTTTGCTTTGATAAATCTCTTATGCCAGCGAGCATGTGTCACTTGTGATAAATGAGTAGAGTTGTGGAGTAAGAGATCCAAATTTAATGACCACCATCTGTGCATTACGTTTCCTTATTACCTTTTAGTGGAGAATTTTTGAAATGTTTTGGGTCAAGTTACTCCATTTTGCCAGTGGATTTATTGCCAGTTCTGCATATTTAAACGCATTCTACCTGCAATATTTGAAATTCTTTGCTTGCTTGTGGATTAAAAAATTTGTTGGTTTTTGGACTCGGAAATTCAGGGTTGTTGTGTATGCTGTTGTTTTTGTGAGTCTGGACTTGCTCAGGATTTTGTTTTCTTTTAAGTTGCCCCGATAAAACAAAGAGTTTCTGCTACATGATCAACACAAACTTCTGATGTGCTAAAGTGATTTAATTCTAAGGACTACATATTTGGCTTAAATTCTTGATGCTAAGTTAAGTTATCATGTTACTGAGTATTTAAGCACCATGTTTTAATGCTTGTTTTTCTGTAAAACATATTCATGCACCAAGTGTTATTTATCGGTAAAAGTTCCATTTATTCAAGAGGTGTCATACGACAACTTCTCTGGCCTCCTGTGTCTGAGTGTTCTAATGTTGCTGAATTTTTGGAAAATGGCTATTTATACATGTATGCCGTACATGTTAAGGGCACATCGTTATTGAACCCCAGTTATGTAAGTTACTTAAATCTAAATTTCAAGGTCATTGTAGTATATTCATATTGTATGAGCACTGGAACACACACTGACACACACACACACACACACACAACATATACGAAAAGAGAGAGAGAAAGAATGAGAGAGAGAGAGAGACATAATAAAATATTTCCTAAGATTACCATTTGAAAATTGCTAATTGCTTTGACTACTTTTTTTATCTAAATGAAGTGTTGATTATGGCTTGGTTGGCTCACGAAAGTTAACCCAGTTAATTTTGAAGTGAACTATTTTAAGCTTATCCTTTTTTGATTGAAGGTTAATGATTGCGTTAGGAATGCTATCAACTTTAAATGGTGTTTTTATGTAAGTCACTAACAAATGGTAATAGGGTTGTCGCTTTTAATTGTCTACATTTATCATCTAATAAATGGAATGAAACATTTTCCGTGAAAAGAAAAAAAAATGAAATTCCTTTTAAAATAATTTAGGTTTTTATGGCAGTGTTTTTCTTAACATTTGAAATATTCTACATTCAAAGTAAAATGCGAGGTAATTCACTTACATGCTATGTTTGTTTATACTATTATTTAATTGAGACATTAAAATAAGATTTTTTTTAGTTTTAGCTTTGTGTATGTAGTTACAGCAGCTTGCATTAGTGTTTTCAAAAGCTGCAAGAATTTACCCCTAGTTGTTGATCATATTACACTTGAAAAGTCAACTGTTATTTGGCTAATTGGTCCCAGAAGTGAACTAAAATGGCTTCTAACAAATATTTCGACCAAAGCACTGAGGATTTTTTTTTTCATGGCCAAGAGTATGGCTTTTTTATAAACAAACAAATGACCCCCTCAGTTAGATATTAGGGAGAATGTTGAATAACAAATGTTTGATTGTCAAAAGATATCATATGTTAAGGTCCTTTTAATTACCTCCTTCCCACCCTTTTTTAAGAGAGAGAGAGAGAGAGAGAGAGAGAGAGAGAGAGAAACAGCTGTATCTTTTGTGCTTAAAATTCTGTTTGATCCACAGTTCTAAAAACTTTCACCAGACTATAGCAATTTACTTGCAGATGAATCATGGGCTATCCTAGTAAAAAGAAATATATGATAATAAGATAAAAGAAAAAATAATTTTTCAAAAAGGATTTTGAGAATAATATTGCTCATTTTTGTATTTATTTTAATGAATAATTAAAATACAAATGAAAATGATATTTAAAATTGAAGACAAAAAGAATGTCTGCAGTAACATACTGCAGTATGGTTTTGAAAAGTTGATCACTCTAAAGATATCAATTGCATTGGCAATTTTTTTCTCAGATATTTCCTCTGCATAAAAAGGCTTTGCCTGAACACCAAATGAAAACTTAAACTGAGTTAAAAATCAGTACAGGAAAAACATTTATATCTCTTTACTAGCCATGAAATTAGATTAGAAAAAGCCAGTTTAAAATCATGTTTAAATTTAAGACAATCTATTGTAACCCCCTCTGGCCAGTATAGTAAGATTGAGCACTATAACTGAAACAGGAGCAGTGAAGGCTCCAGGCTGCCAACTTGACTGAGATTATGGTAATAGCTCAATATTTTTGGACAACAAGAATTAATGAGTTCTTTCCTCCTTTCTTTGAATTTTGACAGTAATACTTGATAATGCTGACTAGAAAGTTAGAAAAGTTGGTTGTCAACATTGATGTGAGTGTCTGAAAATGGCAGATTTTGAAAAAAAAAGTATAATTATGAGGTATTTGAAAATGTTAAGTTATTACCGTTGGTTGTCAACATTGATGTGAGTGTCTGAAAATGGCAGATTTTGAAAAAAAAAAAATTATGAGGTATTTGAAAATGTTAAATTATTACCGTAACTAAACTTGCACTGTTAGGTCTGAGAAGAGCGGATGTTCTGAATAACAACAACTTCATAATGAAAACATGACTTACTGTATGACATGGTGTAAGATGAGTGTCCTTAGCACTTAAACGTCTAAGTCTTGTCTGACATCTTCATCTCTGGAGAATAACATGATGGGGACGTATTGAAAATGATGGAAAATGTAGCGGTTGGTGAGGATAGTGGGATGTATTCAACTTCATCTTTGGCAGAGACCACATAATGGAGACATTCCAAGAACTGTTTCAATTCCAGGATTCTGATGAACACTTACTGTTCATTTCTACTAGGATCACACAGTCACTTTATTGATCAATATTACTCATGCTGAACTGGGAATATACATTGATTAGGATCTTTACAGAGTTAACTTTTGTTTGAGAACATTTCTACAAAATTTCTTAAAAACAGGTAAATGCAATTGCAAGTGTAACAACTCTGGTTCAGCAAAAGTAAGTCATTGAAGCATTTCGTTCATTTTTTAATGCTGGAGTGAGCTTAGATGAGTATCTTGTAGGAAGTGATAGTCTGGTTATTTTAGTGACAGTATCATATTATGAGTCCGTGGGAGAGTGTTTAAATTCACATAAAACTCACGTAACCACCAGTAAGTATGCTGATAGGTCAGAGTAACAAGAGGAAAGAGCCAGGTGGCAAAACTCCATTTTGTTCTCTGGAAAGCTGGTACGCAGGTATTGGTTTTCTTTTGTTGAGTGTTGTACATCTAAATGTCAGATGCCAGTAGGAAAAGACCCTTTACTAAGGTCTTTATTGTTCATTTTCTCTTTTCCCACCTTATTTTTGTATGTGTGTGGCAGTATTATAAGCACACTTATGTATGATGTCAAGAAACAACATAATATTATTTTGTCTTGGTGGCAAATGAGTACTGTAAATAGCAATAGTCAAAGTCTGGTATTCATTATTTTAGTACTGTAGTATATAAGCTGTGTAAGTTCCTGAAGTATCTCTATGTAAATATGCTTTAATTATTTTTTGTTTATTTTCATTATTTATTTATTTATTTATTTATTTATTTATTTTGAATTTTTATTTTAAATTTAATTTTGTGTTGGGTGTCCATACTTAGACAATTTTAAGATAAATATTTGGGTCAATATAAGGGGAATTTTGTTGCTAAGTGGTCTCAAAATTTACAAATACATCAATTTGAAAGTAAGTTTATAACAGTTAAAGTCTATCATCAACAACAGAAAAATTTGAACAGTCAATTGAAGATTTTTATGGCGATGATAATACATATGATAGAATATATTCTAAGCACTCAGTTCTAAAATTCAGTAGCTGGTAACTAACTGGCTTATGGAAGTCAGAGTCAAGCTGTATAGAAAGTGGGACTGAACCCACCTCTGTATATTTAGTACCAGTATGCCATGATAAAGTACATTAAGCTGTGCCCTTTATACAGAATTGCTATTTAAAGAGAAATTACATGTCGCAATAAAATCAGATCATCGTATAATGAATTTGTCGCAGATGGAGGTATTTTAATATTAGGCTGATATATATATATATATATATATATATATATATATATATATATATATATATATATATATATATATATATATTTCAGTAGCTGTTTGGGCAAACAGTTTTTTATATTGATTACATAAAAAAGATTCTCTGTAGACAATATGAGAAAATTTACATAACATTTAGGGCCATGTGGTAATCTGTATTTTCATGCTATGTCTCCTATGTGTTAGCTCTGAATTCAATGCTATTTTTTTCCCCCTGAACTTTTGTGACAAAAGTCGGGATCATTTGGATCCAAGTGTTTTAAAGACTTTAATAGCAAATTAAAGTAATTATAAATCTAATTATCTTCCAGCAAGAGGAGATTGCCCACCAGTTTGTTCTTCCTGAACGACAGGCCAAGGTCAACCAGCTGCTACGAGGGATGGAAGAACCAAAAGAGGGAGGAAAAGAATTTCAAGCACCGGCACCTAGATCCCCATCAGCTGTGCCCCGATCTCCCTCTTCCTCTGGTGCGGCTACTAAAGTGCCCTCTAGTGGAGGGTTTGTGCGATCAACTGTGATGGGCAGGGGCGATGAGGAGCGTTACTGTATCTGTAGATCAACAGATTGCAGCTCTTTTATGATGTAAGAATAATGAAACTTATGTTTTTTAAAGAAATCGTGGGCATTTGCTAGAAAGATATTTGGTCAACAGTGACTTTAAGTAAATTTGGCTGAACTAGATGGACCTTCTAAGGCTGTATTTCCAGAGCTTTTAGATCGATCTATCTCCACTGGGAGTCTCACTAGATTACTGCCAGATAATCCTGCTTAAATGTCCATCCCGCCTACTACAAGCTGTAAGGGGGTAATTAACTTTCGTGCCCGCTCGTCTGACAGCTATTTAGCGTGAACCCCCAGGGAGTTAGGTCGATCTAAAGTAGATCAATCTAATCTCTGGAAATGGGGTCTAACACCCCATTTCCATAGATTTTTAGATCGATCTATCCCTGTGGGGAGTCTCACTAGCTAACTGTCAGCTTGGCCGGCTTAAGCGTCTGTCCCGCCTACTAAAAGCTGTAAGGGGGTAATTAACTATGGTGCCTTCTCGGCTGACTGCAATTTAGCGTGAACCCCCAGGGAGTTAGCTCGATCTAAATCTTAATCTTTAGATCGATCTAAATCTCTGGGAAAGCACCCTAAGTCTCTTTTGATATGTTTTTCTACAAGTCTGTACAACTGATAGTTTGAATAAACCATAATTTTTTCATTATTTGTTTTTGAACCAGCTGGTGATGATAAGGACTTTTTTATGTAACTGACAAGGAGTAATCAGACTCTGTGTTTTTTGATTTATAATTTCAGTGGCTGCGATGCATGCAATGAATGGTACCATGGCAAGTGTATAGATGTCACTCAAGATGACGCCAAATCCATCAAGCATTATTTCTGCAAAAACTGTAGAGGTAAGTTCTGAATTCTCTCAGAGACAATGTGCACACAATTTATTTATATATTTATTTACACTGCTTTACAGCTGTTAGACATGTTTAACTTTAACTTTTCAGTTCATGGGTAACTGATGAACTTTGTTCTGTGCTTTAAAAAATTTTTAAGGTAACTATAATAGAGTTCTAAGTTGTTACCACTCCAATGTTGTCTGAAGAGGCTAGTATTGTGCTTTTTAGTGCATATCACTGATGAAGAAATAAATTGCTTGATTTTTTTTTTTTAATTTAGAAAAAAATTTTTAAGGACCAAGTGTAAAGTTTTGCAGTGACTGTAAATAAACAGACGTCATTACAAACCTTTTTTTTTTAAAAGTTGAATTGATTGTGTGTTTCCAGAACAGGACCCGAGTCTTGTAGTGGTGTATAAAACAAAGAAACCCAAGGAGAAACTACACAGGAGTGACTCCAGTGATACAGAGAGGCATTTCAAGAAGAAAGATAAGGACAGAGTAAGGGAAATGGACGTCTTCAGTAATCTTTCAGATTTGCTAGTTTTCTTTTTTTTTAGCCTGATCTCTTCTCATGTCTGGTTATTGGTCAATGTCTAAGATGTAGGGGGATGTAAGTGCTGTAACATTCTCTCTATAATAAAAACTTTTTTAATTTTCTCAGTACTAATTCCTGAATGGTCTCTGTGGACTTGTTTGTTAATCACAAAATCTTCATGGTTACAGCAGTCAGCAGCGAGTAAAGCAAAGAAATCCACGCGGCGATGCGGCGAGTGTGTGGCGTGTCACAGGACGGAGGACTGCGCCAGATGCGACTTCTGCAAGGTAGGACAAATTGGTGTTGAGATTAAACTGATGGAGATGGTTGTGAATCCAAGTCCAGTTTTCTTTAATTGAGATCAAAAAATTGTTTGGTTAAACGTTTTAGGACAATATTAGGCTTTAAAAGCTCTTTTATCGAACTGCTCCTTTTTATAAGTATTCTTGGTAAAATGCGAGCCCTGTGATGCTTAAGGAGCATAAGGAAAACAAACATGAAATCAAAATGATTGTAAATGTACTTCTCTGTTCTGTTATCTCTAGCTTTGAGCCCTATGAGTTCTGAAAAAAAAAGTATTCTCTTGTTGAGAAAATTGTTTTACCAGACAGCTGGTGTTTATTATCAGCACTATAGTGTTGCTGAACAAACATGTTTTGAATTTCGTCTTCTTTGAAGTTGGGATTTGTTCAAAGTCTTGAAATTAGGCTTGATTTTATCATAGAAAAATTTACATTTCACTCGGTGGGAATCTTATCTGAAAGAGGCCACCTCATGACAGCTAAGAATTTGAATGTACTTTAAGACTGATTTTACACCTAAGCAGATTCAGTCACCAATAATCCTAATTGTAATCAAGTATGTCTCTGCAACATGTTAATCCAAAAAATCATCATGTGTTTTAACAGGAAAACTGACCACTTTTGATTGGACTCATGCTGTGCGGACCCCAGCTTGATGGCAGTTTGAACTGCTGACATCACTTGAACTGTGGCCTAATATTAAGTGGCCTGGTGGGTTGAAAGTGGTGGAAAGAGGAGGGGGGGGGGGAGATATCTCAAGAATATCTTTATGCCTGGGGAACATGTGTGCCTTTGTAGATGAAACAATCTGAGCATTAACCCAAGCAGTGGTGGTCCTTTGAAGTCGGCCCCAGTGAGCACACAGGTTGAAATGAAAGAGACACATATTTTGCCATGAGTGAAATTAGAAAACTGAGAACTGTGGGTTAATATGATGTTGGACAGGATCAAAGGAAGATTAATCAAAAGTTTGAAAAAAAAATGAATGGAAAGTATGTACTTGGTTTTTCGTCAGGCATATTTTGATCTTGAGAACAAAGCTATTTGTAGTGGTTTATTTGATCTAAGGGTAAAAGATATTATTTCACTGTTTGCATGTTTCCCAATTAAGTAGGCCAAGTTTTTTATTATTATTTATTATTATTATTATTCTTTTGTAACCCCCCTTCTTTTAATTTGATTCTCAGATGGTTTCTACTATAGCAAAATCCAAGAAGGGGGGTGGGGGGGTTGCTGGTTAATGGCAGCCTTGTAGCCTCATTCCCTGAAGGTGTATTATGAGATATGGGGTTATCGGAGTTGAAATAACTCTTGACTTTAGCCATTGTGTGTGGAGAAAATATCAGTGTTACTTGGACAACTTCTAGACAACTCTGTTGACTTAAGATTCCTTAGTAACAAAAGCCAAGGGTATATAATTTCTTCTGGATTTACAATATAATATCATTTGATTTCAGTGCCCAGTTAGAATTTCTGTAAGCCCCCTCTCCCACCCCCCCTTGAAAAAAAAAAAAAGATGAAAACAATACAAAACCAATTATTTGATTTTATGGATAGGTTAATGCAAGAATAAACAGATAACCCTAATACCTTTATCAAAAGAACCTATCTTGTTAAATCATGGTTGTGTAGTATAAGAATAAGAAAAAAAATGAATGAGGCATGGAAGTAGTCAGAAACTTGTTCCATTGTTTTTGTTTCATTTAACCTGGTAGGTTAAGTTTTAAAACATCAGGTCTTGTATCCAGTATTCCTCAAGTAAAACAGTTAACAGTTGGTGAAATCTTTATTAGAGCAGCGGTCTCTAATCTTTCCATTTTTTTTTTTTTCGCGCTTGTTTGATCAGGTTGTAAACAGATCAATTTCCTGGCGACATATTTGTTTCAGCGATACATGTTTTTTTTTGTTTTTTAGCTAAATTTTGTTTTAGACTCGAATTAACAGCATGCAAATTTTCATTCTACTTTCTAGCCTTGTTTTATCTTTCTAGACATTGTCATCATCCTAGAAACTAAAGATAGAGCCAAAGTCAAACACATTTCTTTACAGCAGTTCCACAATTGATGTTTTTGTGATATTACTTTTCACTTGGCATGTTAAATTGTTTACCTTTTACAGGACATGAAAAAATTTGGAGGTCCAAACAGAATTAGACAGAAGTGCCGCCTCAGACAGTGCATCAATTTTGTAAGTAATCAATGAGCAGTTTAGACTAGTTGTGACTAGTTTTGACAAGTGGCAATATACTACATTCATTCATAACCAGATGACAAATTTCATGGTGGTAATTTTCATATAAATTGTGTGTTATAACAAGAGAACAAGATTTCATAAATTCACACTCACTATTAGCCAGTATGCTCTACCTGTGAAGAAATATTAATCAGAAGAGTTAAATTCTGGTTGGAAGTAGTCCACAATGGTTTTAGAAAAGTCCCTATAAAGATACAAGCAAATGACTGTATTGTTAAGTGGTATTTAATTCTCATATTTTTCCTCCCAAGGGTATCAACATAGCCAGTAATACGAAATGGAAGAAAGACCATGGAATCTCAGACACAGACACTGACTATGTGTTCAGGTGAGGACCGAGTGTTCTTCCTTTGATCTTGTCATGATAATATTACGCAGTACTTGAAAGCTCGGCATTATAATTTTTTTGTAATCTGCAGTTTTTATTTATTTTTACTATAGTGGCAATGGTATAGTAGGGAAGTATCAAATTTTTTCTTTGGCAGTTGCAGCCTGATGTGGCTTAGGGGAAGAAGCAGATGGAGGGGGGGGGGGGGGG